TATATCCTAGAAAGAGTTTGTCATAGTCTGTATTTGAGTCTTCGCGTATTGTTTGCATGACTCTTTCCTGAGTTTCCGGTTCAAGCGCTTCAAACAGTGCCTGTCCATATGGAATAAGCTCGTTTCCAAATATATGTTTTTGTAGCCATTCTGGTTTTCTTTCCATGTTACCAACTATATCTTTTGTGAATGGGAAAGCTTTTACCCAATCTTTCAGTCTTGCGTCGTTTATTTCTGTAGTTGGTTTTATTTTGTCAAGGAACATGTTTTTCAATACTAACATTTCATTTGGTACTGTCCATTTGAGTTTTCTTAAATATTCATCCTTCTCAGTTCATTGTCTGCAAAGTAAGTTTTTATGACATTTTGTAAACTTTCGTTTGCAAGGTCATGTACAATAGGTTCTCTTCCTTCTCCCTCCCTAACTTTCTTTCTAAACTCTTCACCAAATATACCATCTCTATGGTTCTGTGTAGTTCTTTGAGATAAATGTTCTAGAACGTCAGGTGTTATATTTCCATCAGCCATGTTCATTTCATACTGGTTCAAAATATCTGCATCTTTCATATCTTTCAATGGCATTAAAGCCGCGCTGAAAATACCAGCTATATCTGGTTCACCATTGACTTCCATTGCGTCTACAACTTCTTGGAATTGTGGTTGTAAGTTTATGAACCACCTATCCGGGTTAGCTTTATGACCCCATCTCATTGTAGTTCCATCGTCTGCAGAAACAAAAGTAGGTTTGTTTCCATCTTGGTTAGGTTCTGAATGAACTTTAAACAATGTTTCATTTCTATATGTTTTCTTGAAATTTAACCTTTTATTTTCACCGAGTTCATCCGAAGATTGAACGTTAAATGCTCGTAAGTAAAAAGGGTTGTTGTATTTGTGTACATTTTCTTTCAGTACTTCCATTCTATGCTGAATATTTTCATCTGGTGTTGGAGTCTTTTGTATGTCGGCAAACATTTTTCGATATTCTTCTACTATGTCAGCCGAATTTTTTTTAGACTCTTGGAAATATTCCATATTCTCCGCATACTCTTGTTGAGGGTCAAGATTTTTCGGCTGTTCCAAATCTTCATCTAGTTCTGTGAAGTTAGTTTCCAAAGGAAGGACTTGTTCGTTTCTTCAGGCTCTTCTAGCTGTTGTTGCTGAACTATTTCTTCCATGTCTGGTTGTATCTGAACTTCTTCCTGTGGAGTTTCTTGTACCTCATCTGCTGGCATTTCATATATTCCGAGACCGTTTTCAACAATTTCCCTATCTACGTCATCCGCATTCATAAGCTTTTGTTCTTTCGTTCCGTCTCTATTTTTTACGCGTTTCATGACGAAAGTTGAATTGTCATTTAGCTCTGACATCAAATATCTCGGAGTAAATTCATCCATGTCATTTGGATGATATGCTATTAAATCATATCCCTTAGCGAGCTTGTATTTTCCAGGTTTGAGATTATATCCGTTTTGGTGCTGAGCCATAAAGCTAAATAGGTTCGGGTCAGTATTTCCATCCTTGAACTTTCCAATAGCTTCTTTATATCTGTCACTAAAGTCAATACTATCTGGGAAACCACACTCTTCTTTAAGCATTTTTAAGAATTCTTGGTTTCCTTGTTCTCTACTTCTTTTATGTCCTTGCTCTGTTTGTGGTTGTTGTTGTGCTGGATTTTGAACTGTTGGTTGTTGTGCTGGATTTTGAACTGTTGGTTGCTGTGCTGGTTTTTGAACTGTTGGTTGTTGTGTTGGTTTTGGTGCATGCCTGTGTCTGTGTCCATGTGACGATGTAAATGTTCTAGGTAGTCCTGGTGCAGGTGCTTCTCTTGGAGGGTTTGGTGGTATATAAATTCCACCAGCTGGCACATATGTTCCATCTGCAGCGTAATGTCCTACCTGACTTTTCGTTCTTAAGAAAGCATTTACTAGGTCTGTTTTGGTCTGTTGTAACTCTTTTTCTTGACTTTTCACAACAGTTGCTCTAACGGCGTCATAGGCACTTTGAACTGCCTGTCTCGTTGCTGCATCTGTTATTTTCGTCATATTTTGTGCTACTTCTTTTAACTCGTTGTCGAAACCTTCAGACTTCAGTTTCTTTCCAGATGAGAAGTCGTTCACTTGTTTCACCTTACTATGAAGAGCTTCGAAGGCGTTCTTAAAGTCAGCATTTGTTAAAGCTTCATTTGAACTGTCTTCATCCGCTTGTATTTTTGTCCTTATTGACCCTATGAGTTGGGCTGCTTTAGCGTTGGCTTGGGCATCTAACCAGTCATTGTTAGCTTTTATATATTCTGCGCTTTTCATTGCCTTTTGCATGGCTGCGTCGTTATTTTTACTTTCTTGTGCTAAGTTTTCATACTGTACGGTTTGGTTTTGCAACTGTAAAAGTTTTTCTGCCTTTACAGTTGCTTCAACTTCTTTTTTATACTCATCGCTATCCATATATGTCTTCAGGGCTTTTTGTTTTATCTCTTCATCTTTCAGTACTTTATATCGAGTAGTATGGTTTTCAAATTTATGACATCTTGTTCCATTTTTGCTACTTCTGCTGCTGCTTTTCTGACACTTTTTTTGCATATTCCTCTGTACTTAGTTCTTTCAGTTGTTCTTCTTTCTTCTTTTTCTCTACGTTTAACTCATTGAGTTTCTTTGTGTGTCTGTCATATTCTAGTTTCTTTTCGTTTTCACTTATTTGTTTCTGTATGTCTATGTTTGACTTTTTGACATCTGTTATTTGATTTTTGAGTGAACTCAAATTCATTTGACTTTGAGGGTTATAAGCTGTTCCGTCTGCAGCTCCACCATAGCCTGCCATTTTCGCTAAAAGTGCCGCTCTTAAACCTCCACTCTGTGCACCAATAACTCGGTTTAAAAGCATAGGGTTGCTTGACATTTGTTGCAACATAGTGGGGTCATTCATAATTTGTTGTTGCAACTGTTGTTGTGGTGTCAGTTTTACTATTGGATGTTTCAATGCTCTCTTCCTCTTATGTATATTCTTACGTAGCTTACGTGGCATTTTAAGTAAAGTTAAAAAGCGGCTTTTGACAGATGGAACACATACTTTTTCAGTAAGGACATATGAGGTGAGATGTCACCTGTTTTCTCACCTCATTTCTCACCTCTTGAATTTTCATGAATTTCTTCGTAAAGACTTTGTTAAGACTTCTTCATCTAATTTCTCATGAACTTTCTTGTCTATGTTTTGTTGAGATTTCTTCGTAAAGACTTTGTTGAGATTTCTTCGTAAAGACTTTGTCAAGATTTCATCGTAAAGACTTTGTTGAGATTTCTTCGTAAATGACCCTAGTAGTATATTTTTGGTGTAAATTTCATGAAAATTCAAGAGGTGAGAAATGAGGTGAAAAAAGAGGTGAAATCTCACCTCTTCACCTAAAATATATTTTTGGGTCATTTACACTCATTTACGAAGAAGTCTTGACAAAACATTTACGAAGAAGTCTTGACAAAACATTTACGAAGAAGTCTTGACAAAACATTTACGAAGAAGTCTTGACAAAACATTTACGAAGAAGTCTTGACAAAACATTTACGAAGAAGTCTTGACAAAACATTTACGAAGAAGTCTTGACAAAACATTTACGAAGAAGTCTTGACAAAACATTTACGAAGAAGTCTTGACAAAACATTTACGAAGAAGTCTTGACAAAACATTTACGAAGAAGTCTTGACAAAACATTTACGAAGAAGTCTTGACAAAACATTTACGAAGAAGAAGTCTTGACAAAACATTTACGAAGAAGTCTTGACAAAACATTTACGAAGAAGTCTTGACAAAACATTTACGAAGAAGTCTTGACAAAACATTTACGAAGAAGTCTTGACAAAACATTTACGAAGAAGTCTTGACAAAACATTTACGAAGAAGTCTTGACAAAACATTTACGAAGAAGTCTTGACAAAACATTTACGAAGAAGTCTTGACAAAACATTTACGAAGAAGTCTTGACAAAACATTTACGAAGAAGTCTTGACAAAACATTTACGAAGAAGTCTTGACAAAACATTTACGAAGAAGTCTTGACAAAACATTTACGAAGAAGTCTTGACAAAACATTTACGAAGAAGTCTTGACAAAACATGAAAACATATATAATTTGTGAAAAGTGAAACATTATATAATGTTTTCGACCAAGAAGACTAACAATTTTCCGAATAAAAACTTCATTTATACTAAACATCTTCGGGGGCTAGAAGGGGCGCAGCCCCTGGAAGCCCCACTCCCTTTTTTTTTTTTTTTTTTTTTATCATTAAGATTGGCCGTTGAATTTAAGAAGTTATTGAAAATTCTCAAAAATAAAAATTTTATATTGTGAAAAAATATATGACAATTGTTTCATCTTGGTTCTTTATGCATCCGTAATGTTAATTTTCATATGACTTTATAATTTTCAAATGCCTATGTTAAAAATATTTTATCGAATAAATTGTAAATTTCATCAAATTAATTAGATGTTATTATAAATTTGAAGATGCACGTTTAGATAAATTGAGAGAATATTTGAAAACAAGCAATTGGCGTCCTTGAATTTCAATTCAACTATCAATTATTCAATTTCATTAGCCAAAATCCCATATATATCTATTTATCGTATCAATACAAAATATGTGTTTTCATTTTCGATTTGAGCATGATGTAAAAATACCTTTTGTTATTTATTGGTAATATATCATATTTTATCAAATCATTTTCGATCTTTCATCCAATTATCAAAAATTCAAATACTTCTCAATTTATTAACAAAATCAACGATTTGAATCTTCACTTTTTCCCCTCATCCGCTATATTTTCTTTATTATTTCCAATATCAACAACAATTTATATTCATGATACTTTCATTCACAATTTTTCTTTATTGATTTATCCATATTCTTTTTCTAATAACAATAAATGTATGTCATTTTGTTCTTAACTCCTCTATTCAATTCTCAATTCAATGAATTTGAATTTAAAAAAAAGTTTCCCGTTCAAATAAAATTATGGATGAGAAAGAGAAAGTTTTCTTTTCAAATCAGGGATTAGAGTTCAAAAATATTATTGCAGAAGGTGGATTTGGTGTAATTTATCTTATGTACAGTGAACAATATCATTCAAACTTCGCAATGAAAAAGATTCCAAAAGAGAGATATAATCAAGAAGAATATGAGATAATGGCATCTATTGATCACCCGAATACTATAAATCTCTACAAAACATATCAATTTGATAATAAAATATATATGCTAATGGAATATTGTCCGAATGATCTTTCAAATTTTTTGAAAGGGAATCCAAATCTTGATTCACAACAAATTAAAAAATATTGTTATGAAGTTTTAATTGCTATTAAAGCATGCCATGATCGAAATATTGCGCATAGTGATATTAAACCATCCAACTTTCTTATTGATTCATATGGAAGACTTAAAGTATGTGACTTTGGATTAAGCAGAGTATATGATGGGTCTTTAACAAATGACATGTATAAAGGGACATTATACTTCATGGCTCCAGAATTACTTAAAAAGAGACACTATAATCCTCTCAAAGCTGATATATGGACCATAGGAGTCACTTTCTTTTATATTGCTACAAGAAGATATCCATTTTATTCCTCTAACCCTGAAATACTGAACAACGTTATTGAAGCTGGCGTTTACTCCTCATTCAAGGTTAGGAATTTAGAATTAAGACAAATAATTAGCAGATGCTTAGATGTTTTACCTGAAAAGAGGCCAACTGTTGATGAATTGTTGGCTCACCCTTATTTTAGCTCGTTAAATGCCAGAAAACTAAGGAAATTAGTCGGTAATGGAAATACAATGAGTGCTGAAATTATTAGGCCTTCGGTGGCTACCTCAACAAAACCTAAATTTGAACGCCAATCATGCATATTGAACCCATCCATTATACGGAAGGCTGCAATCCCAAAAATTATATAAAACTGTTTATTACTTAAATTTCTTTTTAAATATACACAATCATTCAATTTACAATCGTTTAATTTTAATAGATGCTTCTGAGCAAGAAACGTTTCCTGGCCTTTAGCAAGAGATCCAAGAAATAAAAATTTTGTGTTCAAAACTATCTTTTAAATAGGATCAAGAGTATATTATTAGCAAACCATTATTTTCTAAAATCAAAGTGAGAAGATTTCCCGAGTTTTTTTTGTAAATCACTTCTCAAAAGATTTTTTTACTAACAGAAAAAATACAAACATACAAATACACGAGGAATTAGATATTATTGTTCGCTCTCAAAAATTTGATAGTTTTCAATTTCTTCTCGCTAGTCCTTCTCAATTAAGATTATCGGACGCGGTGAAAATGATCAAATTCTACGAAACTAAATGATCTTACTAGTTTTTGTTTCGTTTTTGATCGTCACTTTTATAACCTTCACGTAATATTTTCTATGATAAAACCCAATATTTTTAATTTTTTTTGTCAAAAATCTCATGTAACACAATTTGAAAATATTCAAAAGTTTACAAAGTTAGTTTACAATATTCCGAAATTCATATCATTATTTATAGATGACTTCTTTAACATCTGTAGTTGGCGAAACTACAGGTAACTTACTAGTAGTCAATCGAGATAAATATGATTTCATCGAAGAACAAAAATTTGAATTTCCAGATAATTCAAAATTTGTACAATTAAGTACTTCAACAGCACAATTACACTTTTCTGACGAATATCCATTTTCATTTGAAAATATGTTTCCAATGCAGCATACGCTTCTCTTAGATGCTTCAGAACTACCTCTACCAGACGTTGATAATGATGTTCAAAATACCATTGTTGAAACACAATTCATACAAGGTACCACACCAGAAATTGAAAATCCAGAAAACTTCGAAAGGCAAAGAGCCTATTTTCAAGAAAATGGAAAAATGCAAATACCAATATCATTTCTAACAAATCCAGATGATTCTATCCCCGAAACATTAGATGATGATCAGATTATATCGCAATTTGTTGAAATCGATACTTGCAGGAAGCCCGAAACAATTTATATGTTAAATTTTGAAAATGCAATTATTAAAGGCGTTGTCCAATCGCGATTTTTTGAAAGAATACAAAAATTCACCAAAATCGAGATCTTATCATTAAATAAGACAGGAATTAACCAATTACCAGATATTACTTTTCCAAAACTAAGAATTGTTACTGTTACAGACAACAAGATCCAGCAGTCAGAGACTCTTCTTCGTTTTGCTCAACGCCACGAGTCTCTAGCTATCTTAGACTACCGAAGAAATCCAATTTCATCAGATGAAAACACCAGAAACGAACTAACTGCAACATGCGTGAACTTATCATTCCTCAATGGCCACTCCATCTCCATCAGAGATCATATTTTGGCAATGAGATCTTTCAATAACATTGCTAACATTGAAAAAATCCAGTTTCTCTACCTGATGAAACAAATTCCAGAGATCAAGTATCTTGAGCAATGGGATCCAATGATGATCTGCCACTTATCTCTTCCATCCTGTGGTCTGAAATCAGTTTTGCTGCATGATTTCAAAAATCTGCAATCACTGAACTTGGCTGATAACGATCTGACCACTTTGACAGACAGTGGCATCGTCAACTGTCAGCTCCTTATATCTTGCGACTTCACAAAGAACAAATTCCAGGAATTCGCAGACATAGAACCACTCAAACTTTGCATGAACCTATTACATGTCACTTTTGCCGATAATCCTATCAAAAACTACAGATCGCAGCTTATCTACAAGTGTAGGAGATTGAAAGGCACTTCTGCTATGAATGGTCTTGCCTCTATTGATGGAATTCCTGCCACTTTGCACGAACTTATAGATTCAATGGCCAAAGCACATCCCCTCCATTTCAGCTCTCAGAGATCGAATCTTGTAATGCAGGGAACCATTGACAAAGTGATTGGTAATCGCCAGATAGAATCGGATCCTAATATCTACCAGAAATTGACTTCCTTCTCCGCTCCAAACAAAAACTTATACTACTTCGATGTTTCAAAATTCACAAATTTAACACATTTGATTTTGAGAGGAAACAGCTTTGAAAAGATCAATGGACTTAGCAACTGCAAGAAGCTGCGTCTTCTCGACATCTCCCACAACGAGAACCTCAAGATAAACCTCATGGAAGATGATATCAGGCAGCTCAAAGATCTGCAGTTTCTGATGGTTGCCATTGACTGCTGGGATGATAAACTCAAATCTGTTATCAGTTTCGAAGAGCTCTACGAGAAGACAAACAAGAAGAACTCAATAAGAAATCCACTGTTCAGGAAGCAGATCATCTCAATGTTTGTCAAAGAGCTCCCACACTTGTCATCCATCGACAGAGCGAGAATTACTGTTCCTGAGAGAATGAAAGCCATCAAAGACATCGGACTCACAAATATGCAGAGGGAAGTCTACAGAATTCACGTAGCTCTGCTTCAGGCAAGTTGTCCTGCAAAGTGGCTCTCACTGAATCCAAGTGAAGTCCTCCCTGGATGCCAGTACAAACAGGCAGATATCATCAAACTGCACAGACTGACAAACTGCGGATTGAAGACGAACGAGTTCCTTACTTTCGAGAATTTCACCAATTTGGTTGAAATCGATCTGTCACACAACAAAATAACAAATATCACAACTCTGGGATTTGATAAACTGATAAAACTGAAAATGATTGACTTGAGCTACAATCAAATTGAGGAAAGACCAGAGATTGTTGGAGCATACATCGACAGAATCCAAAACTTGGAGTATATCTCTCTTAGAAACAACCCATTCATAAACAAAGAGTCAAAAGTAACTCTCTTGCTCCAAAGTATCAAGAGATTAACAAAAATAAACGACAGTTTACGTGTCGTTGACACAGAAATCATCCCTCCAAAGATTGTGAAAACATTCAAAATCAACAGCACTGAACTTGGAGTCTACATGTTCCAGCTCGCGATAAAGATCAGGATTCCATTCGGATTTGATAAAGTGATGGTGTCCGAACTCGATCTCTCCAACTGCGGCCTGGATTATGTCGACATCACTCAGTTTCCGAACTTGAAGAGACTCGTCCTCAAAAACAACAACATCAAAAACATCAAAGATATGCTCGGTTTTCATGGAAATGACAAACTTGAGATTTTAGACGTAAGAAACAACAAATTCGACGATTTGGCTTTTCTTGTTGGACTTCTCACTTTCCTCCCTTCTCTCATCAACTTCGGCTGCTCAGGAAATCCGTGCTGCACTAAGAACTACCGCCAGATAATCATCAAGCACTTCCCATCTCTGACAAAATCCGATTCAAAGTTGATTGCGATCGATGACCAACTTTTGCTTCCACTGGAAATCAAAGATTCCCAAAAGAGCGACAAAATTCCAGACTTCAATCAGTTCTGCTTGGACTTAGTTCTGAACAGAAACAAAACTCACGATGAAGTCCTCGATTTGCGTTCTGCCAATTTGTCAGGGCCACTCGACTTCAGAAATTATCCAAAGCTGAAGTACCTGAATCTGTCTGACAACAGGTTGACAACGGAAAGCATAACAAACGGCGGCTTGGACCTCTGCAACGACTTGGAGTACTTGGACATTTCCAAGAACAAAATCGACCACAACACTATTTGTCCGTATTTGGGAACATTGCACAACCTCAAGTATCTAAAGGTTGATGACAATCCTATTTGCCAGAAGAAAGGCGACTGGAAAGAATTCCTTCTTTTTTACGAGAAGATTGCAGACGTCAGGAACAATCTGCAGACAGTCAACGACCACTACCTGACAATTGATGACAAAGTAGAGATAATCAAGCACCAAACTTCAAACGAAGAAATTGCGGAGTCATTCAGAACAGAGTATTTGCTCTACAACCAGTCGGAGAAGTGGCAGAATTCGAAGTCAATCTACATATCAAATCTCAAACTAATGAACTTCTCCATCATCCAGTGCTGCACAAACCTCACGACGCTCAATATCTCCAAGAACAGAATCAGGCACCTTTCAAAACAGGGCCTGCAGAAACTGAAAAACCTGAGAGACTTAGATATCTCAGAGAACGAGATAGATTCAATCGAAGAGATCAGGGAAGAGCTGTCGATACTTCCAAACTTGGAAAGACTCTTCATGAGGCTCAGTACGGCAAACAAAAGCGACACGAAGGATCCATTGCTTTATGTCGACTACATCTGTGCAGTTCTTAGAGGCCTGGCCGATATCGACTACTGTGGCAATCCATTCCCTCTGAAATCGAAGGATCTGAACGCTCTGAAAGATCTCCAGCAGATTACTCAGTGGTACAACCCGAACCACATCCACGACATCGACCTGTCGAATAAGAACATTGACTCTCAGAAATTCGCTTCCCTCCTTTCCCCTCTTTCGATTCTTTCTCCAAAAAGCATCACATTCAAAGGCAATCCGTGCACTGAGATCGACAAGTACAGGTACATGCTCATCCTCAACGTCCCAGATCTTCAGACTATCGATGGAAACATCGTTACGATCGACCAGAGAATGAATGCAGACAAAAACATCAGAAAGACAGCAGGAAGTTCTGCAGCAGAGGACATCATCATTGACGGTGCTTTAGTTGCTGCTGAATACCTCGATAAAGACGACAGGAACCAAACTATCGACACAATCAAAACTACTGCAGAATATGCTGTTAAATACGGCACAATGATGATGAAATGGGAGATTTTCATCACATTCCAACAAGTTCTTTCACTGATTATCTCTCTCATCGGATATGTTGTCTGGCCAGAGATATTCAAGTACTTCTGGTGGCTGAGCTGGATCTTTACCATCGATTTGAGCTTCCTCAAGTATCTTCTCGACATCAAAATTCCCGACTGGTACCAATACATTTCATACTTCTTATATATTTTCATACCAATTTTAGTTTACTCCCTGTACCATTTCCAACCGAACAGAGACTACTGGCACACGCTGTTCACGAAGCGGTACAAAATGTTCCGACTGTACGTTCTGTGGCTATTCATCTGCTTGCTGCTTTTCTCCGCCGGCCTCTCTTTTCTGATGGACATCAACACATCGATCCAACACAGTAAAGTAACAAATAATCAGTGCGCATGGATGACTGTTCTGAGCGTCCTGTCTGTGATTATTTGCATCTTTGTCGGATACCTCGGCCACCACTATCACAAGAACAGCGACAGCCCTGTCATGTGGTTCAGAGCAATGAAGTTCAAGAAGAGATTCGCACTTTTCATCCTCACAGTTCTCTACTTCCCGGTCTGCAAGAGCTTCGTCGACACATTCACTTGCACAGACAATCACTCGAAGGCATTCTCTGATTTGGTCTGCTTCAAGTCAATAAGCGACTTGACAATTGTTACAATTGTTTCATTCATTTTCGGACTTGTTTATGCGATCGGATTCCCAATCTTCTTCATCCAGCTGATCAGAAAAGGTGTTCATGAGATAGATCTCAATTACAGAATTGATGTCAGACTCAAGCAGCTCGAGGAGAAGAAGAAGGAAGTAAAGAAACTAAAGAAGGAAGGAAAAGATACGTTTTTGGATGAAATTTCACTGAAAAAGTCAGAGAAAGACATCGAAACAAGTTATGCAACAGCAGCTATGGAGTACGAGAATGCTGCATCTTACCTGTACAACGCGTACAAGAGGAAGAACAGATTCAGCAAAGTATTTTCTATGATTGAGAAACTTGTTTATCTCCTAATTTCATCTTTCGTTCCCACAGCAGTGATCAAAGCGATCGCATCAACTGCTGTAATGTCTGGAATGGCCGGTCTCCAAGTCATTCTGCTTCCATTTGTTGCATTAAGTGAAAATGTTGCCGAAATCGTCGCTAAATCAAGCAACTTGGCCATCTTAATTGTTGGCGACTGCATAACATTCAACCTTGTTAAAAGCGGCTCTGTTCTCAGTGCTGTGCTCGGAATAGTCCTCATTCTTATTGTAATCATCGTGATAATTGTCACTCTATACTACCTGTGCAAGGCACACTGCAAGTGCTGCCACTGCGTATGTTGCTGCGCTGACGAAGAAGTCGACTCAGACGACATTTTGCTGTACGACATGGCCAACAAAGAAGAAGAAGAAGAGGAGGAGGAAATAATTGAGGAAAAAGAAAAGGAGGACGAGGAAGTGAAAGCAGAACAGAATTCAATGAATGTCGAGAGCTTCAAGTCAAGTGTTCTCTCAGTTTTGTCTTCCATCAACCAAGGAACTAAGGCTTACAGAGGAATCAAAATCAACCCGTTGCTGTCCAGGGCAGCTTTGAATACAGAACTCGTTTCGGTAGAGAGCCAGTACAGGACAAGATCCATCATATCCCACTTCAATCCGGATGACGAGGAGTACTCAGAAAATAAGGAATCAACATCATCTTCAAGTAATAGAAGAGAGCCTCCAGACTCAAGATTTGGAAAATCTTTGAAAGCAAGAATTGCTTCTGCCACTGAAGAATAACTTTTTTTATTTAATTCGGTATTTTTGTTTAATTAAATGTTATATTTTTTTATATGAATGAATTGTTGGTGGACATGATGCTTTACGTTACTTCTTTAAATTATGGAGTTATATTAGCTTGTAATCGTTATAACTCCATAGATCATGAATTTGCTAACGTTTAAAATTCTGAGATTTTACAAAATAAAAAAAGTTATGCAACAGGAATCAATCAATTGCTCTCAACAAAACTTAGTTGAAATACCAAATATTGTCAATCCAGACGTAGTAACTAATCTTAACATGTCATTTAATCAAATATCAGAACTTCCGGTAATGAATCAGTTTTTAAACCTCAGATTTTTAACAATATCACATAATAAATTTACAAATCTCACTCCACTAGCTGCATTAACACATCTTGTTGAGTTGGATTGCTCTTTCAATCAAATAAAATCAATAGACTTTATCTTTTCAATGACAGAACTTCAAGTTTTTCAGTGTTCAAACAACGCAATCAAAAAAATTCAACCTTGCTTCCCTAGGAACATACAATCTATTGATTTATCCGATAATCCGATCAAGTCTTTATCTTTTATTGAAAATTCTGGACTGACGAAGTTAGAATATCTAAACATTTCTAATACAGCGATAAAATACATATCTGATGTCAAGTTTTTACGATTTTTACCCAAATTGCAAGAATTAAACATACCAATTCCGACAACTGGCGAAAAAATCAATTTCACTGAGATTGTGAGAACTGCGTGTTCATCATTAAAGTACTTAAATGAAGAGGATATTACATTTTTTAACAATGATACGAAAGCTAAAAAGATTGTTCAGTTATTTGAAAAAGGAACAGAAGATGACTTTATTGAATTCATACACCAGCCAGATTTAACATTTACTTGGAAAAATCCTGTATTTATTCCATTTGATGATTCTCTCCCTCCACTTGACCGAGAAACTATCAAAGAAAGATTAACAGTTCTAGAAGCAACAATGATTGCACCCAATTTTGCAACAGACCTGAAATTTAAGCTAAATAGTCTTGAAAAACAATTAAATTTGCTGATTGCCCCTCCCGCACCAAAAAATGAAATGGGAGAAATAATATCGCTTATAACCCCTTTCAAAGAAGGCGACGAAGCTTTGCTCGACTCTTTACTCGATGAAGTTCGCCAAATAAAGAGACAATTGAGCCAGGTGACACAAGTTCTTTATGGTCAAGACACAGCAATTAAAAGACTATGGAATGATATATATGGTGAATAATCCATTTTTGTTTGTTTAAAATTATATTTTTTTTATTTTAATTTATTTTTCTAACACTAATGAGAGAATGATAAGCTTGGTATTTAACAATTTTATGATTTCTCGAATAGTTTGCATTGACTTTATGCATGTCAAAACAGCACTGTGTCAAAATTGTCGGCCAGACTTCATATGACACAAGTCTTCAAGAGTTAATTTTCCTTGAAATCGATAGTTCAAATAATCAAATTGAAGTCTTTTTGATAGTATTCACTCTATTCATTTGTAGGTAAATTGAAGGTGAACTAAGTGACTGCACTATTCTATAAGAAGTCTTGTCTTAATCGAATTTTTATCTCACCCCAGATTTTTTTATGAAAATTTTGAAAAGTGTAATTCATTTTCAAATTTTTATTCAAAAATTTTAAGAAAAATTTAGGATTAAATAAAATATTCATCTAAGTCAATGGATTACATTTCGAGTTTTTTTTTGAAAAAATTTTTGATCCGAGATAAAGTTATCAAAATAAAATTTTTCCTAAATGTTATTTTCATGCATGAGAAATCGTTATTAGAAGATTTTTTACGGCTAATTATCTGATTCAATTCAGATCAATACTCAAAGCCCCATTATTTATTTATAAATCCTTGTTTGTCGCCTATGCGAATAAAAATTATTTTTATATTTTAAACAATTTTTTTCACTTTGGAAGGAGAAAGGTGACTAAAATTTTAAAAATGCAAAAACCGACTAAACTATTTCAAAATTTTTTATAATCATTTTTTAATGGTGCGTCCACCAAAACTGTATAGTCTCAAAACTATCTACTTTGTGAGAGATGATGGAACACTAACTACAAAAGACGTAGAAATACCATCCTATACCATTCGGCGAAGTAAAAAACGATCCACCAACCAAAATCCAGGCATTGAAACTCCTACCGTTCCTAATTTATCTCCTTCTGTTCCCAATTTATCTCCTACTGTTGATTACAATCAAGAATTGAATCCTGATGACTTGGATGGCTTTTTCTTTAATTCTTTCTTTTTTGATCCGGATAATTCAGCTCAATAGGGATCTAAGGCAAATTTCGGAAATTTGCTTGCTAATTAATCACCAATGGTGCTTTTTTAGCCTTATGGCTTATCTCCGAAATTTTAGATCCTTTTAGAACAACTTTACTTTAATAGTAAAGGCTTATTGTAAAAATATATGTTTTCATCTTCATACATTTATTATCTAACTTTAATCATTACAAAAAAATTACAAAACAGAGTTAATGTTACGTTTAAAGGAAATCCAAACTTAGAAATTAACTATTTTTGATAACTGCTTGTTTAAGCGCTTGGTAAGGAGTGCCGATTCTTGTAGGTCGGTTTGATATCTTTTAGAATTAATGTATTATTTCTCTAATGAAAACCATGGAAATTCATAAAAGAAAGATAGCAAATGTTGTAGGAAAATGCGCTTGATTCGAAAGAGTTTTCTTATTTGGCTCAAAATCATTCTATTTTAGAAAGCAAGATCAGTATGGCTGCTTTTTGGCCATTTTTAACATGTTTATTTCACTTTTCATTTCGATTTGAGTATGAGCAATTTCTGCAATTTGATTTCGGAGATCTTTAATTGAATTAAATAGTTCAAGTAATACATTCGATGAAAGTTCTTCATTGTCAATGTATTTTTCTTCTTTTGGAATGTATTTTCTAGGAGTTGGGGTTCTAGTTGTCTCCATTTCATAAATTGCATAAGTATTTGGTGTTTTAATCGTTTGTGATGTTTTCTTTGGAGAATAGCTTTGAGTTGTAGTAGTTGTTGAAGATATAAATTCCGAAGGCTTTTGGCGTCGCTTTTCTGCTTCTATATTGTCTAACTTAGCATTTATATTTGCTGATCGCTGTATAATCATATCAAGTTTCTTATTAATCAGGTCAAGATTATTATTTTGGTTCATGATAAAAATTGTTTGAAATAATCGTTTAAAAAAATAGGATTCAAATGCATATTGAAGAGGTGTTCTACCACAAGTTATAATTTTCCAGCTAATATCACACAACATTTTATTAAAGTATTAGTTAGCTAAAGTGCGTGCACACAAAATTTACTAATTCAGATTCCAAAATTTTAAAATCGGAATAATACAATCTATATCTTCAATAATGCAAGGTAGTAAAGAATAAAAAAATTAAGTAACTTTTGCATCAAATATCGTTGAAAGTTTTTCACTCCAGTTGACATATAATCTCAAAAATTAAAAAGGCCTTTCAATTAACAGCAAAGTTTTGAGAAGCTATAGAAATACTCATATGTATTATTGATATAGTAAATGTTTGTGATATCAAATATATTGAAAAACTATCGTTACAATTGATAGGTTTTTAAAATCTCTAAAAGTGACAACTATTATGAATTTGAGAATTCAAAATTTTTAAAACCGTCGGATTTGATTTTCATTGAATAATATAAAAACGATATTGAATTCTTGATTGTAAACGTTGATTTCTAGCTCGAATAACGAACATGATTGTTCTTATATTTCCATTGTTTTTGTTTTTATAAATCTTGTCAAAAAAATATGTTTTCAATATCGTCCGCAGAAGGAAAGTAAAAACAAAATCATTAAAAAGATAGCCTACCTTTATATTTTTGGTGGATAGAAAAAGAAAAATCATGATATATTAGAAAAAGGCAGTAGTTAGTAAAACTATGTTGGGTACAGCGGCACTGCGTTCCACCTTACCCAAGATAACGGTTTGACACTTTACGAAACCGCTAACGTATATTTTACAACATGAACGCAAAAACTAACTTAACCTTAAATATTTACAAAGCCGCCAACCATTTCACCTCACTAACGAACTCACTAATGAAAAAATAAACGTTCTCATAAATTTTCTTCAATATCTTCATCGTCAATGTTAACTCTATTGTAGTCATACTTGAAGTCATAAAGTTTCTCAAGTTTTGAAATGAATAGTCTTGTTAACTTACCTTCATCATCATAAGTTTTTATAAAACTACCATGACAATCTTTATAAACAGTCAGTGTATAGTCAACTGGTCTAGGATGAAGTGTAAAGAACATGTTATACTCAGGAAGGAAGAATAAATGTTTAAATGTATGTTTGTTATATGTTTTGATTTGTATGAGTTGCTTTTGTTCTGTCATTTATATAAAATTAAAATAAAAAATAATTTTAAAAAATAAACTTAAAAGCTAATGATATCACCACCCTCACACGTATGAAAACATAGCACAAAAATAAATTTAGGGTAGAAGGTTAGATCTAACCCAATTTCTAACCTCTTTTCTACCCTGTTGAATTCATTGCTTTATAACTCTCTTCCTTGATTTCTTTTTAGTTGCTTTCTTAACATCTGTCTCCAACTTGACTGTCTTTCTTCTTCGGCCGTAATGATACCAGTTACTTCCACCAGTCAATGGGTCAAATGGTCTTTCGTAAGAGTTTCCATACATTCCATAGGGACCATACGGAAGAACTACTGGTGGAGAAGAAACATTTTCTTTAGTTCCATCGACTCCATTTAAATGCATTGTTTCACCTTTCATCTGGTCATTAAAGTCTTTTGCGTGTTTTGCAAACTCATCGTCCTTTCCTAAAGCATTTTCTGACTTAGTCGCAACCAAATTGGATGCTTTATTTATGAGCCCTATTTTATTTAATCTTAACTTCTTTGCAACCCAGCCTCCAATCTTTCCTTTATTTGCATCTAATGTCTTCGAAACCCTTCCTCCACTCATTTTATTTACTGCGTCATAAGCTCCAAGTGCTTTTGCTCCAAATGCTAATGCTTTTGTTCCCATTGCGCCTAAAGCTGCCCAAGCTACCATTTACCCCATATTAAAATCATCTCTTTTCAATATTATCTCATAAAAGTTCTCGTTACTGGAGAAAGTCAATGAAACATAAGCGTGCTCACGGGCTTCGCCCTCACCGCTTTGCGGTCTATCTAACTTCTTTCTTATCTCATCTATACGCTTCAAAATGTCTGAACAATTGCTAACATCTTCTACAACAGTTATTTCATCATGAATGACCTTCAAGAACAAGCTCATTTAATATGCAATTAAAATCATTTCAATAATGAGTCCATCCTTTCCATCTTTAGGTAGCACAACATCTTTCATTGAAGAAGGTTCGACAAGTCTTATGTTAAACTTACTGACAAAGTTTGTTATACTATAATGCTTCGGCGGCGAATACATGTAGTTTGAAAGACATAATATAGATTCTTCAGCAAATTCACTTATACTGGATTTTATAACAATGTTCTCACGAGACCAAATGCCACCAATTGAAAAACTTGTAAGCAATCCTGCTGAACCTTCACTGTAAACGTCGATGGTAACATTCCACGAAGGTCATCTATTGACATCTTTGAGTCACTGTATTTAAATATTTTCTTAAAACAATCGTCATTATCTAACCATGCAATAACTTTGAAGTTTTCATTCGAATATACATCTGCTTCATTAAATGTAAAACCTGACTTCTTTGCAGAGACTTTAAAATCTATTGAGTTTGTTTCAAAATTATATGCTATGGTAACTTCTGAAGGTAATGGATGTCCTTCCGCAGTCAGTTGTTCTCTCACTACCGTTTGAAGCTTTGTGTTAAAAACTTTCATGTCATCTCCTGTATCTAAGTTCACATACACAGCAACAGGAAACTATCTTGCTTCTTTGTTTCATCATTATATCTCAAAACATTAAAGTTCTTCAATAATATTGTTCTTCCTGCTGGAATACTTCGAACTGTCTGATTTCAATAGCTTTCTCACCTCCTACATACTCTACCCAGTGTCTTGGATATTCATAAGTATACTGACTTTCTTGAATTTTGGTTGGTTTCATCATAACGTGTTCATAGTATATCTTTATACTCTTGTCAGTTAGACTCGGTGCTATGTTCTGAATATTTCTGACTTGCATTTTTAATGGAGATAAAATGAAGCATTTAATACATGATGTAGATGAAGACATGAATGAAACACAGATAAACTTAACTCTTCTCTCATTCTTCCTTTCAGTAAGGACTATGAGTTCTGTTCAAATGGTGTGTATTTCTATTGTGGAAAGATGGGTCAGGTAAGACATTTAACCTCATTCGTCATATACTCATAACAGAGCGTTTAGGAAACGACTCTTACTATGACCAAATCATTATATCAGCAACTTCAGACTCTATGGACTCAACAGCGAAAACATTTATGTCAAAAGTTCAAGCCTCTGTCGTTAAAGTTCCAGACAGTGAACTCATTGAATTTCTTCAACGTTACATTCGACGTAAGAGGAAATATTATGCCATCGTTGAATTTATACAGTCAGGAATGCAAAAGACTTCTGAGGAGATGGAAAGAATTATTGACAAACACCACTTACGTCAATACTCAGGAGTTTACGATATGAAACGACTTACAAACTACATTCTATCAAAACTTTCAAAATACCCCTTCAAAAAATATCCTTCAAACACTCTGCTCGTTTGCGACGACTTCGCCGGAAAAGGTTTAGTTCAAAACCAGACTCACCATTAGCTAACATCATTACTAAAGTCAGACATTACCATTAACTGTAGCAATACTTATGCAAACATGGAGGTTTTTAGCTTTAAACATAAAACGTCTCATAACTGACTTCGTTATCTTTCAAGGTTTCTCACGTTATGATATTGAACTCATTTGGAAACAGTCAGGTATAACATTACCTTTTGAAGAAATTTGGGAAGCATATAAGTCTCTCATCTCTCCTCGTTCATACCTTGAGATTCATATCATGACTAATACCATTAAAGTCAAAAATATTCCATGGGAACGACCAACATTGTTTTAAAGCTTAACCTTCAATTGACTGATGGTAAACAAATTCCATGCATCTCTGTCGCCATTTCTGTTAATATTTTTGCTGTCATTCATATCATCCACTTCCCCATCCGTTAGCTTTTGAGGATATGGGTTAGAATAGCTGTTCTTAAATGAAGGCTTCTCACCTTTTAGAGCATAAACTCTATAACTTTCTGCATACTTTATGTTTGAACCTCCTGAGCCATCATTGACATAAATTTTTATAGGCTTCCACCCTTTGTTCATGTTCCTGCTTCTTCCCTTAGCTCTTTTGTTCAGTAGTTCTACATCTTTATACACAGCACCTGTCTCAGTGAATTCAACAATATTTTCATTCGTTAGCTTTACATTCAAACCCTTGTCGAGTATATTGTTCATTTCATACATATAAAAGGTTTTTATTCTATATGAAATGAGAAGCAAATCCATCTTAGCTGGTGCCGTTAATGTTCCAATTGAACCAACATCAAATGTTGACTCACGAACGACAAACAATATTGTCATAAAGAACTATAGTTCAGAGTGTTTGAAAGAAAAAGAACCAGAACTTAAGTCGGTGAATTTAAACTCAGCTTCAAACGCTAACGCTACATCAGATGTTAAGTTAGAGTATCCACCATTAGACCAAATTCTTTCAAGAGAAGCCAACGACAATCCTTACACAAATGTTCAAACAAATCCTTCAGATAACGTAGACCATTACCTTCTTCAGTTATATCAAACTATCTTACTCAAAGACGATAAGAAGCTTTTGATAAATCTTATAAGTAAGAACCAAATAATTCTAACAAAGGAGGACCTTGAAAATGTTATATCACGAATAACAGGGAAACAATGTGTCATTGACTATCTCGACCCTGAAATCGAATGCTGTGGTCAAACGCCAATATTCATGAAAATAGGTAACATCCGCATCATTGAAACACCAGGAACTACAGGAGTTGAGTTTAAGTATAGATATTCGAACGAGTATACAAAACTATCTACTGACTATAAGCTTTGTTTGAAATATGTTTTAGTAAATTAAAGCAGTCAGGACCTTCGGTCTTGGCGCTTTGCGCCGTCAGTCAAAAAAAATTTCAAGTTAGCAATTTGTAATATCTATCCAAAACTTCTTCAACACTATTGAACTCATCTTCATAATGCAAACCTAATCTTATTGACTTGGTGCAGTTTTCACTAACACAATATTTTTCTGTTCTCTTGACTGACATAACTAACTCATCTGTTTCATCAAACAGCAACAACCAAAGTTCATGACCTAATACATAACATTCATACTTTATATTTTTAGCTCTGAGTTCTCTTGTAAGCTGTTGCATTTAATATTTTCTAAAAAGTCAACTTCAACAGTCATTCGCACTGGTGCCTTCAGTTCTACAGGCTCTCCTTGAAAGTCAACAAGTCTGCATTGCATGTCTTTCAAATTATGAGGACTAATGCGAACCCATTTACCTAAATGAGTTGCTATGACAGGAACGTTTGGAATGAACATTGAATTTACTTCATAACAGAAAGACTTATATTCTACTGAACCTTTACTATTAACTCCTGAAATACCTGTGACATTAGCTATTTTTGACTCAATGTACAAACAATTGCCATAACATACGTATGGAACAGATTTCATCTCAATCGTTTTGTCAACACTTTTCAAAGGAAATGTCATATGGTATGCTCCCAGAAGCAATTGAACTCTATGACTCATTCGTGTTATCTTAAACTCCTTCACATAACTGAACTTCAAAACTCCTGCAATAAGTTTAACATTCATTAAGTTTTCTTCGTTATCCTTGTTTATTGTAGTATTTATGAGAGCATTTAACACTCCAGCTAATGTTTCCATCTTATATTCTACATTATTGTGAAATCTTATTTCGTGCTTCTTTCCATCTATTTCAAGCTCCATGAAATCTGTTTCGTCAGTTATAACGAATGAAGCAATAGTATTAAAGTCAACCATTCTGAAAGCAAGCGCCTCATTCTGTAGACCTAAGTTTGTTTGTAGCTTTACTGTCCCGTATTCGTTTGGGTCTGTACTTTGCAAATAGAACAACATTTTATTCTTATTAAAATATGACTATTGCTGCATATGCGTATGAAGCTGACAGAGCTAAACGTTTATATTTTGGTCAATACTCTCTCACACTTACTGACAAATATATTGTTATTTCTGATGGAAATACTGAGAAATATATAACATGGAAGGACTATGAAAAGTTTGACCCTATTTTAACTCCATGTACTATGCCATTCATTGTAAATGGTGAAGTTGTCATGAAGAACGACACAACAGTATATAGGTCTGTTTATGAAGCATTAGAATATATGTTGAATTATAATCCCGAAAGATTTGACCCAAGCACTACGCCATGTGCAATGCCCTTTATTAAGGATGGTGAAATTGTAAGAGTTCCGAATTCAACGGTTTATACAGCTGTTCAAAACAGTTTACAAAACATTTTAGCGAATATCTTTAATTCAGAAACTACAGAAATAAAATTACCGTATATAACAGATGCTAAAGAAATTAAATCAAGAATTACAACATTATTTACGTCACTTAATGATTTAATGACTTATATCATTAATACTCCTTCTCCGACTACGGCATTTGATCCAAATTCGACGGTTTGCAGCGTACCTTTCATAAATGACAGTTCAGTAATTGAATTAAGGGATTCGACAGTAAATGAATCATTAAAAGCTTCATTAATGAAAATCATTGATTTTAACTCATTCATGAATACATATAATTCATTCATTAATGTTTCATACACTTCTAAAGAAGGTGAGCCAAAACTATTGATAAAGCGGTGTATGAAATAAAAGCACCAATGACGAAATTGAATTCGTTAACTTTTGATGGTGATAGTTCCGTTAACAGCATGACATCAGGAAAAACGATTTTAACGAAAGAATATTTAAAATCTCATGTTAGTGAGTTCGTTGAAATTGAAAAAGAAGGCGGAATTAAGTTCGATCTACTGGGTTTCATTTTCAACTTAGCGAATGCGGGTGTTAGTTTCGCTGAATGGACAACTATACAGAGTGAAATAAATGCAATATGGACGTTTTTGGGGTCAAAAGCGGGAATGGGTGAGCTTGTAAATGCTGCAAGAACATTAGGTGAAACGGGAAATTTTGTAGATGGTTTTAAAAGACTTGTTTCAAATGTTTTAACAAACACAAAGAAATTATTTAGATATACCATACATAACGGCCAGATTTTCGAACAGGTAGCAACAAACCCTCCGGTTATGGCTGCGTTGATGATGGTTAGAGACATAAAGCCGCGTAGCGGTGAGGGCGAAGCCCACGAAGAAGAGAAGAAACCAGAGGATACGGGTCGGGTTATTCGAGACATTAAAAACGTGTATCCTGAAGTTATTGATTTATTTAGAGGTGTTAATGATTCGATTTCAAATCATTCTATAACCCTTGATGAAGAGAATAAATTAACAGATTATATATTCGTCATTATTGCAGAACTAATGAAGAGAATAAATGAAAAAGGTATAGCTGATATCATAAATGTCAGCGATGTAATGATGAAAAGAAATTTTGACTCATTATTTACAGAACCGAAAACAGAATATAGTCTTTATGACGTAATTACTGAATTAATGAAAAAGATTAATGATAATAAGAGTTCTGGCGGAAGAGTTGAATTAGAGGTGAATGATGTTAATGAGAAATTAGATAGGAAGGCAGATAAAAACCATGTTCATTATATAAGTTCAGATGAACAGATTATAACGGACTATCATGGATATTTAACACGAACTGAAGAAAGAGTGAAGACGGAAGATGTTAATGAAAGAAGATATAAATACATTCGTGCTGAAGGTTATGACATGCGCTGTACTGTACAGTATGACACAGGTAAAGCACCAGAAGCATTTGGTTATAACGATGAAATTTATGCTTCTAGTTTCTTTGTTAACGGTGTATTAGTTGAACCAAGATTTACATTGAGAGTTAAGGCAAAAATAACTTTTGAAGATGCTATTAAAAGTAAAGCAGAGAAAGATGAACTTGACGTAACGAACAAAGTTTTGAAATCTCATAAACACAATATCTCCGATATAAATGAACTTCAAGCTACATTAAATAGTAAAGCTGACAAGAACCATACACATGGATCCTTCACTACTGTTAGAGCAGACGACATAATATTGAACTATACCCTTGGTTCAAGTGCACCTTTAGAGAATCCAAGTACAAGCGTAAAAGATACACTAAACTCCTTAAATAACAAATGTATAAATATCGAAGGACATGTCAGAAACTTTGAAACATATGAACTACCAGCAATGTTAGATAAGAAAGCAGATAAGAACCATACACATGAATTCTTCACAACTATTAGAGCTGATGAGATAATATTGAATTGGGCTATTGCTTCATCATGCATGCGTGATGAAGATATGCACACTAACCTAAGAGATATGGTTGTTGATTTAGCCAATAAAACCGACAAAATATATGTAGATGAAGAATTAAATCGTTATGATACAAAAGCATTGAGTTATACAGAAGAAGCAAAGGAATGGGTCAATGAAAATTATGTGAAGAAGTCAGAAGTAAATGATGCGGTTAATGGTAAAATTAATGAAAGATTTTCGAATATAGATTCATTAACAGTTAATGACATTCAATTACATCATCAATTACCTGGTCAAAAGAATGTGGAATATAATAATCTTACTCATGTTCTCGATGGTTTCGATGAATTTAGAACTGATGCAGCAATTGCGATTGCAGGCATGAAAAAAGAAATATTGCAAGCTGTATATCCTGTTGGTTCTTTATATACATCAATGAATTCAACAAATCCAGCAAGTGTTTTAGGTTTTGGTACGTGGCAGCAGATTGTAGACAAATTCTTATACTGTGCTAACTCTTCAAAGCAAACAGGTGGTTCAAAGAAAATTAAAGAAGCAAACTTACCTGCGCACACTCATACAGGAACGACAAACTTTTCTGGCGACCATAGACACTCATTAAGAGACCACCCATTATACAACTCAGAGTATGAAACTGGCCATGACGTTTTATCTCCATCTTATAACAATTCAGCAAAAAAGACTTTTCGACCAACTGAACCAGGAGGAAATCATTCACATACATTTACAACAAATCCAACAGGTTCGGGTGAAGATTACATGCCACCATTTATGACTGTATTCGCATGGTACCGCGTTCAATGAACGCGCTTGAGCCTGCTTTGCAGGCTTACCGTCTTGAATAAAATCTTTATTTTTACATAAATGAGTTTAAAAGAAGTATTCGAACAACATCCATGGAGGTCATTTAAGAAGTTCAATGAAGCTGCAAAGAGTTGGGGATTTACTAACAGAGCTGAAGTTAAAAAGTTCTTTGACAAAAATGTTGTACATCAAACAAAAATAAACCCTTACGACTACTTTTTACCAATTTACTCCAACACTCCCGACGCATACCAATTTGACACTCTCATTCAAAGCAGAAAAGGAGGACATAAACCATTCCTCATCTTCATTAATGTTAACACTCGCAAAGCTTTTGCGTATATAATGAAAAATAAAGGAACTCGTGAAGTGTTAAGAGTTTTACAAAAGTTTGTAGCAGAACATAGCCCAAGTACTTTAACATCAGACCAAGACAGTGCATACCTCAGCAATGAAATCACAGAATTTCTCATTAAGCATAACATAACTCACTACACTACCGAAGACCATAACCATAACATACTCGGCATCATAAACCGCTTCATAAGGACTCTCAGAGATTTAAATCAAGAGCGAGACTTTACCGAAGAAACAATGAAACATTTTCTCGAAGTATATAATTCCTCAACGCATTCTACAACAGGACATACACCAAATTCAATGACACAACAACAAGAAGAAAAGTATATACAAAAGAAACGAAGTCAAACACAAAATATCAGAAATTCAACACAAGTTACCCTCATTCCTGGAACAAAAGTTCGTGTAGTTCTTGACGACAAACCGTTGACAAAGAAACGTTTAAGGTTAAGTCGAAATTATTATATCGTAGACTCTACGCAAGGTAATGTATATCTTATAAAAGCTGCTGACGACTCCATTGCATTTTATCCTCGACATAAATTAGTTGAAAGTAGTAATGGCAAACTTGCTGAAACCATTGACGAAGCAAAGCGAGGAGTGGTTATTGAAATACTTGGCTATAACATAAACGATGACACTTATAAAGTAAGATATGAAGGAGGCGTTGAAGATGTTATACCATCTAAGAACTTGAGAGAATCTAAACCAACTCATCTGGGACCATTAGAGCGGGAGTACTGGAAGGATAAAAATAAGCCAGAAAGAATAAGAAAATTCTTCTAAACTTTTTCATTAGATGTAAATCAGACATGAACGAGAACAGTCATGATATCATTAATGGTACCATTTATTTACACCAAAAATAATGTTTAGGGTAGATGGTTAGATCTAACCCGATTTCTAACCTCATTTCTACCCTCAACCGCTAAGCGGCGAGACCCAAAGGTCTTGAATTTTCATGAATTTCCTTAAGACAGAAAAAATAAAGTTAGTTTTATTTTTATTTATTTTTTTTATTTTGTATAAAAGATATGATTTCAACAATCGGCACAACAACAATTCAAACAACAGCACCAAACTCGTTAGTCATGAATCCAACATCTATGTTAGTAGAGATGAAAAGCTTCATTCCTTCTTCATTTACTTTCGAAACAGAAATACAAAAAATTAAGCAGGAACTTTTAACAAGTAATTTAGACTGTACCGCACAGGATGAAGAAAATGGAGAATATCTTTATGACATGCAAGATATCATAGACCATTTACCTAAATTGCCTGAAATCCAACAACAAAAACTCACTATTCCTGAATTCGATGAAATAGAAGTTAAAGTTAGTGATTCTGCAGAAATAAAGAAGTTCATACGTAAAGTAAACTATGAGTTTCTAGGATATCATTGCAACCATAAAGTTATGGACAAAGATTGCGACATGATTTATAAAAACATTTCAGATATTTATAAATCGGGGGAGTTTAAGACATACAACAACTTTGTTTCATTAGTTGCAAAATGTGTATGGCAGATAAGAGATAAAGATAGAAGAGGTAAGGTATGGAATGAACAGATAAAACCAACTGCTTCAGATTTAAAGAAAACCATTGACGCTTTAGTTATTTTAGCAGGTAAGGTTTCAGAATATAACGCAAAAATGAATCCGCAATGTTCGAAATGTAAAGCAGCAATGAGGAAATATAACTATTCAGTAAAAGAGATAGAACGTATGCGAAACGACTATGCTGACTTAAAGAAAGAAGCAGAGAAACCGACAGAAAATAAAATGAACATGTTAGAATTTCTGAATAAAAACTATCCCACAGCCGATGATTTCCTTTTATCTGATGTCAAGAAGAAGTATAAAGAAACTTTCGGTATCGTTAAAATTTTTGATATATTAACTGAAGAAATAGAAGCTACAAAAATATTTAAAATTTCACGAATTCATAACGTATATCATGTGAAACGTTTATAAAATAACTGGGGTAGAAATGAGGTTAGATATCGGGTTAGATCTAACCATCTACCCTAAAATATATTTTTATTGAATTCAGCACAAAAATAATGAATTTAATTAAGACAGAAAAAATAAAGTTAGTTTTTATTTTTTCGAATTTTTTATTTTGTATGTAAAGACAGTAATGTCAACATCAGAGAACACAACAATTGCTATCGTTCATGAATCCATAAATGAAGAATACGAGTACATACAGTATAACAAACAGTTACGTCTCATTCGTTCGGTCAAAGACGATATGTACCAAATGCAAAGTATAATGAATGCTCTTCGTTCTACAAAGCAAGCATATCATTGGTTTGAAAACCAACAGACAAAAGAACTTTTAGAAGAATTTCCTCATATGATTGCTTCCCTCGGAAAACCGGGGGAAGAGATTCCGTATGAAAATCGCAAGAATTTGGCTCCTGGTTTGAAAGGTTATTATGTTCATAGACTTTTAGTAAACGCTGTAGCAATGTGGGCTTCACCTCGTTATGCTTGTTATATTTTCATGATGTTAGATGAACTATATAAAGCAGAACGTGAAGATATGGAAATGAAACTTCAAGCAAAAAATGAAGTCATTGAATCCAAAGACAAAAGCATACAGAAAAGAATACCGCGTTCGGTACCAAAAGGAAAGGAAAAGAGTTATAAGTATATGATATATACTGAAGAGATGGAAAATGAAGAAGATAAAGATATGGTTATGTTGCATTTAGTGAGAATAAACAACAAGAGCTTTTATGACTTAGCTAAGATATATAAATCTGATAGAAACGGGTTCTATCGTGAAAACTTACCGATTTCAATGACTCCGAATGAGCAGATAAAGGAAATTGTCAAAAATACTCTTCCTCAAACACACTATGACATCAAAGGTTGCACAATACTTACATTCAAAGAAGACTTAACATTACTGAAGGAAAAAATAACAGAATATTTCGATAACTTCAAAGAGGAAGAATAAAAAAAATCTAAGCTAATTTTATTTTTTTATAAAATTTTATCTCATATGAAAGAACATGAATTTAGAATATTCGGAACTCATGACAGAAGAAGAGAACGAACAACATGTAAAAGATTATGCAAAATTTCTGAAGACATACAAAGCATTTAAACAATATCTAAATGCTTCTAAAGATTATGCAAAATTTCTGAAGGTATATAAAGCTTATGAAAAAGCGTATGAAAAGTTTATACATTGGGGAATTGTTGTAAAATATCGATATGAAGACTAACCAAAAATATATTTTTGCTTAAATGACGTCAGGGTCAATTTCTTCAACCATTTCACTTCCTTCGTCAATGTCAATAGAAGCTTCTTCAACCTTTGGTAAGAATTTCTGTATAACATCTTTGTTCGTTATTGTCTTCAGAGATGGAGGATAATATTTCACATTTGTTTCACCTTTCTTATATTCTTTCTGTTCGGAAAGATTTAAAGCAATACTGAAGAAGTCAATGTTAGAGTTCTTTATAACAGTATAGTGTGTATCTTTGACATTCACGAAGAAACTCTTTTGTTTCAAAACTACTGCTAACTCTTGTGAAGTATAACGTTTGCGGTCAATGACGATAGCTAATGGTCTGACATACTGACCAAACTTAGATTCTTTCACAAACTTCTTGTTAAAGATAACATTAACATTTGAAGCACCATTGAACTCATTCTTGATGGCATTAGCGAGAGCATTGTATGAAAAGAATTTGCAATCTTGCATGTGTTTCATTAAAATAAAAATATTAAATTATTTTGAAAAATAACTTAAAAAAATCTAATCTAATTTTTTCAAAAAATATTTTTTTTATTTCCTACTAAAGATGTATCGGAAGTTGTCTAAGTTAGAACACTCGGAAATAAAACAACTTCTTACAGAAGCTAACATAGATGTTGCAAAGCATTACGCGACAAACAAAAAAGCACTCGCTGACTTCATTAAAGACTACAATGGTGAAATAACTTATGATAGAATTCATGAGTTCATAAAGCCGCAACGCGGCGAGGACGAAGTCCATGCAAGAGCATTTCCTTTAAATGACATTGCTATTGACTTATATCATAGACGTTCAGTACCTCATGAAGTAAGAAGAGAAATGTTTGACATAACAAATGCGAACGTTGGTCATACTCGTAAAGCTCTTCGCATGATGTTCGTCAAGAAATGTTTGAACTTACGAACTCAAACGTCGGTGAAACAAGAAGAAGAGACGAACACACTGAAACAACAGAGAAGAGAGATGTTTAAAAGTGCTATAGAACAAGTTCGCAAAGCTAACGATGTCATTCGTTACATTGACGACAAAACCAAAAGAAGGTGAGAGATGGTTAAAGAAAGATGAAGAGAATAGGAAGAGAAATGTGAAGTCAGGCAATAGATCATTGACTTTAACATCGAAGCTTTAGATGAACCAAACAGAGACTACTTACACAAACATTTCGGTAAGGTTTTCATGAGACTCTTAGAGAAAATTAAAATAAACTCACAACAGAGATGGATGTATGTTATAAACTTGGTGGAAAGTATGAATGTTCTACGTTAAACCTCAATAATATTGGAACATTACTACATCAGCTCTTGAAGGAGAACTTATATCAGAGATAGAAGCAAATGCTGCAGGTATTGTTGAAATGCACTATGACTTCTTGACAAACATAAAGAATCTTACTGAAAAAAGATGTATGATTTAACAGAATATGAAGGCTTAACGATGTCAGATGTAAAGAAAGCAAACCAAAAAAGAGACCATATAGAGATGAAAGCACGCTGACAAATGACCAGAAAGCCATTTTGGAAGCTCTTAAGCAAACAGGAAACCCAGCACTTATAGAAAGCTTTTGGAAAGATAATGGTGAAAAGAAGTTTTATAAGAAGAGAAGCGGCCAGTTCTGGAAGTATCTTTGCGCATTACCTATAAATCTTGAACGCTACCAAATCTTCAATGAACTGAACAAAAGAACTGCAACACTTATGACAGAGGACAATTGTTTCGTTTATGCTTGCATTCAGGCTGGAGTAAATGAAGAAACTATTGACCACATGAGAGAAGTCATTCGTGTTAGAGACTTTCCTCAAAGTAAAGTACAAGAAATTTCTGACGCAACAGGTATAGCATTTAATGTTACCATTGGTTATTTCAATAACTCAAGACATAATGAAATAAAGAGATATATACCAAAAGAATGTGAAACTGTTCGAACTATTGACTTACTTCTTGTTGAAGACCACTACATGCTAAACGAAAGATTACCTATGACAACATATTTCATTCGCAACTATATAGAAATCATGAAGGAATGTGGTGGAATGAACATTGAGAAACAAATGAAGATTTATACAAAGAGAGAGAACAAATATGTAGTTCGTTATGATAGAACAACACCGTTATGGGATGTTATGAAAACATTGTGGGAGTGCAAATATTTCGAACCTATTTCTTATGGAGAACTTTTCACATATACGACTGACTTATATAAACAGAACCTTGCACCATTTAAAGATTTGACATATGCTCCAAAGTATTGTGTACAACTGAAGAAGAAAGCCGAGCCAAAAGAAGTAAATAAAAATAAGTGCAAGTTCATTCCTGAGCACGTTTTCTTTGCTGACTTTGAGTGCAGTACCGATGGCTTTCATAAAGCTTTTAACATATGTTACGACAGTGAAGATGGTTCAGTGAGTGAAAGCATTTGGGGTCAGAACTGTGCAACAGAATTTTTGGAGCGACTTCCTGACAAGAGTTTAATATATTTCCATAACCTCAGTTATGATATAAACTTCATCTTAAGAAACATGACAGAAGTGAAAGGAACTCCCATCATTAAAGGTTCACGAACAATGCAAATAACTGGCTTATATAAAGGAAGGGCAATTATTATAAAAGACTCTTACAGTGTTATAAATAAGAAGCTTAAACTATTTCCTGCTATGTTTAACTTACAAACAGGACCGAAAGAAGTATTTCCATACAACTACTACAGCAGTGTTTTGTTAGCAAATGACAACAGAACTGGTGTCATTTCTGAAGCATGTAAGTTTATCCGGGATGCGGATACGTTCATGAAAAACATAGATTCCATCAAAGGTTGCAGAATAGATGAAAACCACTTCGACTTAGAAAAGTATAGCACATTTTATTGCAAACAAGATGTAAGAATTTTAAGAGAAGGTTTTGTTAAGTTCCGCAATGATATATTGAAAGAGTTTGATATAAACGTTTATGATTACGTTAGCCTTTGTTCAATTGCTAACAAATTGTTTGAGAACAGAGTATACTTCCCGAATGGAAATCTTTATGACCTCTCAAATAAACCAAGAGAATTTATTTCGAGATGCATTCAAGGTGGAAGATGTATGTTGTCAGATAACATTAAACAAAAGAGCGAAAAGAAACTCATTGCTGACTTCGATGCTGTTTCATTATATCCCTCAGCTATAGCAAGACTTTATACTTTAGAAGGAATTCCAAAGGTTATGAAGAAAGAAATGTTAAGCACAGAGTATCTCATGAGACATTTATTCGATGACGACCAAAAGGAACCCATTGGTGAAAAGTTTATGTCTGGCTTCTTTGTTCTCATTAAGATAACAGAGATTGGAATACATAGACACTTTCCTTTAATAGTTTGTGACCCTGAACTAAATCCAGAACTTAACGTTCCCAGAAGTTCAAACACTTGCTGTTTAATGTATGTTGACCATATAACATTACAAGACCTCATAAAATATCAAGGTGTCAAATGTGAAGTGTTGCAAGGATACTATTACGATGGAAACAGAGATATTAGAATAAGAGATGAAGTAAAGAAGTTGTTTGAGTTAAGGTTAAAATAAAAGAAAGAAGGAAATCCTTTGCAAGAAAATATAAAGCTCATTCTGAACAGTATTTATGGCAAAACTATTCTATCTCCTATTGAGTCAAAAATAACCATAGTAAATGACAAAGATGCTATAAGATATGCCATCAGAAACTACAACCATATAGTGAAGTTCGAAGGTTTGGATGGTTCAGATAAAACTATTTTCAAGCTAACGAAAAGCATTTGCAGACACTTTAACTTTTGCCCCTTAGGTGTTAATATCTTATCTATGTCGAAGAGAATAATGTGTGAAGTATTCTGTACTGCTGAGGACTTAGGAATGGACATCTTTTATAGCGATACGGACAGTATGCATCTCTACAATGAAGATATCCCTCGTTTAGCTGAAGAGTTTGAGAAACGTTATGGAAGAGTTCTCATTGGTAAAAACCTTGGTCAATTTCATAGCGACTTTGCAGAAATCACAAAAGATAAACAAAGTTTAGCATACAAGTCAATATTTTGTGGAAAGAAGACTTACATAGACTTACTCACGAATGATTTAAATGAAGTTGCATTTCACTGCAGAATGAAAGGCGTGAAGCAAGATGTTATTGCTTTAACCGCTAATGAAATGTTTCCTGACTCTGTTCAGTGTTTCTATGATGAAGATAAAGGTTTAATGGTTCCGCAAGGAAAATTTGACAAAGACTCTGAGTTCAGTGTTATGAAGTTATATAAAGCACTTTATGACGGTCAAGAGATTGGATTTGACTTATGTAAGTCTTCTAGTCCTTGCTTTGCTGAAAAGTTTAACTTTTCTATTCAGACTAAGACTTCATTCATAAGAAAGCTTAAGTTCTGAGGTCATGAATGAGAAAAATAATGAGGTCATTTATTTTTGTCAGCAGTGAGACCATTCATGATAAAAATAAGCCGCTAGCGGCAAGGGCGAAGCCCATGTGGTCATTTACAATACTGCGATGGTAGAGTTTAAGAGTTGTGCTTCAATGTAGAGACAGTCCTTATGGTCTGGAGGTAAGAACACTGGGCAGTTATGGCCATGAGTGGAGAACATGTCTATCCAAAACTCACGATTGAAGCCAGTTAATTTATAGTATTTAGGGTTAGGAAGTGGTGAAGTTCTTGTATGACCAATGAACTCATTTTCAACTCCCTTACTTAAGTTTGAATATAATATAGCTTGTTTTCTATCCCAAATGCCAGGTGTTACAATCTTTGAAAATTCATTTTTCCTCGGAAGCATTGCATCATAATTGAAAACATTTTTGAAGTCTTCATTGGGTTCAGAGATTTGAAATCTTATACGTAATGGATTTTCTTTCTCTTTAGCTACTTCATTGAATGGTGAATATATAACAAACTGACAGTCATGAGTTCCATCTTCATTTTCATTAAATTCATAATGAAAGTCTATAAGTTGTGGCTGACTACCTTCTTCTTTCAGTTGTGCAAGAAACTCACGTAAAGGCTGTAAAGTTTGTACTTCAATGTTGAACTTTTTCTCGAACATCTCATTAAATGAAATCATACATTGTTGCAATGTTGTATCGTCTTTAAAGTATTTGTATATGTGAATGTTTTGGGCGCTTAAAGACTGTTCGTCATTTTCTATCTCGACTTGAAGTATAAAGTCAACCTTTCTGAAAGCACGTGTTATATACATAGATGTTATGCCAATGTACTTCTCTTCATTTATGTTCACAATCCAGTCTGTTGGAAACTTAAACGTTACTCTGTTCCCCTTTATTTTGACGTCAGGGTTTTCACTACTGAATGCAACAGATAAAGGTATTTGTCTATACATTTAGTTCCGATAAAAATAACCCATTTACTCTTTCTTTGCTTCAGCTTCTTTAGCTTTTGCTTCAGCTTCTTCTCTAGCTTTCTTCGCCAGTAGTCTTGGGTTCTTTTGTCTTCCAGCAGCTAATGCAGCAAGTTGTTTTTCACTAAGTTTTCTCTTTGGTCTCTCTGGCTTTTGTTCTTGTTTTTGTTCCTTCAGTTCGGATAAAATTTGCTCACGAATTTCTTTCTTCAATGCTTCAACATCTATGACCCCTTGGGTCTTGTCCGTAGGGCTTGTCTGAGTCATTTGACTGCAGATAAAAACAAAATTAAAACTTTAACCGATGTAAAATGAGCTTGTCAAAATCAGAGCGAGAGTCTATTATATTAAATGACGCAAGAGGAATACAACATCCTTTCTATTACGTAAGTCAGAGTAAAGATGGTAAAATATACGTAAGAAAAAGAAAGGTTCCATTAGCGAATGCAGAAAGCGACAACATTAAGGTGTATGGTAAGGGTGAAGTCCACGAAGCCCATATAAAACCTTCTGTTCAAACTGAAAAGTCAATAGAACCAGAAGAAAAGAAGCCAGATGTACTTTCAATAACGAACCAAGAGCTTATTGCAAAGTTCGTGAATTTCATTGAAAAACAAACCGAGTCAAAGAATCCTGACCCGCCAGTGAAAGAAGTTGAGACAAAAGAGAATGTACAGTTCATTGAAAATGTCAAGAAACAACTTCCACCACGAATGCCAAGAAGAAGAGTGAGAATAATGAAGTAAATAGATATTTTTATCTGAAGTAAATACATGCAGAACGAACAGCTAAACGAATTTACTCCAGCAGAGCATATTCATCAGATTCGCTCATATTTCGATATCATAGACAATGCAGTTCAAATTGGTGACACTAATAGAAAATATTCTGACGCAAAGATTCCATCACAACCTGGAACTGCTAAAGATAACACATGGGTAACATTCAATCTCTCACCTCCTGGTGAAAATATGTTGGACCTTTACAATACATTCATTACGTATAAAATGGAAGGTCAATTTATTGTAGATAAAGAAATTGGTTCAGGTTCCAATAAAACAAACCACCAGGATTTTGGATTGGTTTCGATGACGCTTTCTATGCAGTTGCTGGATATCAAATCCTTGCAAATGGTCGTATCGTATATTCTCAAGACAACGCAAGAGAAGAAGCATATATAACTTCAAACTCACAAACTACCGAACAAATAAAGAAAGTAGATGTTTTTCAAAGACTGAAGATGAGATATGGAGTCATTCGGGAACATGCAGAACAGGACAAATTGTTAGTGGGCCGATTACAGCAGGAAAATCATTTGATTTTAAGCTTCGTTTAAGAATTCCTGTTAGAAGATTCCTTCCATTAGAAGCTATTCGATTTATTCCAGCTTTTGCAGGAAACATTCAGCTTAAAGTAAAGTTCAGTAGCGACGCCTTACAATGCACATCTATATCTGTAAATGATATCATTGCTTTCAATCCAACTCTTAAAGTTGTATTTGCTTCAGATTCAAATCCACCGACAAATAAATTTGTTCCATGGAATGAACCATTCACTATGATAACGAAGGCAGTAGAAGCTAGTGGAACATTACTATTACAACTGTAACCCAGCAACTATTTCGAACAAAGATGGATTTTAATGAATGTTTTATTCATCCAAAGTCATTCTCTTTAGACCCTAACATTTATACAGAACTTGTAGAACATTATACAAACGAGGCTTTATGTTTTCCTGTTAAAGTTATGGATTGGATTCCTATGGACGGTTCATTCTCAAAGAATACAGATAGTTCAAGTGCAACATTTACAGCAGCTTATACGCCTATTAATGTTAAAAGTATTTGGGCACTATTTAGAAAGAAAGACAACTATTATGTTAATTTTGAGAACCCTAAGTTTAAATATCTTCAGCTTTCCATGGGAGCTTATGGAAATATGCCTGCAGAACCTGAAAAATCATATGGACCTGTATTTTATGAAATGGTTGCGAACGCTTGCAATACAAACAATGATATGATAGAATTTAATGAAGATGTTATGAGGTCATTGGTGGATGATGGTAGTGTGGAACATAAATGGGATAGCTATGACAACACACATTTCTTATGTGGTTTTCCAACAGAAGTGGACTTTTGCTTCCAGCAAGGTCAAACATCTACTGCTCCAATAACATACAAATTGTCTGTTAAAGGACCTATTGAACTAGCAACTGAAAATGTACCAAAGCCACTTATTGGATTTATGAGGGATTGTTGCTTTGCCATTCAGGTAAGACAGTCAGGCATCCCCATAATAAGATTAGATGACTATAACTTAGCCGCGGACGACAGTGAGGAATAAAGGATGAACGTTTATTTTTAAAGCTTATAAATGAGTTCTTCATCAAGCTCTCGCGAACCTTCACCATCTATGAAACAAACTTTACCAAACGATTATGGAGCACCTATTGAATATTTCTTACGAGCTGCACAATGGCAAAGAGCAGTCTCACCAAGGTTAGGTGTTCCACCAGCTCCTGTCAAAAATAGCATTTGGTCAAGTCCTTATATAAGATATGGTCTCCCACTAGGTTTGCTAGCTACAGCAGTAGCAGTTATGATGTTGAAAAGAAATAAAGCAAATGTTGTAAATAATACTGAAGTAGTTGAAGTTAAACAAACTCCAACACCTTCGCCAAAACCAACGCCTTCACAAACAACACCTTCAATGACTCCTGAACCTATGGAAGTACAAACTCCTGTTCAAAAGTCAACTCCTAAACCGACTCCAACATTTAAACCAGAACCTACTTCTCAAATAAATCGTAAAACTCCTGCGTTTCCTTACTGAAAAAATAACGTTATTTTTATTTAATATTAAAATTTTTATTTGATTGAAATGACAAATAAAGTCACTGAAGCAATGAAACAAAAGTTTTTGGTAGAATATATTAAATCAGGAACTATTCCAGAAGGTTTTTACATTCATCAAATGAAAGATGGTAGAGTTCAGTTTAGAAAGATAAAGCAACCATTAGATAAAGAAGGAATTTTGAGAAAGATTAAACTTCATGAGGACAACATTGCTGAACTTAAGAAGAAGTTAGAAGAGTTGGAGAAAGGAAAAGAGTTATAAAGCAATGAATTCAACAGGGTAGAAAAGAGGTTAGAAATCGGGTTAGATCTAACCTTCTACCCTAAATTTATTTTTGTGCTATGTTTTCATACGTGTGAGGGTGGTGATATCATTAGCTTTTAAGTTTATTTTTTAAAATTATTTTTTATTTTAATTTTATATAAATGACAGAACAAAAGCAACTCATACAAATCAAAACATATAACAAACATACATTTAAACATTTATTCTTCCTTCCTGAGTATAACATGTTCTTTACACTTCATCCTAGACCAGTTGACTATACACTGACTGTTTATAAAGATTGTCATGGTAGTTTTATAAAAACTTATGATGATGAAGGTAAGTTAACAAGACTATTCATTTCAAAACTTGAGAAACTTTATGACTTCAAGTATGACTACAATAGAGTTAACATTGACGATGAAGATATTGAAGAAAATTTATGAGAACGTTTATTTTTTCATTAGTGAGTTCGTTAGTGAGGTGAAATGGTTGGCGGCTTTGTAAATATTTAAGGTTAAGTTAGTTTTTGCGTTCATGTTGTAAAATATACGTTAGCGGTTTCGTAAAGTGTCAAACCGTTATCTTGGGTAAGGTGGAACGCAGTGCCGCCGTACCCAAGATAGTTTTACTAACTGCAGTATATAAAAAGTCATCCCCTGAGATCCAGCTCGAATCATCGACAAAGTCAGTAAACGGGCAGGATAAATCATCTGAATTATATTGGTAATCGGGGATAAAAGTCGAAATTTCAGCATTATGTTGAATTTTCTCAGACTGTGGTTGTGGTACTGAGTTGGTGATAGTTGAGGTGTGTCTTCTAAGTGTCCACTGTCTTGTCAATACTATGGAATCCCGCAGGAATGGAAACTTTCCTGCAAGCTCTATGGCTGCATTTGTTTCCATAGGAACAGTAACATATCCTATGGATTGGAATTCACTGTTAACAGATGATTTGCATTTTCCGATCAGGGTTATTAATTGGCGAGTGTTAAGTGCTAACACTTCGTTCATCCAAACAATTCCGCACACAAGCGATCTAGTCTTATCGCTTTCGTTATGTCTGACAATATAATTCCTTATCTTGTCAAATATAACGTTAAAATTCTTACAAAATTTTGAGCGGCCCGAGATCGCAATCGTTGTAGCAATTTCTTTCTGCAATTCCTCATAGCCAAGCTTGTCAATGTCTGATAGGATGTCCCAGTACATAGGTTTCGATCCCGGGCCGCCGGCATTAGTTTGTTTCATGTTTGATAAATGTCACTTTTGAAAATTTTCAAATCAATACTTCTTTTGAGAATAATTTGACTATTTTTGAATATAATATTTCTGACACTTCATAATCCAGACAGTTTTATCCACATCACAAAATTTATCAATGGTTCAATTCAAAAGATAAAATCATATTTTAAGTTTTTATTAAAAAAATTTTACTAATCCAACGGCTTTTTTTGTCAATCATATTTGGAAACTCTTAATACCAAATATCAGATCTGAATGTAATGCCAGTCCTAAAAAATGTTGAAACGTTCTCCGTTATGGCACACAAATGTTTCATTTCAAAATAATATTTAGTTGTTGTATAATATATGATAGGCATGCATACACTCCGATTAAACTCCCTTTTATTATATTCAACTTTTTGCCAAAAATTACAATTTTATACTATTATTATAAAAATAAAAGGATTTAATATGTACTAGCTAATTCCATTATGTTTCTCATAGTGATTTAGAATTCTAATCATTATTTTTTTTCATTAAAAAAGTATATGTCATTGAGGGGGGCACAAACTTGCCCAGTGAGGTGAAGTGAAAAGTGACGAGTTTACATGTCAGAAATGTAAAGTGCCAGATTTGAAACAAAAAATGGATTAATTTATTATTATATGATAGAGAGATTTGGTAAGTTACTATCAAATTTGTAAGTAAGGGAAAAAAAGTAAGAAAGAAAAAAATTTAAAAAATAAAAAGCCACTCGCTTCGCTCGCGGTTGACAAAAAGAACAAATTCGAAAAATAATTGTATGAAATTACGAAACTAAGCCACTCGCTTCGCTCGCGGCTTAAGAAAAGAACAGATTCGAAAAAAGATTGTACGAAACTACGAAACTAAGCCGCTCGCTTCGCTCGCGGCCTAAGTAAACAACATATTTCAGATTATCGATACTAAAAATTTTTTTATTTTATTACATTTTTTTTGCTTTTTTTTAAAGCTTCTTAACTTAAATCATGGAATGTCTCAAAGACAAAAGTAGCATACAGCATGTAAAGCTAAAGAAAGATAATCATAATTAATACCTTAATTTTTAATATTACGCATTTTTAGGTGCAAAATTTAAAAACATTCTAATACAATAGAGCAGTTTCCAAAAGTAGCATACAGCATGCAAAGCTAAAGAAAGATAATCATAATTAATACCTTTAAAGTTTAAAATCTTGATTTTTTTTAAAATCAAATATTTATAACTTTAATACATACAGCTTAAACCTTATACTTGTTTTCTCTTGTGAGAAAGCAATCTTACAAAGCTAACAATCCTAAAAAATAAAGAATTAAAATTTAATAATTTAATCTAAAATTAAAATCAAAATTAAATAAAATGAGTTCTTTGTAATAATACTTTCAAGGTAGGATATATTTTAGTGGGATCTATTGAGTCATCACTAACAGCATTGAGCAATCTATTGAGCATTGAAATACTCTCGATTTTTCTTTGTCTTTTTACATCAATTTCTGCGTTAGTTGCTTTTTCCATGATCCTAATGACACGGTCATCTGCTGGATTTTGATCAATTTTGAGTTTGATAACGAAAGATGGTATCACTTTTGTATAAATTTCTATAATAACATCATCAATTCTGAGATTTTTTCGATCAGGAAAATAGTCATGTTTGAGTGTTCTAAAATGAGCTTCGGCAATATTGTTAGTTGCGTCGCCTTCACGCCTGTCACGAGCAATCCATCTTGATATGTTGTAACGCCATTGTCTGTTAAAGTATTGAGATGCTGTTGGATCTGTGTCGAGCAACTCCAGAACTTGATCATAGGCAGCATTTGCTTCTTCCTCATGTTCTGCATCTAATTTGAAGACTAAATCCTTCATCAAATTATAGAATTGTTCAAATTTTTCTTGAGAAGAAAACTTATTTGATTTGCGAAGAATTGCACGAAGAACATGTACTCCGCACCAAAGTATTTGAGCTTGTGGAATGCTTTCTTCTATTGCTTGAGCTATCTGTGGAGCACAGTCCATGCTAATGTATTCTGGCTCAATTGTTACCCATCTGAGATAGGCGCACACGCAAACTTGAATGTTTTGATAAGTGTCTGGTTGACAAAAGAAATATAAAAAAGGGAAAATGTGAAAATCTTTGATTTTGCCAGTAAATGCATACAATGGAATGTTTGATCGCAACAATTTATAGGTGCTGTCTATATGAAATGTCTTGATACTATGCGCATAAGCTTTGCCTTCAAAAGGCGCGTAATAGAAACACATATTATTGTCTGAGACTTCAAATGCAATGAGATCATCTGGAGATTCTTCTTGTACTGTCTGAACAAAGATTTGCAATGACACAACATCGTCAGGAGAATATCTAGTTTGAAGAGCATGTATTCTCTCTGCAAATCGTTTGATTGCACGTGGTTTTTGAGCGTACATCTCTGGAATGGACGGACCTGTAAGAGGAATTTCAAGATCTTTGAATGCATTTAGCTGTGCTATCGCTCTTTGATTGTCATCTGTTTGGAAGTAATGTTCTAAATATTTGCGATAAAAGACAGACGAATATTGACTTTTGTCATTTGGGGCGGAATGATCATGTTCTTCAACTATTTTGATTAGTTTGTATTTATTTTGATCCAAGATTGCAACATTAAAATGTGCAGGACATTTTGGATATTTGCAGTGGAATGAAATCTGAGATCTTTCTTTCCTGACACGTTCACCATATCCATACTGTGCTTGTATTTCTTGTTTAACTCCAAATTTACAAAGATCCATAACAGTAAAGATAGTTTCTTCTTCTAATTCCATTTGAAATTGAAATGAAAATTAAAAATTCAGAAATTTGAATAGATTTGGTCTGTAATTAAATGAGAATAGCAGTTTGTTCGTCATTGTTTGAGGCAAGAGTATTATAGGAATATTATATGATGGATTTGAGTTGCATATAAAGAGTGCAAAAGGATAAAGAGAGAAATTTTGTTAGATTAAATTATTAAATTTTAATTCTTTATTTTTTAGGATTGTTAGCTTTGTAAGATTGCTTTCTCACAAGAGAAAACAAGTATAAGGTTTAAGCTGTATGTATTAAAGTTATAAATATTTGATTTTAAAAAAAATCAAGATTTTAAACTTTAAAGGTATTAATTATGATTATCTTTCTTTAGCTTTGCATGCTGTATGCTACTTTTGGAAACTGCTCTATTGTATTAGAATGTTTTTAAATTTTGCACCTAAAAATGCGTAATATTAAAAATTAAGATATTAATTATGATTATCTTTCTTTAGCTTTGCATGCTGTATGCTACTTTTGGAAACTGCTCTATTGTATTAGAATGTTTTTAAATTTTGCACCTAAAAATGCGTAATATTAAAAATTAAGGTATTAATTATGATTATCTTTCTTTAGCTTTGCATGCTGTATGCTACTTTTGTCTTTGAGACATTCCATGATTTAAGTTAAGAAGCTAAATTCTGAAGTTTACATGATCCTCTCGTGTGCACCCTTAAAAAAATGCAAAAAAAAATTGAATACTTTACTGGCTGGGCAAATTTGTCGCCGCCCCCTATGTCATTCAATATTTATGGATGAAAGAGAATAAACCGACACTTTATAATTAAATTATAATAATTTTGTTCGCTCTAATGAATTGTGAAAATCAAATGAATTATTTTATTGGAACCCAACTCCGAATTCTGGGGGCGAGTATCATAAGAAAAATTTTTCGAAAAATAGGGGGTGTTAGTATACTCAACCCCCTCATTAATTATCGTTTCTAGAGGAATAGTCACAGAGGCCTTTTTTCAGGTAACCTTTAAGAAGTTTCCGAAAGAGTTTATGCTCATATAACCTCATTTCCAGGTAAATAGGGGGTATTGTTCTACTAAAAGTTTAGTTACATACTGGCCTCGTTTCCTAAGAAACTTAATCAAGAGGCTATCTCAATAAGCCTTGACCAACAGGAATAGGATAAAGGAATATGCAATACTGAACTACCGTAATCTTAAAGCAATAACCGATAGACGCAAGCTCATCACTACTTGTTTGGTTGTTCAACGAATCTTTTTATATCACAGTACACTACACGTATCTCATACCTCCATACAATAGATGATTTACTCATAATTACATTTAAAACCCAAAAGTCGACATTTTTTTGAAAATATTATTCAGATTCAACGAAAACTTTCATTCATGATACATGCATATAAAATCTTCCAAGATATAATTACTTATCTTAACAAAAAATATCATTCTTTTTATATATTTTGAACAAATTTATGCAACCATCATGATTTTCGTCCAGTAATCAAGTCTCATACCTCCATCTATATATGAAATCATATTTTCTCCGTAGAATGCTACATTTTTATATTTTTTCTAAATTTTAATTTTTTTACTTCTTTTTAATTTCCTTTTATTAATAGCACACTATCCTCCAAGATGAATTTTCAATTTTTGCATCACAACTACATTTCTACATATTTTTTGCATAATAATTCTTATCCTTCTTTAAAATCCACTAGACTAGTGCTCACATTAGTTTTATATATTTGAAAATACTTATAGCTTCTTAAATTCGCAATTGAATCTTATCTTTTGTCTGGTTATTCTCCAAATACAATTCATAATACTCTTTGAATATTCTGATAAGCCATTCTCAGCTTACACATAGTAAACCAAATTCGACCACAATCATCTTTCAATATGTAATATTTATGGTAATACTTAAATTTTTATCTCATGAAACTAACTTTATTATGAAAGGCATATTTCAGATTTAATTTCACATCAAATTAATGCAAAATGTATCTTATTGAAAATACATACTTCAAGATATTTAATGAAATTTGATTGCCTTCAAAAATTAGAATAATTATTTCAAATCAAACAAGCAAAATCATAAAGTAACAATATTGGTTTATTTGGCTCTGAAAATAATTGCAAATATTGATTTAATAAACAATTTAATATATTATTTTTCGAGCAAAGAGAATATTATTCAAGAAAATTAATAAATTCGACATCTACTATTAATTTTCACATATTTTTGAATGTATGATCTCAACGCAACAATACTATTGGATAAAAATTCGGTATGTAATGGTTTTACTTGAAAAGCGTATGGTTATTGTTTAAGTTAATGTAAATAATACAAACAGAGTTACTTATAATGACGCTTGAACGAAAGAATAATGCTGCATTAAAGTAGGTAGGTCAAAGAACCTAAAAGCATGTTTCGGTAATGTTGATTAATTATTCCACAAAAGTGATGGTAAATCCTATTCCTGTTGGTCAAGGCTTATTGAGATAGCCTCTTGATTAAGTTTCTTAGGAAACGAGGCCAGTATGTAACTAAACTTTTAGTAGAACAATACCCCCTATTTACCTGGAAATGAGGTTATATGAGCATAAACTCTTTCGGAAACTTCTTAAAGGTTACCTGAAAAAAGGCCTCTGTGACTATTCCTCTAGAAACGATAATTAATGAGGGGGTTGAGTATACTAACACCCCCTATTTTTCGAAAAATTTTTCTTATGAAGCTCGCCCCCTCTGTACGATTGATTATATTCTATACATCTTAACAAAACATGCTGAAACTCAATATTTGGTCTCAAGACGATTACATTCATTTGAAAGAAAAAATGAATTGCTTTCACTCCCGACGGTTTGATAAACAATAATTCATCATTGCTACTTGCTATTTAAAATAACGAAGATCTCGATCATCCATGATTTATCACATGGACAGAAATTTGAGAGAGAGAGAAAAAATTCAGTTATGAATTGGATAAATTAAATGGGTAGTGGTCTAATCTTTTTCCATTTAAATGTTATGAATTGGATAAAAATCACATTACATCATACAGCACGGCTGCTTGTTACAAGTTATATTTCCTATAATAAGTAGCTCAATAGTTAGAGATGACAATCAAAAGTTGGAGAATAACTTTAAACAAGTTCATTATAACACTTTTCCGTTCATTTAAACTACTATTATATGAATTCAATTATAAAAATGTTTGATCTCTTGGTGGGAAGTTATAAAAATAAATATAAATATGAATTTCTATTATTTTAAATTAATAAATACTAACATTATAAAGTCAAAATATACATAACAATAATATATTGTTTTCAAAAAAGAAACTGTTGGAAAAGATCAGAATAAAATATTTTTCTTTGAGAAAAGAAATTCCTTATTCATAGCTTGCTAAATGGAGGTAAAGGAGTTGGTTGATCTTTAATCAGACTTGATGCTCTTGCTCTTTGTTGAGGTACTGCAATAATATGGGGACTGCTTCTAAATTTCATTAATTTTGCCATTCCTGGATATACAATCTTTGGTATAGCAGAATGTTGAGAGATCATATCATCTTTTTTGACATCCCAGTCGTACTGATAATCAAAAACGAAGCCTTCCTGAATGAATAAGTTTCGAAATAATTCTCTGTACATTTCATAATCCGGTTTATCTTGAAATCCTAATTTCCTTACTTCTTCTAAAAAAATTGAAAATTCTTTTGGTAAATCAGAGCAAAGTTCCTCAATTGGAGTTGTACATTTCACTTCGGCAATCAATTTATTTTTCTGTTTTTGGGATTCGGCTTTTTGGCCTTGCCAAGGCAATCTTCCTTTGAGAAAAAAGATTAATACGTAGGCTAGTGCCTCAAGATCATCTCGTCTCGATTGCTCTATGCCAAGATGTGTAGAAACAGAGGAGTATCGTGCTGTTCCAGTAAGTTCTCTGTCCTCTTTATAAGGTATATGGGTTCCTGTTTTAACGTCGATATATTTTTTTGATAATCCGAAATCAAAGAGGAAAATGATACTATGCTTCTTTCCCAAACCGATTGCAAAATTATCGGGTTTAATATCTCGGTGAATGTATCCTTTAGAATGAACATATTCAAGCCTTGAGATCATTTGGTCTGCTAGCATTAATACAGTTTTTAATGAAAATTTTCCATGACAGAGCTCAAGAAGTTCTGCAACAGATTGTCCAAGTAGTTCCATTGCCATTACTGCATTATCTCCATCAATTTTATACCACTTAAACTCAGGAAAGCCCGGTTCGCCACTAATGAGCCTATAAAACTTGCTTTCACGAAGTAATTGAGGTTGAGGTGTGGAATTATCTTCGATTTTAATTGCAACTTCTTCTCCAGTTTTAATATCCTGAGCAATATAGATGTTTCCAAAACTTCCTCCACCTATTTTTCTCTTTAATGCACAATCACCAATAATTCTATTCATCAATAATTTTCTAAAAAAAATTATGAAAAGTTATCAAAGCATATTTAGGTTAAAATTATATATCGATGAAAACTTGCAAAGTTTTCAATAGAAAATTTTCATCATAAATTTTACAAAATTTATAAAATTAAATTCATCAATAATGTGAAACGATATGTTGCATCAAATAGAATGAGCTCAGTATTGAATACTTCTATCGTTTATTCATGAAAAGAAAAATAAAATATTCTCACATCGAATCAATCATATTGGTATAGCCAGATTGAAAATAACGAGCAAATTGAAAGTAAAATAACGATTTTTTTTTTATTTTTCCGAATGATATTGCATTAATGATTTAGTAAGATTTTTATATCCAATTATATTGTTCTCATTTCGGATTTTTTTAGGGTCCACTCCACTCGCTACCTTTACGGGCGCGAATTGTTCAAATTGTACTAATTGTACTAATTTAGGAATATTTTCGTCTTTGTATTACCTTTCACATAGTCAGATATAATCAGAATATCTTTATAAAGGACAGGGATAGTATGCAATATTAAAAATCAGAGATATGATTTCTTTGAAAAAGAAGTGAAGTGACTTAGCAGACCTTAAAGTGATAATTTGTTTTGTTTTCATTACAAAATCTCTGTCAATTTCCCAAATTATCATTACCCATGAGGGTAAATTTAAATTTTCCAAAATATTACCAGAATATTAGATAATCAATCAGAGTTCTAAAAAATTGAATTTTTAAGGGTCAACTCCGGCCAATTTGACACACAGGATTTTTCACTATCAAGGAAACTACTTGAATAATAAACAATTATATGAAATATTAAGATAATCATTCTTATATATACTGTGCTATATTATAGTGCAATCAAACTTCAATGAAACATATTTTTTGCCGTTTAGCTTGATTATTCATTTACTTTTTATTTTAATGTTCTATGATTATTCACGACCCTATTAAATATAGTAATATAAAATGCTATACTATAGATTTATCTAAAGGAAAATGAAAATCAAGGGACCACAAAAATGCTATAATCTAATTTTTGGAGGATGTTTTATTGTCATACGGAAAAGTGCTTTCGATAATATTTATAAAAGAATGAATTCCAGACCCAAACATTAGAGTCCAAAATTTATGCACTTTATATTTTAAATTCCAATGCGGCTTTTCAAGTGAATCAGACCTATATTTTGGATTCTGAAATCTTAGGAACTCATAATTTTCACTCCAATTATTAACTTTGATCAATTTGGATTATCATATGCTATAAGCGTATCCATTAAATACTATCACAATTGCTTCCATATACACATTATTACCTGACAAATTTTCAAATTCATAATCGTATCATGAAGAAAGTTTTCATAAAAAATAAGGTCAAATTCGAATTACATGTGGTCTTTTAATTAGTTAGAATATTTCAACACTTTCTCGGATATTTTCAATGGGTCGTGTTGCATCGTAAAGCATTCAAAATATACTATGATTTAAATTGGCGTCATATTTTAAATTCCATTCAATTTTATATTAAAGTTAATCATTAACATTTATATTTCCTCAGGACTTTGGCTTATATATGTAAAAAAAGGAAGGTAGACTTTAAGATTCAAAAGTTAAACTTATTTAGCCAACTCAATCGTAATATATACTTATTGTATTTTCAATATCTTGTTCTATCAGTCTATGATTTTTTCAGTACGAACAGAAATCCTATCGATTTCTTCCAAAATTAATTAAAAAAGATCGGATATATTAACTTTTACTATTTTTTTTCGTTGATCAAATTGTTATTCTCACAAAATTTCAAAAGTTTACCGAAGTCAATTTTTTATTAAAATATCTCATTATGCTTCCACTCTTTATTGGCCACATTACAGGGTTCACACTCCCATCATTCTCTGCTAAATTTTGCATAGCAGATGATGCTTCAAAATCATCTTGCCCAAGTGATTACACAGTAAAATCTCCAGATACAACAGAGATTTCAAGCATAACATCATTATCATTATATATTGTTTCTAATCCAACATCAGAGATAACAATCTCCTTTACCACTGTTTTATCTGTTGAAGGCCTTCCTTCTCAAACATTAAAGAAGATCACAGTTATTCCATCATCATCTATATTAACTGCCATCACCCAGGGTATTAGCGCTGTTACATCTTCCGTTGCACTTAAAAATATTGATTTCAACTACAAAGGAAATTTAATTTCTGCTTCACTAGATCTTCAAGGGGCAATCAAACTTGGCGACTTTTCAATTACAACACGCTCATTCACAATTGGTGACAACGTCAAGCAGTTACTTTCTGATGTTACCGTCAAACTTTTCAGTGTTTCATTGGGTGAAACAGCCGTATTAACATTCAATGAAGATCTTAAGAAGACTCTTTCTGTTGGTGTCAAGAAGATCATTGTTAGTGCAGAAAACATTACAAACAAGCTCACATTAATTTCCTCAATTCCATTATTGACAAAAGTTAAGACTATCCAAGAAAAGGGTACCTTAATTATCAAGAGATTTGGTAATCCATCCCTTTCCGAAATACTTAAACTCGATGTCGAAACAAATGGCGGTGTTATCGAATTTGCCAACCAGAAGTGGAAGCAAGTTGAAGGATTCCTCTCATCATTAATTGACAACTTCAACTTCATCAACATTATCCAGAAAAAGGCAACTGAAATCAAAATTTCCGGAAGAAATATCCCAGTAAACATCAAGAACGCCGGAACTGAAGCATTGAACATCATTGTCAATACATCGTCAGCCGGTATCCAAGGCCTTATCCAGATCAAGAACGCCGCCGATAAAATTGTTGGCGAAGGCTTCTCCAAGTTCGAATTAGCTGTTGGAAAGTTCGAAACCACCATCGACAACTTCAACTTGGACTCAAAGATCGCTTTATCTCTTCCATCCGACTTCCAGTCCACAGTCAGTGGGTTCCTTTCAAAAGTTGAGAAACTTGTCAACAAACTCGAAGCCAAGATAACAACACTTACACAGGAAACACTCAACCTTGCTTCAGATGCTCTCCTTAACCTCCAGATGAAGTTTGATGGCGGAGAACTCAAATCTGGCCTCATTGATGTCACAAAGTCACTTCAACTCCCAGATGTCGGAAAAGTTCTTCTCAACATTGACGCTGCAATTGACTCCAACTCTGACTTCCAGAAGATCAAAGAGTTAATCACAACTCCTCGCAAGTTATTCTGCTCCAAAGTTCCATTCAACTGCTCCTCATTCAAACTCAACGTCAACGGCGGCGACCTTCCTCTCCCAGAGTTAGACCTTGTTTGCGAGACTGAGGAATCAACTGGAAAGCAGTGCGTTTCTGCCTGAGAAGTACTGTTTCTCTGCAGACGCATCGAAGTGCCCAGCTGGAACTTACCCAGTATTGCCACAGAACGCTGCACAGGTTGCATCTCTCATCAATAACCTCACAAAGATTGTTAATCTCGACTTCTCTCTCGCAGAAATCAATGCTGAGATTCCAATCGGAGACTACTTCACTGTGGGTGGAACTCTCGCATTGAAAGGAAAAGGTGTCGACAAGGAACTCAAGTTGAAGATTGATAACGGTGACAAAGGAATCGCACTCAGCCTTTCTGACATGAAGTTGGATTTGTCTGCAAACTCTGGTGACAAGAGTGTTAAGTTCACTGTTCCAATTGTTGACATGAAGAATGTTGACTTATCTGATGCAGCAAAGCAGCTCCTTCTCGATTTCACTGAGTCTGAGTTAGTAAAAGTCGACAAGGATTCATTTACAAAGTTGACAAACTCTGTCTTCAACAACCTCCAACTCTTGGCCAAGGAGTCAGTCAGCCAGATCACTCTCTCTGCTGACAAGTACTCAATCGGCAACTTCGAAGTCCTCAAAGACAAAGTCAAAGGAGTTCTTTCTCTCAAGGACGTCGTCATTCCATCAGGAGGATTGACACTTTCTGCATCTGGAACAACTGACACAAACGGATTTGGATTTAACTTCGACACAACAGGAAATCTCGGAACAATCAAGTTCGATAACACATGGAATGCTGTCACAAAGTTTGGAGAAGGATTCTCATTCACAAGTGAGGGAGATCTCTCTGTTGAAAGACTTCCAAACGCAGCACCAATCAAGGTAGGTGGATCAGACACTCTTTCCATCAAGATTGAGGAAGGAAGACCAAGTCTGACAATCTCAGGAAACACCGAGATCAACGCAGCAGGAAAGACAATCAAATTGACAGGAAATGTTGGCTCATCATTCTCTGTCAGCGGTGAAAACTTAGTTGTTGGCGGATCTGGTATTGGATCTTTCAAGGTCACAAAAGAAGATGGAACAGAACTTCCAGTATCCTTCAAGACAGCTACTTTTGAAAAGAGCGCTTCAATCAATGTCCTCCAAGTCATCCAGAACTTGACAGCGAAATTCGGTTCCTACATCAACATCTCCAAGCTCATCTTCCCAGCAACTCCATCTGCAAAGAGAGTTGCACAGGAAGATTCATCAGACAAGGACATCACAATCGGTTACAAGTTCACTGAAAACGGAATTCCAAATTTGAGAATCAATGAAGTAAGTGGAACTCCATCAAACATTTACTTGGTTTACAACGCCACAGACAGAGAGACAAGAGATTTGGTTCCATCAGATTGGATTGATAACCCAGTACCAATTATTTCTGCCAAGTTCTCTGTCCAAGAGTGCAACAACTGGAGAAAGAACATCGTCTCTACTTTCTTGACCCCATCTGTTGAGTCAATCACATTGGCAACTTCATGCGAGGAAGGATTGGATGATGATGAAAGTGTTGTCACCCTCACAATGTCTCTCAAGGCAATCGAAGTGAAGCCAGAGAGTAACGAAGTTGCAGATAATCTAACACCAACTCCAGCTAACCCTGATGAAAACAACAACGACAAAATCTTCGGAATTCCAAAGACTGTCTTCATAGGAGTTGTTGCCGGTGTTTGCGTTGTTGCTGTTATTGCTGTTGTTGTCGGAATTGTCGTTTGCACAAAGAGATCTAAGACATCAAAGAAGTCTAAGAAGGAGCATAAGAAGTCAAAGAAGTCTAAGAAACATTCATCCTCATCATCTTCATTTGATGAGTCTTCTGACTAAAAGAATTTTTTTTAAATTATACAAAATAAATAAAAGGTTTAATAAAAAGAGAACAAACATTATTTTTTTTTTATCCGAAATTCAATTCCACTTCTTTGTGTAATTCATGTCTAAAGTTGATTTTATCCTGCCTCTTCCAAATAATAACAATAAAAACTATTCCGACAATTATAGCAATACCTAATATCGGGAAGAACGTTGCATAGAAGACTGTCAAACTTTTATTATTTTTGGGACTTGGAGGTATTGTGCATTGACCTATAAAATGCTGATTGATGTCATTGGGATTCTCATATCTACAGTTTACCAAGGAAATAACAGTATTTTCGATTTGCTCCTTATACAGATCAGCTAAATTACAACCAATGAAAACACAGTTATTGAAAACTGTTTTTCCGGAAGTGAAGAAACTACTATCCGTAAACACCTCTTTTATAGATAACTTAATGAAATTGGAATCATATACACTTGTTTCTGGGTACATTATCATATTTCCTGACTCAACATTGCTTTCCTGGCAGAACTTCATCTCTGATTTGAAAGCAATGAATGCAGACAAATAAACAATGTAATCAGTTGTGTTGATGCCTTTGATCTGAGCAAGATTTATTAAACTCGATGTTATTTTACGTTGAATTCTTCCGTTGATGTTGTAAACAGCGTACGACGTCGTGTTGTCCTGCTTTATGTTAACGAGTGATGTACTCGAGTTGAAGAACACGCCATTCTTCGTCTGGATATCGATCAACTTCGTGTTTAACCCACCGCATTGAACAGAGCAAAGACCATTAAGCTCAACACGGGCATTGTTGTTGGTGACGGTGATGCAGCCTGAGGCAGAATCAGAAATACATCTGAGGAAGTGAATGTCAGAAATTTTCACTGTCGGAGATGAATTTTGGAAATTAAAACTCGGCTGTAGGATGGAAATTGCTGATCCTTCGTCGGAAAATAAACCGACCTTCTCAAAATTGCAGCTTTTTATCTCAAGTTTCTCTTGGATGTAGACGAATTTGAGCGATTCATTTGAGTTCTTATTTGATACTTCTCCAGGGAAAGAAAGGAATGGGCATTCAACTAGGGGTAAATCAGGATCTGGCATGGGGACACTTATTGTTATATTTGTAATAAGATAACTGTCTCCAATGTTATTTTTACTAAAACCTGAGAATTTCGTAATTGTTGTATTTCGGAACTTACAATCATATAGATTTTCCACAGAAAATGATGCTATCGAACAGTTTTCGAAATAGCTATTTCCAACTTCGCTACTTTTGAAATTTGCTAATTTCATATTGTTAAAATATGTATATTTGAAATTAATCCTGAACGTTGGAGTTTTATCATTGATATAGTTTGATATATTACAGGATCTAAGTTCAGCTGGGCTTCCAGAATACAAGAAATTTTTGTAAACTTCTCCAATATCGAAGAAATTATTGTAAAGACTGCATAAACTTTGGGATGCATAGTATATAGTATCACCATCATTTGAAAAACACCTGCAGAAGCATGTATTATTAACCGAAATCCCGTTTTTTGAGTATGCAAATATAGCTCCACCATTTAATTCAGAACCTATCTTTTTAGAGTAGGCAATGCATTGATCAAAAATGCATTCCGAAGCATCAAGTCGAGTGAAATTGTAAGTATTCATTGAAATTGCACCTCCGATCAATGATGATTCGATGGAAGCAAAGATGCATTTGATAAGAACAACTGACGTTCCAACAGGCTTTAATCTTTGAAAGTATATATTTGATTCATAATTCACCATTTTTTTATTTTAAAATTTATCGTTAAATTTTATCACAAATATAATAATGCAATTCAGTCAAAACACTACTAGTCTTATATACATTTACTCAACAATTCATCGTAAACCTTTTCAATTTTTTCAGATACAAATTGAATACACATTTTTATGATATTAAAAATAATACACTATCATCACACGTGTTCGCAAAATAAAAAACAATTATGGATTTTTTTGAAGATCATTTTTCAATGATTTTCCATAATTGATTAATTAATAAAGTTAAAACAAATTCTTAAATTGAAAATTTTCATTATTAAAGAAAAATGTGAAATAATCGATTGAGTTTATGATGGATTCCAGCAATGTTATTACACCGATATATAGTGCATGATATATCCGTCGTTGGGATTGTATTGGTGTTCTTCAATTTTGTAATTTCCTATTGCTCGGATGAATTATATTCTACATCTTATGGAAAATGTGACAGGAATACGTTTTTTTGGAATTTGTAAATTAGCATGAGTGAATCCGCGCCACCTGATTCAAACGCGGAAACACAAAATGCTGAGCAATCAACAGAACCTTTACAAACCAACGTTCATGAAGCAATTGCCGAAAAATTATTACCAAATCTCGAAAAGCAAGTTGAAACTAGTCAAAATCCCGAACAACCACAAGATAGCGAGCAAAACTCTGCAGAACCTCCAGTTGAAGAAGTAAAAGATGCAATTTTGGGCAAATTTAATATTAACGAACAACAAACCTCACGACAAAACGAATCAAATCAAGAAACAAGCAATAACCAACCTCAAGAAAATCAAAATACAGAACAAAATCAAGAAGAAAACGCAGAAGATTCGAATCAAACACAAATTTCTTCAAAATATGAAGAAAATGATGACTCAGATGACGACGATGAAGACGAGTACCATATCAAGCCGGATTTATCTACAAAACCTGGCGAAATTTCTGTTAATAACTTTGATAAAAACAAACCAACGACATTTACAGATCACGGCACAGTAGTTGCCTTAAAAAACTTGGGTATTGATCCTTCAGAACTTTTTATGCCCTCAAATGAAGAAATTCAAAAATATGCTAACGATGAAGATTTTAAACAAGTTTTTATCCAACACCATGAAGAAAGAATCGAGCGTTTATGCAAGCTCATCAGACGCGAGCGATACAGAGTCTTAGATAGAGAAGCAAACTCAGGAACTAAATCCAAATCTTCAATGTCATACTCCAACAGGGCAGGAGCCGTTGAAATGGAGGAAGCTCAAATAGAAAAGCTTAAAATTCGCCAGAAGAAAGAAGTACAAAAGATGATTGAAGATGTCCTCGCATTTGACAAACTACAGAAACAAATGGACGAAGCGGAGAAGAATGAAACCGAAAGGAGGAAGGCAAAAGAAGAGGAAAGAAAGAAGAAAGCTCAAGAGCAGCACGAACGCCACATTCAGAAACTGAAAGAAAGGGAATTGTTGGAGCAAAAGAATCAAAAAGAAGAAGATGAGAAGAGAAAAATCCAGTTTGAGAAGGAGAAGAAAGCATTAGAGCAGCAAAAGAAGATTGCAGAAGAGAAAATTGCTCAAGCGAAAGAACTGGAAAAGCAAAGAGTAGAAAGAGCAGAACAGAATCGCCAAAAGTTGCAGAAAATTGAAGAAAAAAGAGCGAAGAAACTCGAAGAGCAGGAGAAGAAAGTTCAAGAAAGAGAGCAAAGGAGATTAAAAGCAATACAAGAAGAGAATGAAAAGCAGAAACAAGAGAAAGAAGAGCAATCACAAAAAAGACAAGAACAACTGAAAAAAGTCAAAGAAAATGAACAAAATTTCTTGGATCAGAAAAGGAAGCAAGCTGAAGAAAAAGAGAAACAGGACGAGCAAAGGGCAATTGAAATCAAAAAGAAGAACCAAGAGAAGCTCCAAAATTTTGCAAAAGAACAAGACGAAAGAATCAAAAGAAACCAAGAGATCAGACAAAAACTGATCGAACAACAAGAGAAGAAACTCAAAGCAACAGCAACATCGGACGAAGAGATAGAGAAACGTCTAAAGAATATAGAGAAGATGAAAGAAGAAAGAGCAAACAACGCGAGACTGTCGAGAAGTGACGGCGCAATCAGATCTCTGAAGAAACAGGAAGAGCTCAAAAAATCAATCTTGCAGAGACAACAAAAAATGGATGACGAACAGAAAAGAAGCGAACAAAAGTTGCAACAGGCCAAAGAAGAGAAAGAAAGACAACAGAGGCTGAGGGCTCTCAAGTTCAAACTCAGACAAGAAGAGCTGATGAAGAATCAAACACATTTGCAGAGACAGCAACAAATGAGAAATGAAAAAGTTCAGCAACAGATGGAGGCAGAAGCAAACAGATTAAAGAAATTGGAACAGGAGAAACTCGCTTTGTCCAGAGAAAGAAGCACAAGAATACAGAAATTACAGATTCAAAAGCAACAACTGCAGGAAGATTTCGAATCATTTAGTGTCAAAGGAAAAGTCGATACTTCTACGATCACTAAATTGGCGAAGAAGTATGATATTGATTTGGATCAGATTAAGGCAAAATATAAAGATACTTTGGAGGAACCAAAGAAACTTCCAAAATTGAAGAAGTCAAAAGATGAAGACGAGGCTTGATTTAATATACTTTATTTTATTTATTTTATATTAAAATGTTTATTGATTATACGAATTTGGTTATTTTTAATATAAGATGTATAAGAATAACACTAAGAACTATTAATAATATGAAATTAAACCCGAAAAAGAATGATTAAAGAAAGAATAATATTTACAAAAGGAAATGACTTATTTTCTTGGGCGGAATAGCTTAGAAAGCCCACGAGCTGCATCATTCATTACATCAGCAAACTTATCTAGGGACTTTCCAATTGGTTTCATAACCTTCCTATCAAACTTAGATTGACCTTGAGCCAATTTCTGGGTATTTGTAACTGCTGGTGGGAAGTGAGCCTTGTATGCCCTTCCTTCCTTATCATAAACGATTTGTTTAACTGGTGGGTAATAAGCGTATTTGGATGGAGTGATGGCTCTTCCATTTGGCTCGTAGTAGAATAAATGATCTTGGTCAACTGTTGATTCAACCCAAATAGCTTCGATTTTAATTGGCTTTGACTTATCCGATTGTCCATCATCAAAGTCTTTCTTTTCTTCATTGGTTGGATATGCAGGCGGATTAGGGTACTGACCACTGGGTGCTTGCGTGTATGCCTGATTCTGATAAGGCTGACCTTGGGAAGGATGGGAGTCAGAGATAGATGGTGAATTGACGAACGGATTATTATCAGATGTTGGTATATTCTCGGGGTAAGTTTGTGGAGGAGCAGGCTGTGGAGCTGGAGTAGGATTTACATCAATTAATGAAGTTGTCTCTGAATTTGGATAAACTTGAACGTTTGTTGGCTCTTCTATTTGAGGATATTCTTGTTGTCGAGCCGACTGAGCTTGTCCTGGGGTTGGATCAACTAATGGATTATATTCATTTGTTGGATACAGCGGTGGATGAGATGCTGTGACTGTGTGATTGCTAGTTTGTTGTTGGTTGGCAACATTTACTGGTTCACTATAAGGATTCTCCATTTATGCAAAATGAAATCATTTCTATCGTTAAATTTTTATTTTTTTCATTCAAAAAATTTTAAGAGAATTAAAACGATGACAATGTTATTAAAAATAAAATAATCTAATTTTTAAAACATTCAATTAGTGATCGTTGCGGTGAAAAATTTTATTCACTGTAAACGTGACAATTTTTGAATGAAAATTTATTCCCGGTTCAATTTATTCCTTAAAATATTATCACTTTGGATGATATATAAATTATACAATTTCCTTCTATCGAAAATTTATGTCACTGTCGTATGAATTGATTGAATTTTGTGATCCAACTGTATAAAATCCATTCTTATTGTTACATGCCTATTGTAAATCAAATATAGGAGTGAATAATTTACTCAAGAAAGTTTGTGCCGGGAAAAGTGACATATTTCTTTGGGAATATATTAATTAAATCCTTGTGTGATTGAGACTGTATCGAAGATTATCCTTATATGGAACATTCATGCATCAAAGAAAGTCAAAACTATCAATCAAAAGCAGTTAGTGGAAATAATGGTTGGTGTAAAATAAACATACACCTGAAAAGTGACAAATAATAATAAAAAATCAATTTCTTTAACTAAGAATTGGAGAATGTTTTCCAATATTTCTTCAGAAATATAAAAAATGAAACACTTATTAATATTAATGATGAACTTTTTCAGTATGAAACAGTTGACAAGTTTTGTAATTGCAAATTCAACAAAAATTTTGACAGCAATTATTTTTCTATTACAGCAACTAATGATGAAAAAGACAAAAGAAATGTTTCGATTGAGTTTATCTCAGAATATGAAACTCTATATAACAATAATCAAATGACAATTGAGGCATACAATAATTGGATATCTATATTTACTCAACAAAAGGATTATTCAATTGATTTGGGTGGCGCTGATCAAGTTTACTTTGAGATATTCAATACAAAAACCCATAGAATCATATTATCTCAATATTTTACATTTAAAATTCATTTAGTATGGAATTACCATACGATTCTTCCTCACGAAAATTTTACATTTTGCTCAAACACACCTAAAAAAATTAAAAGATCTATCCTTGGTGATGCATTAGAAGTAAATAGTGATGGATCAAACCAAACTCTAAAATTGTTATCATTTCCTGAAGGGAACTACATAAAAGAAATAAAAAAGTCAATTTTAGTTTATGCAACTTATCATGGAAAAGATATTGAATTTTCAAAATATTTGATAAATATATCAAACTTTAATAAGGACATTGAATGCAATGTAAAATTTTATAATAACACTGATTACGGGGTGATATATTATGAATTTAATCTTTCTGATACTTCAATAGGAACTAACACGTTTAATATTTCCATTATTGATCGAAATCAATCTAAAACAGTTTATTATGAATGTTATTTCAATATTTTAACTATCAAGTTTGCTCCATATTTAACATTTTATACTCAAGATAGAATTATTATCAAGAAAAATGATGAAAATGGAATCTTTTTAAGGGGAATCATAAACGATAACAATATTTTTGGCAATTTAACACTTTATTGCACTATAAATGAAACAGAAACCAGAGAAATCTTTCGAAAAATAAACTCAAATATATATCAAGAGAGTTTTAATGAGAGTTTGAACATAAATTCATTGGATGTAGGATTTTATATGGCAAAACTTTATGCAGTAGATCATTCAGGAAATATATCAAATTATGTGTATTTTAATTTTACTATAGAATACAATGAAGTAACACTTGAATTGCTAGATGATATGGATAAATATTTCACAAATGATAACCTAAATTTAATAACAAAACTATTTAAAATTACGGATTTGAACGGGAAAACACAAGTGATGATGAAATACAACTTCGATAATATGAGAAACTATTCGAATAATAGATATATAAACATTTCTAATGCTAATGATGCAGTTGAAACTCTTTTTAATATGAAGATCCCTATCAATTTATCAGATGGAAATCACATACTGAATATTTTTTGCGAAGATTCATTCGAAAAACGTTCCAACATTTTAAGTTATAGTATTCAATTTAGACATAATAAACCAGAGCTTTCTTTACTCCAGACACAGAAAATATTTAGAAATATAGTAGATAAATTCATATTTAAGTATCAAATACTTGATAATGATGACAATGAAGTTGTAAAAATTTTCATGAAATTTGATAATAACGCTCCGTTCTCCTCAGATTTAATTACAGTTAAAAATGCAGCAGTATCATATTTTAAATGCGATTTCCCAAGCAGCATAGAAATTGGAAACCACACATTCTACGCTTATGCAACAGATAGTTTTGGTTTAAACAGTTCAACTCAATATTTTAATTTTAGTTACATTTACAACATTCCAAGTATTGAGATAATACATCTGAGAAAATTCTTATTGGTGGAGAACTCTGAATCCAAAGTTATGTTGAATGGAACAATATCGAAATATGGAATATTACCAGAATTAACTCTTGAATGGATACTCGATCGAACAAAGAAAAATGATTTCATAAAAACATTTCGCCTTGAAAATTCTGAAATTTCAAATTATTCCCAAATGATCGTGATACCTACTTCATTGGACTTCGGCTATCATAGCATTAGCGTTTATGGATGCTATAAAGGTGATTATTGTAATAATTCAAATGAAGTTGATTTCGCATGGTTTCCTGCATGTTTAAAGAGTATCAAAAATAACAAATTTATATTAGGATATTCTAGGCTTCATGTAATTTCTCTCTTAGTTCGTAAATAAAATATAGATAAAAACTTTTTCTATACAAAACTAATTTTCATTCTTTTACATACACATATATGTACTTTAACATAGATTTTACTAAAAAAGAAAAAGAAAATTAAAGATATAACCGAAATCGTAGAATACAAGGAAATAAATCATTAATTTACATATCCATTTTGAATCAAAATAATTTTTATGGAACGAACGGTGCAATAAATTTATCTCAAATTACGAAAGATAAAATTCTGGCCATTTCCATTGAATAAACAAGCATATGGGGCCTAAATCAGTAAATATGAGATAGGGCTGTTTTCGAATTGTTTAAATTTACTTTTGTGAATAAGAGCTTGAAATTTACAAAGAGTATACTTATTTCTAAATTAATTTAATATCAAGATATTTGTATTTGCATATATACCAATTTGATCTATATGTAATGGAATATTTAGTAAAAAATCACGTCTTTCGAAATAAAATTTTGAGAATGAATGATTATCTTTGAGTATCTTAATAAGGAGTAATCTAGATATTCATTTTCTGCAAGAAAAATAAATATAAAATCTTTTTTATTGAATCATTACCGTTAGGATGCTGAATGAGTGATTCTTGAGTTTAACAGATACTTAGATTGCATACACTAAAACTCAACAGTTCGGTAATAATATAAAGTACTCACAAAATCTAGATTGAGAGGCGGTCAATGACTTTTGAGGGGAAATTAACGCATGGAATTTAATATTATTTAGGTTGATATTCTTGCTTATTATTTCAGAAAAAAATCTTAAAAATTTCAATATGAAAATTGAAAGCAATTCAAAAAAATTGCTAACATGTAAATTTTAATATCCTATGCATAATTTCATATTTTGAACATTTTTTATTTTTGTTTAAAACTTAAAATTTTGCAAATTTAATATAATTTATAAAATATAATACGTATATATATTTAAAATACACTAAATTTAATTGTTAATTGACGTTTTTGGGAATGAATTTTATCAAAACATGCCTGAATCCGAAAATTTGAAAGAACGAATTACACAATCATATATGTAGAATTCAAAATACAAACTTAAAGATTGTATACGTTTAAAATTATTCAGATTGTGTTTGATTTCCACTCATTCTGTTTCTTTTGAACTCTAACACTAACATTTCATGATGATTACATGATCCATTTATACATGGTTGAATTGTTCCAGATTCTACCAGAAAATCAATCCAAATTTCTCAATGCATTCATGTTGATTGGACAAAATTTAAAATTTATCAGCCTGTTTCCAGAGAAACTCATATATTCCCTAATGAAATGTAATTTTTGCTACATTTATTTCAATCAAATTTCAAAAAATTGACTGCAGAGCTTGAAAAGGTGATGAATCATGTTGTTATTAGATGTACATATTAGATTTACTATTTCCAAAAAAATGCTCAAATTTGAATAGTTTTTAGAAAATTTGGAATTACACTCCTTACATTATATATAATTAAATGTTTAAATTTTATTTATTTTTCCCTTTTAATTTTATAACGTGCTCTATCAAAACTAACCTCTCAATTGAATGTCACAAAATCTAAGTAGTGAGGGTACACAAATTTTGTATGGAGTACGGTTCAATTTTTGAGAGCCTCACTACTTAGATTTTGTGACTACCTTATTATACTTGATGATAATTTTTTAACCTTGAAATCGAGTCACGATAAGAAATATCAGTTTTTTTATTATCTATTTCAAAAATTGTATCACAAAACATATTATGACCGTTGTTGCTTCGTTGCAAAAATTTCAGATACTGATTAATAAAAGTGACAAATTTGAAAAGAAAAAACAGACTAACAAATAGGTTTTAAAGTTCATAATCATTATTTTTCTAGTATTATTATAATTTTATATCCAACAATTTTACTTCCAATTCAAAGTTATAAATTCAATCAATTTTTTGAATTGTACGGAACCCCCAGCCAAAATCTATACATTAGTGGATCACATTCAGATGCCATCTTTCACTAAAAACGTAAAATTGAAAGTGAAATATTTTCAAAAAGTTTCATAACAGAAAAATTTATTTTTGAAAGACCCTATTCAAACCTGAATATCTAAAAATTTTACTAAGAAATGTTCTTACTAAACTTTAACCCTTTAAGACAATAAAATTTGAATTGTTAAATCACCGTCAAATCTCTTTGAATAAAAGGTTAAACGATGAATCCCTCCTTATCTTTATCCAGCCAAGGTCCTACATCGTTAGAACATGGGTCAAGTATTAAACATCAACTAATACAAGGTAAAGCTAGTATTTTTGATATCGTTTTCCCAATGTATTACCAGATGTTTCAGATGAATATAATCCCACTCCTTCTATATTATGCCATTGCCGCGCTTTTGGGATCACAAACATTATTTCTTGCTCTCTGGCCTTATACGAAGTTCTGGAAAAGCAATATGACCGAGACAGATAATCAGATATACAAATGGTTGAAAGCTATTTTAATATTTCTTAAAACTCCATATGATACAAAGCAGGGTTTTGTTAAGGAAATCGTTTTTACTGGATTAAATATCTTTTCAATAATAATCATTAGCCTCAACTTAGCTTACTATCGTGCACATAGAAACTTCCAAAAATTCATGCTAATACCGATTCAGCCGTATAACTTATGTGCTTTGGTCGGATTCCTTCCTTCAGCCTACGTGATTGGCGAAGATTATACAAAAATTGTTGCAGGGGAAGCAGATGGATACTGTATTGCTTCCTTGTTACTAGCAATTATCAACATCATCTATGAATTCGTTTTTCATATCATCGCAATGTACATGTTTGGCAAGAGCGTTTTCATTACAAACATGCCATTCACAGCATTTGATCCTTTAATGAACTTTTTAATGGTAATGATCAGTACAATTATAATGATTTTAACTTTCATTTTTACGTATTTTGCAGATTGGGCATATTTAGTGATGGCAGCAGTCACAATTATCATTTTCATTTACCTTTTCCACCATACAATGCACATATTTTACATCACACACCTATCAAATATAATATTATTTGCTGTTACATTAACAAATATATGCTGCAGCATCTTTATGTTTGTTGCTTACTTCTTCCCCAAGATGAACCACATTATTCCATACATTTTCCTACTTTGCTGCTACGGATTTTTCTCTTTTATCGGTTTGGTCGTTTTCCATTTCTACAGAAAGAAGATCATCGAGCAGCTCTCAGTATCAGAGGATGCCATGCCCGAAGACAGGAAGCAGTATTTCGATTCACTAAAAATCAAGCGATCTGACAAAAGGGCTTTGATGTATTTGACAATCGGATTCAAGTTTGCATGTCCTTTATTCACAGATTTCTCTCTCATTGAGTATCTTTTTGATGATAACTGTTCGACTTATTTGCTTTCTCATTTAGCCCAGATTGCAAATTTCTTTCCAAGCGAGTCAAACATCATTAATAGAATGCTAAACAGTTTGATGACAAGGAGAAACCTAAAAATAGGCGACAGATACTTAATTTACCAAATCTACAAAATAAAAATTCTGAGGCAGTACTCGGCCTCTTCCGCAGAATCCACATCCAAACTGAACGATCTAAAGAACGTGAGCAGACAGGTCGAGCTCATCACGAGAAGTGCGTTGGAAGCCCACGAACTCAAGCCAAGCTATTACGAAGAACTCGCGCACAGATCAAAGAGAGCGAATGCAATTTGGAAGGAAGCACTGAACGAGTTTCCAAACAACGCAAAGTTCTGCGAAGAATACTCCAGGTATTTAATCGAAGCTGAGTCTGATTATCCAGAAGCAGTTTACTCGAAATTTAGGTCAAATATGATTGAGCTGGGAAAGAACTTCTCAGTGGAATACTCTTTGAGAAGTATGCTGCAAATGTTCCCTGTCTACATAAAGAAGAACTTAGTTGATTTGAATGGAAATTTGCTAACGAAGAAACGAATGAAAAGAGGCGAGTCAGTGAAATCAATTGTTGACGAAAACTCTGACAATTCACGCGACAACAAATCAGAAGAAATTGACGACGAAGTATTAGAGAACATCGCCAAGACAACGTTCAGCCAGGCAAAATCGAGAATAGCTCTACACAACGCACTCAAAAACAAGATTCCTTACTCAATACATTTGCTAGTTCCAGTGACAATTCTGATTCTGATTATCATTCTGATTCTGACTATTTTTGTTGTTCTCTTTTCACAAGTGAAAGTGAAGAAGCAGACATTGTCAATGGGATTGCTAGACTCAATATCAAAGACAAGATTCTACTTGGCTCTCAACGACATGGAGATTTTGATGAGATACGCAGTAGACAGAGGACATTACGGAAAGTACCAAACTTTGATGCTGCAATTGGAAAACAACTGTTCAGAACACGACAAAGTTCTTGACGTGAAAGAAGACTATCTCTACCAGTCATTCTTCAATCTTCAAAACGCACTCAATCAGTACGACATCATGATGAATGACATCGCTGACTTCGCAATTGAAGGATACAATGTCTACAACTTGTCGAAGAATTTGATCAGAACGAAACATGAAATATATACCTGTTACGGTGGATTTCCTGTGTATATTCTAAATGAAACAGTCAGTACAATCATAACTGTTTTGATGGCTCACCAATCATATATCATAACAAGGATCAAAACAAACATTTCTGACATGTTTAATCTCCACCAATTTTGTGAATTAATAACAAACTTGAGAACATTTTACACAGTTGTTCCATCAATTTTCCAAGATTTCTGCAACTTTCAGATCGATGAAGGAGAGAATCTTCAGAAAAGTTTCAGGTACATTTTGTATTCTGTTCCTGTTGTTGTTACCATTTTAGCTTTCGTTCCAATTTTGATTTGTCACTTCCTGATAAACAAATCATTGAAAGAGATTTCGGAAATCATCATGTCATTCGACAGCAAAACTAAGAACGAAGCTAAAGAGCCGATATGTTATGATGCAAGTTCTGAAGAGAATCAATCATTTTCTGAGATCAAAGTTGGTTCCAACAAATCTTTCTGGATGATTTTGTTGGTTTGTTTCGTCGCTTTCCTCTTTGTATCAATTGTTGTCGCAATGACAATGTTGTCTTACAATGCCAATAAGCACATTGTCGATCTCAACAAGTGGGATCAATTCGCAACACTCAGACTGTCACTGACAGCAGAAGTAATGAACACACAAACATTTGGCGTTGCACAGTTTGACAACCCGAATTCGACCAATGTTTCTTCTCCAACAATGGCATACGGAATGGTAAAAGTGTTGGTTGAAGAGTTAGTTAGGGTAAACAATGAGTTATTGCAGGGGACAGACAACTCTACAGCATGTTCTGGATTCGATGATGAATTAGATAAACAGAATTTCATTGATGATGAAATTGATGACGAAAATCAATTGGACATCCATGAAATTTATTCACACAGCTCTATCACCACACAGCTAAAGATATTCTCTGACTACGTGATGCAGACTGCCATGGAGTTCGTTACTTCGAAATCTCTCACACCGACTCCTTACGCACAAAGCATTCATTTGCTTTCGAAACATCTGAGTCCGAAGATGCTGATTGTCACAGAGAGATTGATGGAACTGGCTGATATTCAATACAACCATCTTATACTGACAAATGGGTTGTTAATAATACCTGTTTTCGCTTTGATTATAGCATACGCTGTCATTGTTTTCCTTTACTTCACAATGAGGAAAGATACTTATTTGGCGAGTTTGTTCATACTGAAGAGATTTAATCCAATAACTCTGATAAACAACAAACTCTTCAACAAATACTTCCTCAAACATGCAACTGATTCAATGATTGATAGCAAGACATTGTCAGGAAACATAATTCACAACTCTTCTGACGCAATTTTCTTCACAAACTCGCATGGAATTGTCGAAATCGTCAATCCAGCAACAACAGTTATGCTCGGATACACTCCAGAGCAATTACTCGGCCAATCTGCAAGTGTTTTCTTTGTCCAAGACGACGAAACAAAAGTGTACCAGCAGATGGAAATGATGTTGAAAGGACAGGCAAATCCTTTTTATGAGGACGATGTCACAGCAATCACCGATAGCTGCTCATCTTTGCCATGTAAAATGACAATTTTGGGAGTTAAGTCAACAAATTCAAATGAGATAAAATCATTTGTAATTATGCTGAGAGACCAAACAGTTCTCATGGAGCAGCAGAAACAGGCAGACGCAGCGAAGGCAACATCAGAAAAACTCCTTTATCAGATTCTTCCAAGAGATATCGTTGTCCAGATCAACAGAGGAGAGAAAAACATTTCTTTCACAGTTTCTTCTGCTTCAATTGTTTTCATTGATATAGTCAAATTCTCTGACTACTCGAGCTCTTTAACACCCCAAGAAATTATGGCCAATTTGAGTCACTACTTCAACACTCTTGATACAATCATGGCGAAATTCGATCTGCTAACAAAGATCAAATTAATTGGAGATATTTACATGGCTGCTGGAGGTTTGTTCAACCCGGAGTTACCTCCTCAGAAACATGCCGAGCAAATGGTTCTTTTCTCTACAGAAGTGATTGGCGAACTCGAAGAAATAAATCTCAGATTGAACTGCTCTTTGAGCGTCAGAGTTGGTGTGAACACAGGTGGACCAATAATTGCGGGAGTTTTAGGAAAAGACAAACCTGTTTTCGATATTATTGGAGATCCAATTAACATTGCCTCACGTTTGCAGTCTACTGATATCGCAAACCATGTTCAGATTTCGCAGTCCACGTACGAAATGATTAATCACCTCAATCTGAACGTGAAGCCAAGAGGAGAAGTTTTCTTGAAAGGAAAAGGATCTCAGATGACATATTTAGTTTCACCACCAAATTTGCAGGATTCACTAGAGTTAGATGTTCCGATACAAATGAGTAATTCACAGCTCGAAATAATGAAGCCTTTGTCAGCTTCGAAAGCAAGAATTACTACAGCAACAAGTATCTCTCCATCTACAAAATAATTTGTAAATGTATAGATTTTTTTTAAATATAGATTGTTTAGAATAAAGGTTTTATAAACTTGATAAATTTATTTCTTCAATGCATGCGTTGTAACTGCTTGTAAAAGCATTGTTTTTAAGTTTTGCAAACAAGGAAGTAAGATTGTGAAGAGTTATTTTTGATTATTTTATATTTAGTAAAAATTAAATTGATATGGTGCAAGATCTTCATTTGTTATTGGCAGAAATTCAAATAAAAAATACATCATAATTGAATAGTTTACAACAATTTATGTCGAAAGTTTACTCAAGTAGGAGAAAAGCAAAATTCATTCAGGAATTTCAAATACCAGACGAATTAGCAAAGATAGTAGAGCTATATGATAAAGTTATATCAATTTGTGGCGAGAATTATGAAGAATTGAAATCCTTCATCTTAAATTATTATCATGAAAATCCAAAAGAGTTTTACTTCATCATTTTCATTATTTCTAATGTATGGATGTCTCGCGCCAAGTATCTCGATCAATTTACGGACTTAATTAAAACTCTCAATGACGAAAAACCAAATTCTAGATTTCCATACTGTTTCTTAAATCAATTGTTAAACGATCCGCCGTATAATAAGCCATTCTTTACAAAACTTTATCTTACATTACCATTAAATCTAAAATCAAAAAAACGTTAACCTCTTCCCTTTCATCGATACTCAGCAGTTACCATCAGAATCAGAGTTACAAACAGTTTTTACAAGAAATACTATACAGAACCATGTTTTTAATGATAATTTAGCCGAAGTTCAAATCTACATGGCCAATCCAAAGAAGAAAGGCTTCAACGACAGTCTCATTAACATCGCCGCTAGATTTGGCTCAATTAACACCTTCAAATTCCTCCTTATTAACAACGTCCAATCAACTGGTAACTTAATGAACGATGCTGTGTTCGGCGGTAATCTAGAGATTGTTAAAACATGTGAAAACCAAGGTTTCAAGACAGAAAATGGCTTCGAGATTGCAATGTTCGGAAATCACAACGAAATTGCAGATTGGTTCTTGAATAAATCCGATTGTGAGGTTGTCATACCAGAGGAAATTTTGGAGTTCGGAAATATTAGAGGTCTCATGTTTTCCATCATCAACAAGACAAAGATTGACATTGCGTTTAATGAATGTACTCTTCTAACAAGATTAGTTGATTTGGGAGCCACAAAGTTAGTAGATTTTGCCCTCACTCATGGAGCGGATCCAAAGAAGACTTCTTACTCAAGATTAATTCCTCTTTCCTTCGCTGCGATGAACAATGACTTGGAGACTACAAAGATACTTGTTGAGAAACACAACTCTCCACTCGAAGCATCAAAGAGATCTCCGATTCATGATGCTGCCGCTTATGGCAGAGTTGATGTTCTGAAATACTTGATTGACAAAGGAGTTAATGTTAACGTCCAAGCCCAAAGGAGATGGACACCTCTTCACTTTGCATGCGATGGAGGACAGCTTGAATGCGTTAAATTGCTTGTTTCTAGAGGCGCAGATACGCAGGCTCTCGCTTACAAGGGCGAGTTCAACTTCAGGAAGGCAATGAAGAATCCACAAGATCCTACATTCACTCCACTCAAAGCAGCAAAAGGACATCCAGATGTGTGCAACTTCCTGAAGAAATTGGAAAAAGACAGAAAGAAGAAAGAAAAAGCTGCTGCAAAATCAAAATGATTTAATCAAATCTATTTTATGATGTTCAAAATCTTCTATAATTCGCAAAAATCAACATTGGAATAAAAAGAGAATTTTCTAAATTTATTGATGGAATAAAAGCCGAAATACTGACCATCATTTCGATGGGTTATTATTCAAAATAATAACATATTATGCAGATTATGACTATTTTTTCTTCTATTGTCGAACAGCATCTGAATCAAAAATAAATGCAATTTGAATTTCCTTCAAAAGTGTTTCCGATAATTTTAATAAAAGTGAACGATTATGTATAAATCAAAGAGTACTTCTTTTTATCGACGATCCAAAATTTTATTTTATTTCTCTCAAAAGTAGAACACTGAGAATAAAAATTGTGAAGAACTTTCAAAAAAAAAATCAATATTTATTATAATCTATCATAAAGTTCTATAAATTCAGAGTTATTAATGCATAAATAGACTAATGCATATATTCCTGTTCTGAATTTTTCATTTTTTTGGTTCATATTCATTGACTTTGTAAGAAATTTATTAATTTCGATATGAAAATTTTCACAAAGCTTTATCTTGTCAGAGAATTCAGGGATTCCTAGTTCATTCTGACCTATTGTGCAAAGTTGCATCATCTCTGCACATTTTTCGCAATCATAAAGTCCAAGATCTTCAAGAAGTCTTAAAAGATCTTCAAATCTTGATATTCTATCTGAAGCATGAAAATATGGAGCAATTAGTTCGACGTACATCGAAAATGATCCCAATGCAGATTTGCAGATCGAAAATGCTGTTGCAAAGCTGGATGGTAGTCGTTTTTATCATTCATTGCATCTGAGAAATTTAATTCTATTTCCTTGTAACTCTCTGTGTTCATCGCATTTTCTTTAACTGCATGAATGGCGAAATCGAAAATATTTCGAAATATGTCTTTCCTTTCTTGAAAGAACATAATAAAAAATGAAATAAAATTTAAAAATTGAGTTGATATTATATATTTTAATTGTATTTTGATCAATTATCATTTTTAGAACAACTAATTTCCCACCAACTAACTGTATTCAAAAAAATTGAAATATTTCATTCAAAACTTATACTCAAAAGTTAAATCGAGAACATGAAGACAGAAATCATTTTAAGAAGATGAAGTACGTTCCAATCGTGATCACTGGCCCAATTGGTGCAGGAAAATTAACATTAGCACGAATGATTTCGAAACATCTTGCTATTGATTATGTAAAAGAATATATTGATATAAATGATGGCGAAGAGATGCTTCTAAAGTTCAAAGCGAATTCCATATCATCGCAAGATTTCCAAGAGTATATTCTTCAAACATACAAAAGCCAGCTCATGCATGTTAAAGGCAATGCATTTATAATGGAGAGACTTCCTGAAGAAGGTTCGATCATTTTCAGCAACAGTGATAAAAGCATTCTTGAAAGAGCAGTTCAAGTTCAAGAAGAGTTTGATATTTATGGATACAAAGGAGAAGCAACAGTTCTCACGATTCATAACAGTGGCCAAAGTACAGAAATGATAATGAATGAAGTACTTTGCACATTGTTCGGAACCAAACACGTTTCGCGAGAAATGCTGATTTATCTAAAGAGTTTGAACGGTATCATCATTTATTTGAGAACAACACCAGAGATGTGTATCGAAAGAATAAGAAGGAGAAACAGATTTGCTGAGAAGTCCATAACATTGGATGATATGAAAGAAATGTGTAAAAAGTATGATACATACATCAATAGTTTCAAGAACTACTATATTCAATAAAAGAATATTTTTTTTTGAAATATTTATATAATTATATATCATTTCTAAATATGCACAAAAATATCATGTGAATATACTTACATTAATAGAATAGATTACTGAATTAAGCAAATAACAAGTTAACAACTTTATGAATAATGATAAAAGATATAGAATGCTTCCCACACTATAGTTTTTTTTTTAATTATGGCGAGTGTTCACCATATATCAGTCATTCATGAAATAAACATTAATGAAAAAAAATATTTAAAACTGGTACTTTTTACTAATGATATAAACTATTTAAACTCTTAAGCATTTCAAGGTGAGAAATGATTCTGCATATTGTGTAAGTTGCGGTTCTTGCTTCCTCAACAATCGTATTTATTGACCTTATGTAAGCTTCTGTATCGCTTTCATTCATCACACTTAAATTTTCAATGAAATTGTCAATATCAATGAGATCCGGAGTTTGTTCATTAATAGTTCTTAAGAACTCAAATACTGAACTAAGTTCTGGATCTTGTGACAGAACATTGATAGAAACACTTGACATCTCTTCTGAGAAAAATGAGATAATAGAAATTGAATTGATCTGGGCATGATTTTAAAAGTTCATCTTGAACTTTTCATATGATTGAAGGAATGCAAATTTAATGAAATATTCTGAAATGATTTTATTAATCATTATATTTTAAATGGATATTTTTAATATTTACTATAAAAAAAATTTACTTTTGAAGTATTCATTCAAAAGTGATATTTGATCGTACTCAAAATTATTTTTTGTTTATAGTCTTATTTATGCTTATTATCGAATTATAACTGGTTTCCACTTTTGTGAAGAAGTAAATTTTCAATGAGAAAACAAAAGTTAACGTATAGTTTTTTATGTAGATATTTTACATGCGAAAAAGATAAAATTTATTCGAAAAATTGTTTAATATCTTATGTATGCAATATTAATTTATCGTTCATCAAAATTATCGGAACCACTTTTGAGTACTTTTCGATTTTTGTCAAAAGTTAACTTTTGAATAGCATCAGTAATATTTAAACTTTGTTATTTGAGAGGATATCTTTAATACTATATTTATTTTCAAAAATCTTTACAAATTTTTAAAATTTAAAATGATTTCACATCATTTTTCATTTTTTCAATTTTATTTTATACCAGACGTGCTAGAGAATGGTAGAAGTTGACCGCAGTGATAACATTGAGGAGTCAATTTTAAAATCTCTATCATCAATAAAATTAAGCAATTCATTCATAAAAGATACAATTGAAGAGAAAGATGAAAACTGGATTAACTCTGGAGAGTATGGCGATCTATCGACACGCTCATTACAAATACTGCTTGAAACAAATGAATTATCAATTGTTTCAGAAGGAAGTTTGGCTGCTTATACTAACGACCTACTAGAATTTTCTGATAGACCTACATCAACAGATCATGTTGCTAACTCCATTCATGTCTCAATCAGGGTTCTCGATTCAATTGGAGATAAAGAGGCAACCAACTGTCTTCTTTCAAAGATACAAATCGATCAAAGCAAGCACAATCACAAAATCGTATCTCCTGCTCATATCATTCATGCATACTGCTCGCATACAGATCATCTATCAATTGTACATGGATATTATGCAAATTCATGTGCATATATTGCAGCAAACAAAGAAATGGATCACTTTTATGCATTATTGCAGTCTTATTCTTCAGACAATGAATATATAATAGCAGATTATAGTATTCATAGGTATTCAACGCATGAAGAGAAAATAAAATTAAGCTCCCTTGTGATTATATACTCTGTTATTTACTTAGATGAGAATAAGAGATCAATACCAAAAAGAATTGCTTCAGCTTCAGCTTCTAAATCATCAGTTATTGATGATTTAATTAAGATGAGCGCCATCTCAAGTGCTGGAATTCCAGTATCAGACTTTATACCATCATTCAACTCTCTCGAAGAAGCAACAAAAAATGATCAGACAATAGCTATTTATTTTGATGATTTCCAAAACATTGTCGGATATCGAATTCTTAATAAGATTTCTAGCATAATTTCTGATCCAAATGAAGGAAACTGTATTTCTTTTACGAAGATCGGACTGTTCATTTTACGTGGTACTCAGAAGAAAATAAGAAATGCATCAGATTCAGTTATCAAAGAATCATCAAATGGAGTTCAAAAGAGTATAAAGTCATATTCAATTGACATTTTCAACAAAGTATGCACATATCTTATGGATAAATTCAAAGAAAGAAACTCAACATTTAATATAAATTTTGGAGATCCGATATCTGCGATGAATTTTGTAACAAAAATGCTATATGGCAAAAGTCCAAATGAAACTCAAGCTGCATTTGCACAATCAGCAATTTTCAAAATAGACTCTAATTTTAAAAATCAAAGTAGAGTGTTTTTCTTATCAACACCACCAGGTTCAGGAAAAACTGCATGTGAAATAATGCCAGCTGTATTAGAGAGATTCAGACAAATTGATTCAAAAATAGGTGACGAAAAAGGATCAGTAATCATTGCAACTTCTTTAGTTCAAGTATCTGCTCAGATAGCAACATTTGCAAGCAAAATGATTTGCAGTAGTGAAAAATGGATCCGCGTCAAACGACTTGATGGAGGTATTAAAGAACAAACTGAAGATGGATATCATTCAAATATGTTATTTCGGAAAAAATCATTTCGAGAAAACATTGCTAATATCAAATGGTTTTACAAGCAGCTCGTTGATGACGAAAATATTCCTTCAATCGTTCAAGATCTAATGAAAAAATTTAATGTCAGCGAAAACAAAGAAATCGAAAATGAAATAACATCCGTATTTGAAGACGAAAATTTATTCAGGAAAAAAGTATTTAGTGAAGTTTTAGATGGATTCGATTCAGAAAGTCAATGCATAGCAGATTGTATTGTTGGGACATATGAAATGGTAGCATCAGCCTTATCATATTCAATTTCAACAGGAAAATCACAAGATATCATTCGAAAAATCAAATACATCATTATTGATGAATGGGACACTATTTTTAGGGTTGCTACAATGAACAACAATAGAACATTAATGCAAACAATGAATCAAAGATTTTCACAATCTTATTGCTTAATAGCTCTTGCTATACTAATAATGAAAGTTAATCCTTCAACAAAACTAATACTTGCATCTGGAACAGGAAATGAAATGCTGAATAAATGCGAGGATAACTTTAGAACAGGAAAACAATCGAACATGCTTGAACCATTAATGAGACCGATAATTTCATACTGTGACTATGAATCCATCATTAAGAAGATTGAAGAATTATCAAATGATAAAAACAATGCTGCAGCAAATTTTTCACTCAATATAATGCGCAACAAAATTAAAACAATTGAAGAGTTTATGAAAGAAAGCATACCAAGAATGATCAAAATATCATCATCGAATATTTGGGGTACCAGAAAACTTTCATCATTACCAAAGTCAGTGCTTAGCACAGTAATGCAAGCATATACAATGGTTAATTATATATTTTGCGAAAAATGCATGAATAGCGGGGTAATTCGCGCATCATATGCATTGAAATCTACAACAACAAACGATCATGTAATGCATACAATAATGCATCTTACAGCATTATTCTTAATTGATATGAATATTGCAGAAACAATCAAAATGCTTGCAAAATACCCATCAATGCAATCATGGATGTTTATGATATCAGTGATAATTTGCGTATTGACACACGAGAATATGTCATTTAGTGAAAAGACTTCACTAATATTTATTCAAAAGAAAGAACTTCATATTGGCATGATGATTTTAATTGGAACAATTTTGCTTATTCTTAAGAAAGAAGGAAAAATCGATGCAGAATTCCTTTCAAATAGATCACCTCCAGATAATGAAATTTTAGAAACAATTGCAGCAATATCTGCAAAGCCTATAAAATTTGTCGATAAATGTTCATCTATTGCACAAACAAGCAAATCATACTCAATTGATCACATAGTACATAAATCAGAGTTGACAAAGAAAATTACGTAAAGATAAAACAAATAACTAGCATTGACGAGGTCGATTATGCAGCATATGCCATTTCAAAAGATCTCTTGAATTGAACTTTGATATTGACCATATATGGAATCTTTGCGAACTCTGCGTTGCAAATGGAATCATTTCTATTACACGCGAGACAGTAAGCCAGGAAAGCATGAACAAATATATAGGAAATCAAGATAATAACAGAATTCCACTAATAGCTATTTGCACATCAAGACTTGGAGAGGGAGTTGACTTAGTGAATGTTGGATCTGTTTTTGTTATGGCTCAAAACCATTCATTAGGTATCCCCACAAGCAGAGATTGCGAACAATGGATTGGAAGAGGATACAGAAATTCACATCTTTCACTTGGATGCCCAATAAACAATCCTGCATATGAAGATTATAGAAGCTACTGTGCTGATGATCAAAATAAGTTTCAGTTTTCGCATACAGCAGTTTATAGTGGATTTCTTTCAACTCAAGTAGCAAGAAGAATCATTTCGATCGATGCATTTTCTCCAATAATAAAAAAGCAAAATGGATCATTGTATCTGATGGACTTTCTACCAAAATCTTTTTCTGAATTAAATATTTCATATTATTCTCCATTGATTCTCGATCATTTGCAAGATGTAGATGGATCACCTAATATGAAATCAATTATATCATCAATAGAGTTAATGACAATACCAGCTAAAATGGTAATAAGGAAAACAAATATGTTCACTCTTACAGTAAGGGATATCACACAGTATATACCTGATTTAGTCATTACAGAAACACTTAGCATAGCATGCAATGTATGGCCAATTTTTGTTTCATCAATGTATGTAGCACTTGTACGTAATTGCCATTTTGAAGAATCAAATTCTTTTCCTCTTATTCAATTTACAAAATCGGTTGCATCATGCATGTCAATTCTATCCCGAAGTCACAAGAAAGTGAAGAGTATAAACTTTGGAATAATATTTATGAATCATTAAAAAGTCCTGATATAAATGCAGCATCACAGTTACTATCAAAACTTGGATTGAAGATGCCAGATATTTTTGAATACAGAACTATTTCACAGTTTAGTTTCACTATTGGCTCAAAAATAGCAAACTATAGTGGAATAGCATCTTTATACTTTATTTTTATTATTGGAGTGCTATCAACTGATACAAATATCGATGTTTTTGGACCAAATCCAGAAGGCTTTGAGAAAAAAGACATATTTGTGATTGATGAAGCAGCATCTAATATTATTGCAAACAATATGATGCTTGTTTTTGATTTGATTGTCACATTTGGTTTTGGAATGAATTTGACAAATTTGGGAATTAGCAAATGTCAAAGAACAAAATATCCCCGAATTTATGAATCAAGTAATATTCATGTTTCACCTTGCAGCTGTAGGCCTTCACTGTATTATATGTGTAAAGAATATAATCCATTTATGATGAGAACGGGTGCAAATGATGAAATTATCATGAACTGTGAAAAAGAAGAAGACGTGTTCAAATGCTTTTCATCATGCTTCAATGCACTTTTATCTCTTAATGAAGAATATGACAGCTTATTCATTCATTTTACTGATGATGAAAATTGGACTCAATATTCAACCAAATTCAGTAATTTAATGGAATTACTCATAAAGAGAACAAAGACATCGCATGACCCTCGTTTAGAAGTATTTAGCGACGGGATGCGTAAACTTAATGATATCTATGAAAACTTAAAATACATTCTGATCAATTATCCGAAGCAATGTCACCATTTATTTCACTCATAAATGGATTTTGCTCCAATTTCTTACCGCAATTCTCAACTGAGAGCTACAATGATGATGAAATTGCCGAAAATTTCAAAAGATTTGTTTTAGTTGCTCTTAATGATATTGGGATAAATAATATTGAAGAAATAATTGTTCTTAGTAAGAAAACTTCTAATTGATCAAATAGTGTATTTCATTTATGTATATATAAAATATTTATTATTTAACTATTTCCATTCACTGATTTTTTGTCATCATACTATAACATATCGGAATATAAATCATTTCAATTTGTTTTGAGTATCATAAATCCATTAAAATTTAAAAAAAGATACAATAAAGTGAATGATAAATACTATGTACTTATATTAATAAAATGAAATATTATTTAGAAAATATATTTTCTCATATAATTAATCTCATTATTCATTAAATAAAAGTAAATATAAATAATTTTGAATTTGTTTAGTTAAAGCTAAATCACTCTTTCTTCTTTATTTGCTTGCGTGTATTTTTGGTACTTTTCGAAACAAGCACATTAACAAGTGTATTATTAATTATTGGAGCAATTCTTTCACTAAAATCAATATCAGATGCCATACCAAACGCAATTGCTTTGCAGAGATCAATATCACTTTTGATGCTTTCGTTGAAAACATTAGATGCCTCAACAAACTTTAGTGCTCTTTCAAAGTTCTCTGAAGTAGTTTTTGGCATATCATTATTTTTTTCTTCTTTCACTGAATCGGATTCAGTAGTATGTGGGGCATATTGATAAGGAGCCTTAGAGTGAAACTTGCCACCGTATGGAGACTTGGATGACATTATTGATTAATAAAAATTTCTATATCTTCTCAAAACTACATTTTATATGATTTAAGATCAAAAACTATCATTGTAATATTAACTATTGAGCAATTATAAGCGAAATTAAAAAAAATTTGACTCAAAAGTTATTTGAATAGTATCACAATTTTATTTAGTTTTGAGAATCATTCAAAAGTAGATTTACGAAAATAAGTTTTACTAATATAAATAATAATTTGCATTATCTTAATCCCTAAACTGTACAAAAAGAGAAAAAAGTCTTTTAAGTGTGATTTAATGAATTAAAATCTTTAAATATATCATCTGATAATTATGATTACATTTAAAAGATGAAAAGAAATAAACAGTATTTATACATATAAAATATTACTATAATACACATATCTACCGAAAGTATCTGCATTTTTTCAAAAGTATGCATTTACACTTATGTTTATTTTCACAAAGTTAATTGTAATGTGTGTGGATACATAGATGTTGGCAATAAAAATAACTCACTATAGTAGTTAAAATAATATTTATTAATTTTCTTCATTTTCATCAATATTTGATTCACAATTATTCAAGTCATAATAATCAACAAAAGGTTCGGATATAGTGCTGTTATCAACCCACTTTTCAGAGCTACCCAATGCATCAACTTCAACATCCATTGTACACTGCTCATCAGATCCTGATGCAAAATCTGTGAGAGCTTTGTATCCTATTTTGACTGAATTACCTGGATAGTCAACACAGTGAATTATTATTTCTGATATATCTTTTCCCCATGGATTTTCTCTATTTATCATTCTATGGGCAAGTTCGATTTCTTGAACTTTGTCGAATCCTATTGAAGAGAGAATCTGGCGATTCAACTTATTCTTTTGATAGATATCATACAATTCATCGATAACATCATAAAAGATTATTGGAAGCCATTTGCAAAAAAGAGTTGCATCATGCATGTCTATCTTTGCACATATAACATCAACTTTTCCACTAGCTAAAGCAAGTTTTGTCCAGTCAAATATGCTGAAAGGAAATATGTAGTATTTGCTTCTCCTGAAACTTGGACTGACAAGGAATTCAGGGTATTCTGTGTCTATTGGAATTATAGAAATCCTACAAAAAGCAGGTGCTTGCATTTTGGATAATGCAAACATTGTTGGGCCCATCAGCATTGCCTGCCTTTCTTCTTCATTTTTACTACAGAATTGCTCTCTGCTAGAGATCATTTTCGTAATTAATCTTCTCATTGCGATATCAGGTACTATATTATCTGGATAAATGAGCTGTGGTGACCAAAAACTATTAATATTATGCTCTTCACCATTTGTTATATCTTTTACTTCCTGAGAGTCCATAATAAAAAATGAATTTTGTGAATAATTTTCATATATTCAAAAAGATATCTAAAATAAAAACAATAATCCAGATAATGCCTCTTAAACGAAATAAATTAAAATTGGTAGATAATAGACAACTATTCAAAAAGTTAACTTTTGACAAAAATCGAAAAGTACTCAAAAGTGGTTCCGATAATTTTGATGAACGATAAATTAATATTGCATAAATAAGATATTAAACAATTTTTCGAATAAATTTTATCTTTTTCGCATGTAAAATATCTACATAAAAAAATTATACGTTAACTTTTGTTTTCTCATTGAAAATTTACTTCTTCACAAAAGTGGAAACCAGTTATAATTCGATAATAAGCATAAATAAAACTATAAACAAAAAATAATTTTGAGTACGATCAAATATCACTTTTGAATGAATAATTCAAAAGTAAATTTTTTTATAGTAAATATTAAAAATATCCATTTAAAATATAATGATTAATAAAATCATTTCAGAATATTTCATTAAATTTGCATTCCTTCAATCATATGAAAAGTTCAAGATGAACTTTTAAAATCATGCCCAGATCAATTCAATTTCTATTATCTCATTTTTCTCAGAAGAGATGTCAAGTGTTTCTATCAATGTTCTGTCACAAGATCCAGAACTTAGTTCAGTATTTGAGTTCTTAAGAACTATTAATGAACAAACTCCGGATCTCATTGATATTGACAATTTCATTGAAAATTTAAGTGTGATGAATGAAAGCGATACAGAAGCTTACATAAGGTCAATAAATACGATTGTTGAGGAAGCAAGAACCGCAACTTACACAATATGCAAAATCATTTCTCACCTTGAAATGCTTAAGAGTTTAAATAGTTTATATCATTAGTAAAAGTACCAGTTTTAAATATTTTTTTTCATTAATGTTTATTTCATGAATGACTGATATATGGTGAACACTCGCCATAATTAAAAAAAAACTATAGTGTGGGAAGCATTCTATATCTTTTATCATTATTCATAAAGTTGTTAACTTGTTATTTGCTTAATTCAGTAATCTATTCTATTAATGTAAGTATATTCACATGATATTTTTGTGCATATTTAGAAATGATATATAATTATATAAATATTTCAAAAAAAAATATTCTTTTATTGAATATAGTAGTTCTTGAAACTATTGATGTATGTATCATACTTTTTACACATTTCTTTCATATCATCCAATGTTATGGACTTCTCAGCAAATCTGTTTCTCCTTCTTATTCTTTCGATACACATCTCTGGTGTTGTTCTCAAATAAATGATGATACCGTTCAAACTCTTTAGATAAATCAGCATTTCTCGCGAAACGTGTTTGGTTCCGAACAATGTGCAAAGTACTTCATTCATTATCATTTCTGTACTTTGGCCACTGTTATGAATCGTGAGAACTGTTGCTTCTCCTTTGTATCCATAAATATCAAACTCTTCTTGAACTTGAACTACTCTTTCAAGAATGCTTTTATCACTGTTGCTGAAAATGATCGAACCTTCTTCAGGAAGTCTCTCCATTACAAATGCATTGCCTTTAACATGCATGAGCTGGCTTTTGTATGTTTGAAGAATATACTCTTGGAAATCTTGCGATGATATGGAATTCGCTTTGAACTTTAGAAGCATCTCTTCGCCATCATTTATATCAATATATTCTTTTACATAATCAATAGCAAGATGTTTCGAAATCATTCGTGCTAATGTTGATTTTCCTGCACCAATTGGGCCAGTGATCACGATTGGAACGTACTTCATCTTCTTAAAATGATTTCTGTCTTCATGTTCTCGATTTAACTTTTGAGTATAAGTTTTGAATGAAATATTTCAATTTAACTTTTGAATACAGTTAGTTGGTGGGAAATTAGTTGTTCTAAAAATGATAATTGATCAAAATACAATTAAAATATATAATATCAACTCAATTTTTAAATTTTATTTCATTTTTTATTATGTTCTTTCAAGAAAGGAAAGACATATTTCGAAATATTTTCGATTTCGCCATTCATGCAGTTAAAGAAAATGCGATGAACACAGAGAGTTACAAGGAAATAGAATTAATTTTCTCAGATGCAATGAATGATAAAAACGACTACCATCCAGCTGTTGCAACAGCATTTTCGATCTGCAAATCTGCATTGGGATCATTTTCGATGTACGTCGAACTAATTGCTCCATATTTTCATGCTTCAGATAGAATATCAAGATTTGAAGATCTTTTAAGACTTCTTGAAGATCTTGGACTTTATGATTGCGAAAAATGTGCAGAGATGATGCAACTTTGCACAATAGGTCAGAATGAACTAGGAATCCCTGAATTCTCTGACAAGATAAAGCTTTGTGAAAATTTTCATATCGAAATTAATAAATTTCTTACAAAGTCAATGAATATGAACCAAAAAAATGAAAAATTCAGAACAGGAATATATGCATTAGTCTATTTATGCATTAATAACTCTGAATTTATAGAACTTTATGATAGATTATAATAAATATTGATTTTTTTTGAAAGTTCTTCACAATTTTTATTCTCAGTGTTCTACTTTTGAGAGAAATAAAATAAAATTTTGGATCGTCGATAAAAAGAAGTACTCTTTGATTTATACATAATCGTTCACTTTTATTAAAATTATCGGAAACACTTTTGAAGGAAATTTAAATTTTGATTTGATTGATTTTTGTTTAATTGGACATCATTTGTTTAATTCTTTTTATATACTATAATTTGTTCAGCTCTGAAAATTATTTTTAAAATTTTCATTATGAGTTCATTTTTAATAATGTTCTACAAATATATTACTGAAGAAGAAATACATGAAGGCAATGATACAGAAGTCAAGTTATCTAAAGATAAGATTTCAGGAAATATTCCAATTGATATCCTGATATCCGAGGCATATAAACTTGCTTTGTGCTTTAATAGTTTTCAGGAAAGTAAAGATTTCCTTAAAGGGATTGCAGCATCTTACAGATACATCTCAGAATTTCATGATCCCCTTTCAATTCTTGTTCTTGTTATCCACAGATTCATAACTTTTTATAATGAAACAATAATTCATTCCAAAGATATTTCTGGAATTCATGAACATTACAATGAGTTTGATCATATTCAGTCATTTGGAACTACCAGATCTGAAGAAAGAATAGGGAATGGAAGATTTTGCTTTATTTATGAAAAAGGAAAATTTTATGAAGCACAAAATAATAATAAAGTCGTCAACTATCCAACTTTTAATTTAATGCGATCTAAATCAGGACTCATTGATGTTGATTCATCAATTCCAGTTTGGTTCCAATCTATCGTAATTACCCCAGTCAGCCAAGATTTATGGGACTATGAAGAAGATAATGATCAAGATTATGAAAATATTAATGGTGAATTGATTAATGATGTAATTTCGATATTGGAAAATGGATTAATTGTACCATGGTTCATTGATACGGAGTTTAAAACCGGAAATATAATGAATAACTATGACTTTATCAATGAATTGCATGACATTCTGAACGCAGATATATATGGAGATATAAGAAATCTTGATATCAGTTATTTCAATTTATGGGAAGATTTACCTCTTTATCTCATTAAATCAATTAATGCTATCAATAGTAATGAGAATGGCTACGAAGATACAAATATTAACATTTCTGTACATAAAAAAATTGATGCATTAAATTTTTCATGCTCAAATTATTCATTCAATGAAAATGAATTCGATTTGATTGATGACTCCATAACTGAGAGAAATGAAATACTATCATTTTCTCAACGAATTTTTTCAGTGGATAAAGATATCATAACCCCGATATATGTTATGGGAATTGAATCATTGAAAACATTCTTTTCTGGGACACTCAAAGAAAGATGTGATTACTTCATGACTGACAACAAAAGCATAATTGAGATCTTTCTACATTCAATATTTGTTGATGATGGTTCTTGTTCAATCATCAATATTGCAAAAATGTTAATTCAAGATGTTGTAGATTCGAATATATGGAAAGAAGCAGAAATGCAGATCGATAATGAAGTAGCACAATACTTAAATGGTATGATATGCATGATTAAATGCTATATCCAAGTTTTGAAGGACAAATTTAATGATAGAGATCTAAAATAACTTAATACTAATAATTTTTGTATATTTCATTAATACAATCCTAATTTATTACTTATTATCAATTAAATTATCTTAATTTATTATTTTTTTATATAAATTTCAAAATTTATACATGTTTTGTATTTATATTGTGTTTTCAAACATATTTCTTCTAATATTGATGGGATTTGAATTAGATTGATAAGACATTTATTGAAAAAAATATTAATTTCAAATAAATCATTGATTAATAAATAGAATTATATCTCAATCAACATAAAATTTTGAAGTATTATTAAATTTGAAAGGGACTAATTTTAAAATCTTACTTTTGAATTATTCATTCAAAAGTGATATTTGATCGTACTCAAAATTATTTTTTGTTTATAGTTTTATTTATGCTTATTATCGAATTATAACTGGTTTCCACTTTTGTGAAGAAGTAAATTTTCAATGAGAAAACAAAAGTTAACGTATAATTTTTTATGTAGATATTTTACATGCGAAAAAGATAAAATTTATTCGAAAAATTGTTTAATATCTTATTTATGCAATATTAATTTATCGTTCATCAAAATTATCGGAACCACTTTTGAGTACTTTTCGATTTTTGTCAAAAGTTAACTTTTTGAATAGTTGTCTATTATCTACCAATTTTAATTTATTTCGTTTAAGAGGCATTATCTGGATTATTGTTTTTATTTTAGATATCTTTTTGAATATATGAAAATTATTCACAAAATTCATTTTTTATTATGGACTCTCAGGAAGTAAAAGATATAACAAATGGTGAAGAGCATAATATTAATAGTTTTTGGTCACCACAGCTCATTTATCCAGATAATATAGTACCTGATATCGCAATGAGAAGATTAATTACGAAAATGATCTCTAGCAGAGAGCAATTCTGTAGTAAAAATGAAGAAGAAAGGCAGGCAATGCTGATGGGCCCAACAATGTTTGCATTATCCAAAATGCAAGCACCTGCTTTTTGTAGGATTTCTATAATTCCAATAGACACAGAATACCCTGAATTCCTTGTCAGTCCAAGTTTCAGGAGAAGCAAATACTACATATTTCCTTTCAGCATATTTGACTGGACAAAACTTGCTTTAGCTAGTGGAAAAGTTGATGTTATATGTGCAAAGATAGACATGCATGATGCAACTCTTTTTTGCAAATGGCTTCCAATAATCTTTTATGATGTTATCGATGAATTGTATGATATCTATCAAAAGAATAAGTTGAATCGCCAGATTCTCTCTTCAATAGGATTCGACAAAGTTCAAGAAATCGAACTTGCCCATAGAATGATAAATAGAGAAAATCCATGGGGAAAAGATATATCAGAAATAATAATTCACTGTGTTGACTATCCAGGTAATTCAGTCAAAATAGGATACAAAGCTCTCACAGATTTTGCATCAGGATCTGATGAGCAGTGTACAATGGATGTTGAAGTTGATGCATTGGGTAGCTCTGAAAAGTGGGTTGATAACAGCACTATATCCGAACCTTTTGTTGATTATTATGACTTGAATAATTGTGAATCAAATATTGATGAAAATGAAGAAAATTAATAAATATTATTTTAACTACTATAGTGAGTTATTTTTTTGCCAACATCTATGTATCCACACACATTACAATTAACTTTGTGAAAATAAACATAAGTGTAAATGCATACTTTTGAAAAAATGCAGATACTTTCGGTAGATATGTGTATTATAGTAATATTTTATATGTATAAATACTGTTTATTTCTTTTCATCTTTTAAATGTAATCATAATTATCAGATGATATATTTAAAGATTTTAATTCATTAAATCACACTTAAAAGACTTTTTTCTCTTTTTGTACAGTTTAGGGATTAAGATAATGCAAATTATTATTTATATTAGTAAAACTTATTTTCGTAAATCTACTTTTGAATGATTCTCAAAACTAAATAAAATTGTGATACTATTCAAATAACTTTTGAGTCAAATTTTTTTTAATTTCGCTTATAATTGCTCAATAGTTAATATTACAATGATAGTTTTTGATCTTAAATCATATAAAATGTAGTTTTGAGAAGATATAGAAATTTTTATTAATCAATAATGTCATCCAAGTCTCCATACGGTGGCAAGTTTCACTCTAAGGCTCCTTATCAATATGCCCCACATACTACTGAATCCGATTCAGTGAAAGAAGAAAAAAATAATGATATGCCAAAAACTACTTCAGAGAACTTTGAAAGAGCACTAAAGTTTGTTGAGGCATCTAATGTTTTCAACGAAAGCATCAAAAGTGATATTGATCTCTGCAAAGCAATTGCGTTTGGTATGGCATCTGATATTGATTTTAGTGAAAGAATTGCTCCAATAATTAATAATACACTTGTTAATGTGCTTGTTTCGAAAAGTACCAAAAATACACGCAAGCAAATAAAGAAGAAAGAGTGATTTAGCTTTAACTAAACAAATTCAAAATTATTTATATTTACTTTTATTTAATGAATAATGAGATTAATTATATGAGAAAATATATTTTCTAAATAATATTTCATTTTATTAATATAAGTACATAGTATTTATCATTCACTTTATTGTATCTTTTTTTAAATTTTAATGGATTTATGATACTCAAAACAAATTGAAATGATTTATATTCCGATATGTTATAGTATGATGACAAAAAATCAGTGAATGGAAATAGTTAAATAATAAATATTTTATATATACATAAATGAAATACACTATTTGATCAATTAGAAGTTTTCTTACTAAGAACAATTATTTCTTCAATATTATTTATCCCAATATCATTAAGAGCAACTAAAACAAATCTTTTGAAATTTTCGGCAATTTCATCATCATTGTAGCTCTCAGTTGAGAATTGCGGTAAGAAATTGAAGCAAAATCCATTTATGAGTGAAATAAATGGTGACATTGCTTCGGATAATTGATCAGAATGTATTTTTAAGTTTTCATAGATATCATTAAGTTTACGCATCCCGTCGCTAAATACTTCTAAACGAGGGTCATGCGATGTCTTTGTTCTCTTTATGAGTAATTCCATTAAATTACTGAATTTGGTTGAATATTGAGTCCAATTTTCATCATCAGTAAAATGAATGAATAAGCTGTCATATTCTTCATTAAGAGATAAAAGTGCATTGAAGCATGATGAAAAGCATTTGAACACGTCTTCTTCTTTTTCACAGTTCATGATAATTTCATCATTTGCACCCGTTCTCATCATAAATGGATTATATTCTTTACACATATAATACAGTGAAGGCCTACAGCTGCAAGGTGAAACATGAATATTACTTGATTCATAAATTCGGGGATATTTTGTTCTTTGACATTTGCTAATTCCCAAATTTGTCAAATTCATTCCAAAACCAAATGTGACAATCAAATCAAAAACAAGCATCATATTGTTTGCAATAATATTAGATGCTGCTTCATCAATCACAAATATGTCTTTTTTCTCAAAGCCTTCTGGATTTGGTCCAAAAACATCGATATTTGTATCAGTTGATAGCACTCCAATAATAAAAATAAAGTATAAAGATGCTATTCCACTATAGTTTGCTATTTTTGAGCCAATAGTGAAACTAAACTGTGAAATAGTTCTGTATTCAAAAATATCTGGCATCTTCAATCCAAGTTTTGATAGTAACTGTGATGCTGCATTTATATCAGGACTTTTTAATGATTCATAAATATTATTCCAAAGTTTATACTCTTCACTTTCTTGTGACTTCGGGGATAGAATTGACATGCATGATGCAACCGATTTTGTAAATTGAATAAGAGGAAAAGAATTTGATTCTTCAAAATGGCAATTACGTACAAGTGCTACATACATTGATGAAACAAAAATTGGCCATACATTGCATGCTATGCTAAGTGTTTCTGTAATGACTAAATCAGGTATATACTGTGTGATATCCCTTACTGTAAGAGTGAACATATTTGTTTTCCTTATTACCATTTTAGCTGGTATTGTCATTAACTCTATTGATGATATAATTGATTTCATATTAGGTGATCCATCTACATCTTGCAAATGATCGAGAATCAATGGAGAATAATATGAAATATTTAATTCAGAAAAAGATTTTGGTAGAAAGTCCATCAGATACAATGATCCATTTTGCTTTTTTATTATTGGAGAAAATGCATCGATCGAAATGATTCTTCTTGCTACTTGAGTTGAAAGAAATCCACTATAAACTGCTGTATGCGAAAACTGAAACTTATTTTGATCATCAGCACAGTAGCTTCTATAATCTTCATATGCAGGATTGTTTATTGGGCATCCAAGTGAAAGATGTGAATTTCTGTATCCTCTTCCAATCCATTGTTCGCAATCTCTGCTTGTGGGGATACCTAATGAATGGTTTTGAGCCATAACAAAAACAGATCCAACATTCACTAAGTCAACTCCCTCTCCAAGTCTTGATGTGCAAATAGCTATTAGTGGAATTCTGTTATTATCTTGATTTCCTATATATTTGTTCATGCTTTCCTGGCTTACTGTCTCGCGTGTAATAGAAATGATTCCATTTGCAACGCAGAGTTCGCAAAGATTCCATATATGGTCAATATCAAAGTTCAATTTCAAGAGATCTTTTGAAATGGCATATGCTGCATAATCGACCTCGTCAATGCTAGTTATTTGTTTTATCTTTACGTAATTTTCTTTTGTCAACTCTGATTTATGTACTATGTGATCAATTGAGTATGATTTGCTTGTTTGTGCAATAGATGAACATTTATCGACAAATTTTATAGGCTTTGCAGATATTGCTGCAATTGTTTCTAAAATTTCATTATCTGGAGGTGATCTATTTGAAAGGAATTCTGCATCGATTTTTCCTTCTTTCTTAAGAATAAGCAAAATTGTTCCAATTAAAATCATCATGCCAATATGAAGTTCTTTCTTTTGAATAAATATTAGTGAAGTCTTTTCACTAAATGACATATTCTCGTGTGTCAATACGCAAATTATCACTGATATCATAAACATCCATGATTGCATTGATGGGTATTTTGCAAGCATTTTGATTGTTTCTGCAATATTCATATCAATTAAGAATAATGCTGTAAGATGCATTATTGTATGCATTACATGATCGTTTGTTGTTGTAGATTTCAATGCATATGATGCGCGAATTACCCCGCTATTCATGCATTTTTCGCAAAATATATAATTAACCATTGTATATGCTTGCATTACTGTGCTAAGCACTGACTTTGGTAATGATGAAAGTTTTCTGGTACCCCAAATATTCGATGATGATATTTTGATCATTCTTGGTATGCTTTCTTTCATAAACTCTTCAATTGTTTTAATTTTGTTGCGCATTATATTGAGTGAAAAATTTGCTGCAGCATTGTTTTTATCATTTGATAATTCTTCAATCTTCTTAATGATGGATTCATAGTCACAGTATGAAATTATCGGTCTCATTAATGGTTCAAGCATGTTCGATTGTTTTCCTGTTCTAAAGTTATCCTCGCATTTATTCAGCATTTCATTTCCTGTTCCAGATGCAAGTATTAGTTTTGTTGAAGGATTAACTTTCATTATTAGTATAGCAAGAGCTATTAAGCAATAAGATTGTGAAAATCTTTGATTCATTGTTTGCATTAATGTTCTATTGTTGTTCATTGTAGCAACCCTAAAAATAGTGTCCCATTCATCAATAATGATGTATTTGATTTTTCGAATGATATCTTGTGATTTTCCTGTTGAAATTGAATATGATAAGGCTGATGCTACCATTTCATATGTCCCAACAATACAATCTGCTATGCATTGACTTTCTGAATCGAATCCATCTAAAACTTCACTAAATACTTTTTTCCTGAATAAATTTTCGTCTTCAAATACGGATGTTATTTCATTTTCGATTTCTTTGTTTTCGCTGACATTAAATTTTTTCATTAGATCTTGAACGATTGAAGGAATATTTTCGTCATCAACGAGCTGCTTGTAAAACCATTTGATATTAGCAATGTTTTCTCGAAATGATTTTTTCCGAAATAACATATTTGAATGATATCCATCTTCAGTTTGTTCTTTAATACCTCCATCAAGTCGTTTGACGCGGATCCATTTTTCACTACTGCAAATCATTTTGCTTGCAAATGTTGCTATCTGAGCAGATACTTGAACTAAAGAAGTTGCAATGATTACTGATCCTTTTTCGTCACCTATTTTTGAATCAATTTGTCTGAATCTCTCTAATACAGCTGGCATTATTTCACATGCAGTTTTTCCTGAACCTGGTGGTGTTGATAAGAAAAACACTCTACTTTGATTTTTAAAATTAGAGTCTATTTTGAATGCTGATTGTGCAAATGCAGCTTGAGTTTCATTTGGACTTTTGCCATATAGCATTTTTGTTACAAAATTCATCGCAGATATCGGATCTCCAAAATTTATATTAAATGTTGAGTTTCTTTCTTTGAATTTATCCATAAGATATGTGCATACTTTGTTGAAAATGTCAATTGAATATGACTTTATACTCTTTTGAACTCCATTTGATGATTCTTTGATAACTGAATCTGATGCATTTCTTATTTTCTTCTGAGTACCACGTAAAATGAACAGTCCGATCTTCGTAAAAGAAATACAGTTTCCTTCATTTGGATCAGAAATTATGCTAGAAATCTTATTAAGAATTCGATATCCGACAATGTTTTGGAAATCATCAAAATAAATAGCTATTGTCTGATCATTTTTTGTTGCTTCTTCGAGAGAGTTGAATGATGGTATAAAGTCTGATACTGGAATTCCAGCACTTGAGATGGCGCTCATCTTAATTAAATCATCAATAACTGATGATTTAGAAGCTGAAGCTGAAGCAATTCTTTTTGGTATTGATCTCTTATTCTCATCTAAGTAAATAACAGAGTATATAATCACAAGGGAGCTTAATTTTATTTTCTCTTCATGCGTTGAATACCTATGAATACTATAATCTGCTATTATATATTCATTGTCTGAAGAATAAGACTGCAATAATGCATAAAAGTGATCCATTTCTTTGTTTGCTGCAATATATGCACATGAATTTGCATAATATCCATGTACAATTGATAGATGATCTGTATGCGAGCAGTATGCATGAATGATATGAGCAGGAGATACGATTTTGTGATTGTGCTTGCTTTGATCGATTTGTATCTTTGAAAGAAGACAGTTGGTTGCCTCTTTATCTCCAATTGAATCGAGAACCCTGATTGAGACATGAATGGAGTTAGCAACATGATCTGTTGATGTAGGTCTATCAGAAAATTCTAGTAGGTCGTTAGTATAAGCAGCCAAACTTCCTTCTGAAACAATTGATAATTCATTTGTTTCAAGCAGTATTTGTAATGAGCGTGTCGATAGATCGCCATACTCTCCAGAGTTAATCTTTTCATCTTTCTCTTCAATTGTATCTTTTATGAATGAATTGCTTAATTTTATTGATGATAGAGATTTTAAAATTGACTCCTCAATGTTATCACTGCGGTCAACTTCTACCATTCTCTAGCACGTCTGGTATAAAATAAAATTGAAAAAATGAAAAATGATGTGAAATCATTTTAAATTTTAAAAATTTGTAAAGATTTTTGAAAATAAATATAGTATTAAAGATATCCTCTCAAATAACAAAGTTTAAATATTACTGATGCTATTCAAAAGTTAACTTTTGACAAAAATCGAAAAGTACTCAAAAGTGGTTCCGATAATTTTGATGAACGATAAATTAATATTGCATACATAAGATATTAAACAATTTTTCGAATAAATTTTATCTTTTTCGCATGTAAAATATCTACATAAAAAACTATACGTTAACTTTTGTTTTCTCATTGAAAATTTACTTCTTCACAAAAGTGGAAACCAGTTATAATTCGATAATAAGCATAAATAAGACTATAAACAAAAAATAATTTTGAGTACGATCAAATATCACTTTTGAATGAATACTTCAAAAGTAAATTTTTTTTATAGTAAATATTAAAAATATCCATTTAAAATATAATGATTAATAAAATCATTTCAGAATATTTCATTAAATTTGCATTCCTTCAATCATATGAAAAGTTCAAGATGAACTTTTAAAATCATGCCCAGATCAATTCAATTTCTATTATCTCATTTTTCTCAGAAGAGATGTCAAGTGTTTCTATCAATGTTCTGTCACAAGATCCAGAACTTAGTTCAGTATTTGAGTTCTTAAGAACTATTAATGAACAAACTCCGGATCTCATTGATATTGACAATTTCATTGAAAATTTAAGTGTGATGAATGAAAGCGATACAGAAGCTTACATAAGGTCAATAAATACGATTGTTGAGGAAGCAAGAACCGCAACTTACACAATATGCAAAATCATTTCTCACCTTGAAATGCTTAAGAGTTTAAATAGTTTATATCATTAGTAAAAAGTACCAGTTTTAAATATTTTTTTTTCATTAATGTTTATTTCATGAATGACTGATATATGGTGAACACTCGCCATAATTAAAAAAAAAACTATAGTGTGGGAAGCATTCTATATCTTTTATCATTATTCATAAAGTTGTTAACTTGTTATTTGCTTAATTCAGTAATCTATTCTATTAATGTAAGTATATTCACATGATATTTTTGTGCATATTTAGAAATGATATATAATTATATAAATATTTCAAAAAAAAATATTCTTTTATTGAATATAGTAGTTCTTGAAATTATTGATGTATGTATCATACTTTTTACACATTTCTTTCATATCATCCAATGTTATGGACTTCTCAGCAAATCTGTTTCTCCTTCTTATTCTTTCGATACACATCTCTGGTGTTGTTCTCAAATAAATGATGATACCGTTCAAACTCTTTAGATAAATCAGCATTTCTCGCGAAACGTGTTTGGTTCCGAACAATGTGCAAAGTACTTCATTCATTATCATTTCTGTACTTTGGCCACTGTTATGAATCGTGAGAACTGTTGCTTCTCCTTTGTATCCATAAATATCAAACTCTTCTTGAACTTGAACTACTCTTTCAAGAATGCTTTTATCACTGTTGCTGAAAATGATCGAACCTTCTTCAGGAAGTCTCTCCATTATAAATGCATTGCCTTTAACATGCATGAGCTGGCTTTTGTATGTTTGAAGAATATACTCTTGGAAATCTTGCGATGATATGGAATTCGCTTTGAACTTTAGAAGCATCTCTTCGCCATCATTTATATCAATATATTCTTTTACATAATCAATAGCAAGATGTTTCGAAATCATTCGTGCTAATGTTGATTTTCCTGCACCAATTGGGCCAGTGATCACGATTGGAACGTACTTCATCTTCTTAAAATGATTTCTGTCTTCATGTTCTCGATTTAACTTTTGAGTATAAGTTTTTGTATAATTTTTTGTTAACAATTTTCAAAATATATTCTATAATTTTATAGGAATTTTATGCAAACTTTTATATAAAGTGATTCTCTGAATGTGAAATAGAATTATATTTATAAACTATATAATATTAGTAATTGAAAGAATTACTCATGAATGCAAAATGCATTTCATTATAGTTGTCTATTTGATGCTCAATTAATACTATTATTCTTTAGGTATGAGCTTTTAATAAAATAATTTTCAAACTTTATGCAATGATTGTGTAAGAACGGTGTCACTTTTTAGGAAAGTGAAAACAGTTGCTAATATGTTTTTTATATTAATTGATGTTTGAATGGATTATTCTATGTTCTGAAGCTCAAATAATAGAATCAGAGCAATTTAACTAGTTATATCATTCCATTCGATTACGATACATTGAAAAATATAAGATCTTGAACTTAATATTTTATTGTTGGAAAAAAAACATTCAATCTCAAAAATCCAATTATTCCGCAAAATAATTAAGGGCTAGTATCAGGTCTACTTGTCTATTGATTGTTGAATTAAAAATTTATTTCATGATTACTTACATGAAGATGATAAAATTTATTCTAGCTTTCCAGATAGGATATAATTACCAAGTGTTGATTTCAGATCTTTTCTATTCGTATAAAAACGAAGAAAAATGAAAAATAAAATTTATATACAAATAAACAAAACAATATAGAAATTATATAATTAAAAATTCATTCTTCGAACCAATCTACCACTTCCTATGAATGAAAAAGGAACATAATCTTCTGTCTTAATTTCATAGTTACATTGCTGCTTAGTAATTGGTTTTATGCCGCAAAACAGCTGGAAATTATAAGCATTTGTAACGTAAACAATTACTTGTGAATTTCCAAAAGCATTTGGAGATGATGAGAAATCATTTCTACCGCAGTAATTCAAATATTTTACCCCTGATAACTCAAATGAATTCTCTCCAATAGATAAAATTGTTTTCGGTAAATAAATCGTCTTCAAAATATTGCAATTAGTAAAACAACTAGCTCCGATCTTTTTAATTTGACGTGGAATGACAGTAATATTTGAGCAATTAATCAAACTTTCATCCCCAAGTTCCTCAACATTCATTAAATATTCATCACTCAAAGAGAAACAATTTGCGAACCCATGTTTAGAAACATTTTTAATGACAACTGATTCTAGTTCAATCAATTTGAAATTATTCATAAACATTCCTTCTAAAACCGTGAAATTACTATTGTTCAAATTGAATTTCACCATTTTCTCGCAGTTTTTGAAGCAATAAATTCCAAAGTTTTTACAGTTCCTGCATTCAATTTCTTTTAGTTTTGAACATCTTGCGAAGCATTCTTCTTCAATTGTTTCGAGATTATTTGGCAAATTAATGTTTTCCAGTGAATTGCATGAATAAAAACATCTTTTTGACAAAGTCTTTATACTTTGAGGTAAATTTATTTCTTTCAGTGAGAAGCAATTTTCAAAATAACCTTCAGGGAGTGTTTCAAAAGTACTTGTTTCCCAAAAATTGACTGTTTCTAAATTTTCCAAATTTTTAAAACTATTTCCTTCTACAAAGTCTAAAGAAATGCTTCTGAGATTTGTTAAACTTGATAAAGATGAAAATTGAATTTTCTTATAAGTTACTGGGAAAACGATTGTTTCTAATGAAGTAACATTTGATAACTCTGAAAGTGACAAAATCAAATCTTGGCAATTATTTGGGAAAATAATTGTTTTCAAATTCGTACAAATAGATAAAATACCTGATGTTATTTGCGATGCCTTGTCATAAATAAATAGCTCAGTAATACCATTTGGTACAACAAAAAGTGACATATCTTCACGCCTGTAATTTGAACCATTATATGAGTAAAGTGGCAAATCTTGTTCTCTGTCAGAGTCCAGAATAAGTAATGAAACTAAACTAGAGCACTTTGTAAATGCTTCTTTATCAACACTTGTCACTTTTTTAAATATCACTTTTTGTAATTTATTACAAAATGAAAAGACTCCACTTTTTAATGTTAAAGTTTCGGATGTAAACTCAACGGTCCGCAGTTTTTGACAATACTCGAAAGCCATTCCGTCTACATCAGTCAAATTTGGTGGCAAAACGATATTAGATTACAACTTTTGAAAGCGTCTACACCAATTGATTCCAAACTTGAATTGCTAGGGAATACAATGTTAATCAAACTGTTGCATTCAATAAAGCATCTGAAATCAATTTTTCTGATTGATGAGCAAAATGTCACGTTTTCCAAAGATTTGCAGATCATGAACGCGTTGTTTTCCAAATTAGAAACTGTGCACGATTCATCAAAAGTAATTGTTTGGACGTAGGAAGAATAGAATGCTTGTGTTTTGATTGACTTTAAGTTTTTAAACACAAATTCTCTTGCATTGATCTCCCTGAATGAATACTTAGAAATTGCATTTGGTCCTTCCTCGAAATCAATGACTGTTGCAGTGCAGCTCAAAAAACTGTTCTCCATAACAGTTTCCACTTTCTTGAAATGTAATTCTGGGATATTACAGTTCTGAAAGGCATTATCATCTATCAATTCAATGTCAGAATTGAATGTCACTTTTTGTAAATTTTGACAACCCGCAAAACTCATTTTTCCGATTATTTTCACTGTTTCTGAGATGTTTACCTCTCTTAACCCTCCGCAAATAGCAAATACAGTTGATAAATCGCGAGTGTAAATCACTCCATCAATGGATGTTAAATATGAATTATCGTCAAAAGTGACAGATGTCAAATTTGGGCAAATTTGAACCAATTGATAACTTAGAATCATATCACTTTTGAAATGAACAGATTTTCTATTAGATAAAATAAAAAAGCAAGTTTTATCCAATGCATTTATCAGAATTCCGTCTGAAAATATGTATTTCGTTGCGCCTTCGATAGAAATAGTTTGGAGATTGGGACATCCGTTGAAGCAGCCTATCTGCAGAGTTGTGTTGTCGTTGGTTATGCATACCGATGCTAGATTTGGTGAAAAATTGAACGCGTCTTGAGAAAGATTGACATTTGCTGGTAATGTAATTGTTAATATATTTGTTAGGGAAAATGCATTTGCTACTATTGTTTCTAATGCTGAATCTTTTGCAAATGTGATATTTTGAAGCGATCTTGCGCTGTAAAATGCATTTGATTCAATCAATTTGACTAATTTCGGAATAAATATGTTCACAAACACGAAATATGCGAACATATTATCTGTAATTGCTTCACACAGTGAGTCTTCTGCAAATTCAACCGTTTTCATCTTAGCAGTGTAAAATGGACCTTTTTCAGCTCTTGAAACATTATGTGGAATCTTAAGATATGACATCCTAGTCATTTGATGGAAACTATGTGATCCAATAATCTTAACTGTAGATGGTATTTCATAATAATTAAGCGTTCTATTGACATATACAAGAAAGGTGCCATCATATGTTAATAGGCTACCATATGCATCAAGTATATATGCAGTATTTTCGGGATCTATTGTTAGAGTCCTAAATCGAGAACACAATCTTATTGCATTTCCTGCGAAATATGTAATTGTTTTTGATAAATGAAGTTTAACAAGATAGCGAAATTCTAAAAATGCTAATGCGTTTATTTTAGTAATCCCGTTTGTGGTAATAATTTGCTGAATTGTATTTGTATCATATTGTTTAAGATCCCATTGACTAATTTCACCTTCTCCTGATGTTGTTATGATATTGTCAGAAAAGGAAAACTTAACAGCAATCAAGGAGAAGGCGTACAACATTTGTCAAAAATTGCCATTCCGAATCTTATTATTCATAATTGTAAATAGGTCAGGTATGAGGGGCTTCCAGGGGCTGCGCCCCTTCTAGCCCTAAGAATTTTGCCCAAGACCCAAGAGGAGGACCGAACCCAGCCGACCAACCGGTGACAAAACCAAAACCGTTGTTATTTACATCATATTAATGGTGTCACTTTTAAAAATGTCACTTTTTGTTTCACTTTTCACAAATTATATATGTTTTCATGTTTTGTCACTTTTTTGTCACTTTTCGGGTAAAAACATTTTTATTATTATATATAAATGAATTTTACAAAACCACCGTTACCGTTCTTTGGAAATAAGAGTAGATGTAAAGATATTATATTGAGAGAACTTAAGAAACTACCGAATGGTCTAACATTTGTAGATTTGTTCGGTGGAAGTTTCTATATATCCCATTTATGTCATACAATATTCCCAGACTCAAAGATTATATGCAATGACTTCGACAACTATATGGACCGTCTCAAACATATTCCAGACACAAACAATATATTGAAAGAGTTAAAAGAAAAGATACCTATAGGTAAGATGGAACGTATACCATTAGATAAGAAAAATATTGTGAGAGAGGTTTTGAAAAAAGCAGAATATATAGACTGGGATAGTATATCTGCTAGACTATTATATAGTGGTTCTATAAGAGTTCATGACATTGAAACACTCATGTCAAAAGTTTTATATCTCAACTATACAAATGTTTTCAAAGAGGACATAGAAAAATATATTGAGGGTATAGAGTTTGTGAGATGTCATTGGACAGAGTTGTATGAAAAATATAAAGACAAGGAAAATGTTTTCTTTATAGTGGACCCGCCGTTCTATAACACATGGGATTTTCAATACCAAGTAGACTGGACTTTGAGAGACTCTTTAGAAACTTTAGACGTTATACATAACCATCCATGCTTTTACTTTACATCCGATAAAAGTGGTTTGGAAACCGTTATGAGATGGTTAGAGGACATACATGACTATGTGTTTAAATATGACAAGATAGAATATGAGAGAGGTCCTATAAACGGGAGAAAGTGTCACAATAAAGAAATTTTATTAGTAAGTAAATGTGGTTTGAAATAGGACTACTTGTTTTAGGTTTTTTCCATTGTGTCATTTATTTATTTGACGTGGCAGAAAAGTACAGAGAATATGAAGATGAACCAATGCCTGCAAATGTTCAGCATATGTACTCGTAAGAGATATTTTTATCTAATATTAAATGGACGCACAGAACTTAGCGAATGCACAGCAACCTGGACAACCAAACCCAGAGAATATTCCAAATGAAGTTAGAATACAAACTGCAATGGCAAACTATGGTCAAGTGCCAACAGATGTACAAATGCAAACTGCCATGTCAAATGACGCTGCGTTAGGTTTGCCACCATGGTATGCAAATATGAGATGGAAAGAGTTTTATACAAACCCTGAAGTGGGATATAAACAACTTTATGCAGATGACGCGAACACAGGAGTTGACCCAGAATATGTTTTCTACCAGAGGAGAAACAGAATGTATGAGCTCCAGTTAAAGAATGCTATGGAACTCAACAGGAAACGTAAGAGACTAGGCGGACATTAGATTTTTACATATAGTAAAATGGGTTTCTTCAGTAAGATAGGAAACTTCTTTCGAAATGTTGGAAGAGGTATATGGAATGGAATAAAATCTGTCGGAAGAGGAGTATGGAACGGAGTCAAAAATATTGGTAAAAGAGTAGGTCAGTTTGTTGGTATTATACCTAAAGACCCTGAACCAGAAGAACAAGCTCCTGTTATACAACAGCCTGAACCTGCACCACAGTCTAGTTGGCAACCAAATCCAACACCTCAACCGTATTAAAAAATTATATTTTTACCGTTCGATAGTAGTTGTATATGAAACTAAGTTCTAAGTAAAACGCATGGTATAATGGAATTATTCTTTTTCTTCCATCTGTAGTAAACCATACTTGAAAGTCTGAAATACTTCCACTCGGCGGTTCGTATAACTTTGTAGGTTTTTCGTAAAAGTCATTTGCCAAGCATAAGAAAGAGTTTTGGGCGCCAGAAAATGAAGCATGAACAATAATAGCATCTTGGTCGAAAACATTTTCATATGTTCCATTAGGGTTTTCGACTTCATAATAGTCCGGGTGTACTGGATATGCTGCAGGCTGATTTAACATCCTCATAAATCTATACCATGCCAAGTTGTTATATTTTGTAGAAATATAAACGTTTTCTCCAAGGTCTTCTATTCTATTGATTTTAACAGTTGCATTTTTCCTGTCATAAATAATATCGAGATGGTATTCTCCTTCGTCAATGTTATACTGGTTTGCATATTCGATATAGATATCGTTTATTTTTTCTTGAAAAGCTTGAAGAGTTGTTTCTAAATTTATAAGCAAACTAACTTGTAAAAGTTTTCCCTGTTCAAATTTCTCATACATATGTTTTTCTTTGTTATAGTATCGAACTTCAAAACCGACCGTAAATGGGAAACCATGTATGGCTTCTGAAATGAACTTCATTCTACGAAAGCCAATAGCTTTTGTGACAGATGGGTCTCTTAGCCATCTTAATGGGTAGTCAAAACGATAGCCTTCATGCTTTACGGTCTCTGTCTCAAACTTTTGACCGACATTAGTAAAAAGTTCATCTAATGGTTTAGTTGTAGCAACTCTTGAATTTTCTTTTTCTATTGGAAGCATATTTTATCTATAATAAAAATGTCGAAAGATATTGCTTCCATGAGAGAAATACAACACAACCGACAACTCATTATGCAAGCTCTAAATAAGAACACAACAAACTTTTCAAACTATTCTAAGATATCTGAGTCATTGAAAGAGGGTGACTTAAAACTGACAATAAACCCAATGACAGATGAGTTTCTGTTTCAAGACAATAAGAACCATACTGTCTGTATAAATCCAACAAAAGGAACTTTAAACGAGAAACCTATAAATGAACTTCTTTTGAAAGCAGATGTTGACAACAAAGCTGACAAAGAATATGTAGACGATGCAATAGCAAAAGAAGAAGAAAGAGCTAACAATGCTTATGCAACAAAAGAACATACTCATCCCGAACTAGCAGACAAAACATATGTTGACAATAAAATGTCAAGTGAAGTGACAAGAGCTGAAAACGAATATTCTAAAAAGACTCATATACATTCTATATCTGAAATAACAGACTTAAACGTTAGCCTTGAAAATAAGGTAGATAAGGGACTTATGGCTAGTGTGTTAGTGAAGAAGGCGGATAAGGAATATGTGGATGAAAAAGATAAAGAAATTATAGAAAGGGCTGAATGGTATCATGAATGGACATCGAAGATTTTTAAAACTAAAGCTAATACAGGATGGGTTTCAGGATGTTTAGACCTTAAAGCAGATAAAACTTATGTTAACGATGAGTTAGAGAAGAAAGCAAATAAGACTCATACACATACAAGTTTTACAACTTTTACGGCAGACGACATAATACTGAACTTTGACCTTGGTTCAAGTGCACCTTTAGAGAATCCAAGTGCAAGCGTAAAAGATACTCTTAACAATTTAGATAACAGTTGCAGGAACATTGAAAGTCATGCCAGAAACTTTGAAGCATATGAACTACCAACAATGTTAGATAAGAAAGCAGACAAAACAGAGCTTCAAACATTAAAGACAGAAATGCTTCAAACATTATATCCTATAGGCTCTATTTATACGTCAATGAACTCAACAAATCCAGAAGTAGTACTTGGTTTTGGAACTTGGACTCAAATAGTCGACAGGTTTTTGTATTGTGCAAACTCTTCAAAGGAAACAGGTGGAAGTAAAACGATTTCAGGTGAAAATTTACCTGCACACAGTCACTACATAGATTTAAGTACATCTCAAGCAGGTTGGCATAAGCATAAATTTTGGGATTGGCACGGCTTGAAAAAAGGTAAAGGATATGATGTTAAAGACGACGTTCAGTTTGCTATAAATTGTTTCTGGGGTAACACTCAGGGAGATGGAAACCATACACATCGCGTTACAGGATATACGCAAACAACGGGACAAAGTAAAGAATACATGCCACCTTACATGACAGTTTACGCATGGTATAGAAATGCTTAGTCGTCATTTTCAACTTCTTTAGCATATTCGTCAGGAGTTGTCTTATATTTGTTAGGAACTGTCTTTGAAAGTATACCACCTTGAACTTTGACAAGTTTGAAACGAGGTCTGGCAATAGTAGTTTTATCTTCTGCTTGCAGTGTGTACATTTTGCCATGTTTGCCTAAAACTTCATAATATTCTCTTGTATACTTTCTTCTATTTTTACGAACACGAATGTGAGTACCTGTCGGGTTCCCATTGTTGTCATAGTCAATAGTATTTTCATATGGGTCGCGTTTAGGTATTTCTATTTTTACTTTGTCACCCTTCCGAAGTTTGAAGCCCGGCATTCTTTCTTGTTTGTCTCTTTTGACTAAATTATTAAATATATAGTCTTTCTCTAAGTCAGGGTTGTTTTTCATTTCTTCGGGGGAGTGGTTTCCCAAACCTTTTTGTTTACGGTTATTGTAAATATTTAAAACTTGTCTCATCTTTGCCATGGAGAAGTGTCTATACTTGTCGTCATATGACATTTCATTTGCTTCACCACCTTGTGGTTGGTTTAAGTCTCTTAACATTTTTATACAACCGTCAATGACACCAAGAGCAGAATGGTTTTGGTCGACAATGAAATATTGGTTTACATTTTTTGAACGCAGATAGTTTTTTACATCATCTGATTTGAAAGAACTTTCACAGTCAGATGTCAGTTTTGTTGGATGGTATTTGTCAACGAATATTGTCAAAGCAGTTTTCACATCTAAAATATTTTTGGACCATAATGGTATGGCTTCACAGTATCTTGTGTTTTGACCGATAAATATTAGCCAGTATGGTGGTCCATCTTCTCTATACCTCGGAATGTTTTCCAAGATATCCATAAACCAAGCATTTGGTGTTGAACTAAAGATTTTTATCAGGAGTGCTTTCTTTGTCGCTTTAGAAACATAGGGGTCCTTGTTTGGATTCGTCATTTTTTAACCCATAAGAAATGGGTTTATTTGGCGCATTAGCAGGAGTCGCATCTAGATTTTTGCCCGCAGTGGGAACAATAGCCAGAGGTGCATTTGGAATTGGAAGGAAGATTTTGAGTACATTAGGTATACTTAAAGAGAAAGCACAACCTATTATACAAACTGTACAGAAAGGTTGGGATGTAGCACGAGATGCAACAAATCTTATTCCAAATCCTGAAACAAGAGGAAAAGTTCAAGGATGGATGGACAATGTAGGAAGACAAGCAGGAAACTATTATAACAAAGCAAATGACTACTATAACCAAGCAGGACACTATATGGACCAAGGTGAAAGATTCTTTAACAGAGGATATAACCATGCACAACAATGGGTAAACAATAACCAACCGCAACCGCCTCAAACGTGGGGAATGTAAAGTTTTTTACTGAGATGAAATGAACAATACAGCATTGAGACAAATGGGTTCAAGATGGATTTGTCGACTTCCAGCAGTTACACCACGTGTTTGTCAAGTTCTTCCTATACCTCAGGAAGTTTTAGACCGACTTAAAAAACAACAACAACCAGTTGAAAACAAACCAAACTAAAATTTTTTACTGAGATGAAATGACCGAAGAAGTTGAAACGGTAGATTTGACACCACAAACAAAAAGTTCAGAACCATTGTCAAAACCTGTCAAAGAACTTACAGATGAAGAGAAAAATTCAATAATAGAAAGTGCCAGGTCTGGAAATACAAACCCTAACTACAAAGTCACTTTTCATAAAAATGGAACGGCTAGTATCTCAAAAAAGAAACAGACTCTCACAAATAAAATATTGAAGTCTGAAGGAGCTTTCGAGACAACAGATGGAAAAGTTTACTTCACTGACCAACAGTTCATTATAGAACATCTCATTGACTTAGAGTCGAAATATTCTAAACTTTACAACAAACACAAAAAGTTGAAAGGAAAACAAAAACAAATGGCATATGATATTTATGAAGATGTTGACGACACAACTGTTCCTGCAGGTGAGGTAAAGCCAGCGGAACCGAAAAGTGACGAAAAACCGATAGAAGAAGAAAAACCAAAAACTGAAGATAAACCAAAACCAAAGTTTAGTTTCCAAACTAAACCAAGTCAACCTTCATTAGCTGGTATGGGTTGGCGTCAAAGACTTATGGCAGCAGGCGGTTATGTAAAGTAAAGAAAAAATATTTTTTTATTTTTATAAAAATGCCCCCATATAGAATGGACAGAAAGTCTGCTAGAATAAAAGCAGAGTTGCAAGGATATGGTTGGAGAGTTTCGAAGAAGTTTAAATATAGGAAGGGAAGACCCATAAAAGTCTATGACAAATTGTCTGGTCTTCGCTACGAAATGGATTTGGAAACAGCACGTGCCAATTATCCAAACAGACTAGAGAGGTTAGAAGAAGAACGTCTTATGGACATGCCTTTCGATGTGTTAAACATTGCATGAAGTAAAAAATTTATTTTAAAAAAGTGACATTTTTTAATTTTATTTGAAATGTACGCTGAGTTTGTTGGAGAAGACCGTTGGGAAACTTGTTTGTTAGATGAGAAATATGAAATGGCATACCATTTTAAAACAATATATTTTTACATATATTAAATGCTTCAGGTTGAAAAACAAAGAACAAAAGTAGCAGATACAAAACCGTTAGACTATATCTTTACAAATGCTGGTAGGACTATTTCAGATGAAGAAATTTCATCCCGAGCATACAGGTTTGACTATCCAATTCGTTGGCTTCAAAGTCCTTCAGATGCAAAGGCAATAGGATTTAGAAGAGTTTTGTTTTCAAATAGAACTAACGCATTTATGTTCGCAGTATATTTTCATGGGCAGTATAAAGGTCATGATGGTCTAATAGACAAATTTGACGAAATGAGAATCTTTAAGTTCGTTCAGACGAAAGTCTTGAGAAAACTCTAAATGACTTTCAAACTCAAATGAACAAATATTATTGGGAATTTCAAAAAAATACGACTCTTTACTAAATGGAACATACTATCTGAAACTAGAATATGACAAGATGAACTCCACCGTTTCATTTCAAAAGATTGAAATTAACCCTCCAAGAGATACAGAGTTTTTATTTTGGAAAGTAGACAAACGTTCTTGGGCACAATTTCTTCGGTTACTAAACCAGAACGAACCATTACCACCAGATGGTCCATTTAAATTTATACTTCCACCAGCAGATTTGACAGTTTATAGAAACGTGTTTGACCCTCAAAATGTTATGTGTCATGCAAGTTTCAGTTCAAGCAACAATAGTTTTCTATGTATTGGTAAGGACTTTTATGACTTTGCTTCTAAATTCTACGAACCACCTAGTAACAGTTTCTCTGACTTTCAAGTTTGGTTCACAACAAATGGTGTGCAACATATTATTCCATTGTACTATGACTTTTATCTCGAATTGTCTTTCATATATAACTACGGAAAAGTGCTGAAAAAGTATTGAAAAATAATGTTTATGTTAGCATGTTAGATCTAACACGTTTTCTAACCACTTTTCTAACATCGTAGAAAACTCATGAAAACAATTTATTTTTGACACTTTCACAAAAAACATAAAAAAGTGAAGTTAAACGTTAAGGTTTACTGAACTGGTTGGATGCCGCCTTCACAGGTTATGTAGAATGGTTGACCAGAGAAGTGGAACAGTGCTCTGAGAATTTGTATAATTCGTGGAATTGGACTCTCTCTGTTTGGAAGTTGTATCCAAGGACGCTTGGCAAAGAACTTTATAATGGCTTCCTTCTTTGCTTGCTTTATGTCGTCGAAAGGAGTGCCTTCTGGTACCTCAATTGGAATTCCAGTCGAAATCTCGAGAGTCAAGGCAGCCCTTCCAGAAATAGTGGTGAACTTGACCTTGGGCTTCATGACCTTGCGCAAGTACTGCTTAACAAGCTCGTTAATTTAAATTAGGTAAACTGCCTCATCTAATGGCTCGATGTTGTCCATTGCTACTGTCAGTAAAAGTACTGCTACTGTCAGAAAAAGTACTGCTACTGTCAGTAAAAGTACTGCTACTGTCAGAAAAAGTACTGCTACTGTCAGTAAAAGTACTGCTACTGTCAGTAAAAGTACTTCTACTGTCAGTAAAAGTACTTCTACCGTCAGTAAAAAGGAAAATTTGAGAGGGTTTTCGACGATAAAGTACTTCTACTGTCAGTAAAAGTACTTCTACTGTCAGAAAAAGTACTGCTACTGTCAGTAAAAGTACTTCTACTGTCAGTAGAAGTACTGCTAGTAGCAGAGATTTTTATCGTTGTGGTCCGACGGTTAAGCCACCAACGAATGTCCCACGTCCCACCAACCGAGTCCAATCTCAATCCAGAAGAACCGAAAGCACCAGCCCCTACACCTCAGTTCCAACAATTCCAATCTCAATCCAAATTACTACCAATTTCCACCTCAAGGTTACTACCAATTTCCACTACAAGGCTTCCCGAACTACCCTCCTCCTCAGCCTATGCCTTACTGCCCCAACCCTTGGATGTTCCAGCAAGCTCCACCCCAACAATTCCAATTCCAATACAAATCGAAGAGAGACCAAGAGATCGAAGAAGGTCTGAACCGCTTACGCAAAGAGTATGCTACAGCTCCAATTGAGAGAAAGTTGTTCCCGGACCAAAAAATAATGTTTAGGGTAGAAGGTTGGATCTAACCTCATTTCTACCCTCATTTCTACCCTCTTGAATTTGTCATGACTTCTTCGTAAACTAAACGTAAATGTTTTGTGAAGAATATAGCAACCGCCGGAATTCGGACGGTTGGTTTTTATACAAAATTCATGCGGGAAATTCTTGAGTTTTGGTTGAAAGAATACGGTGGAGCCAAAAGTGGCTCGACCTCAAAACAAACATTTTATGAGCTTACAAAGGGTGTTATGAATGAATTCAGCAACATACATCCTGACCTCGTTCATTTTGTTGCTAAATTCAGTAAAAATATATTTTATGTTAGCATGTTAGATCTAACACGTTTTCTAACCTCATTTCTAACCTCTTGAATTTTCATGAATTTTATATATTAATGTTTTGTCAAACATGAACGTAAATGTTTTGTCATGATTTCATCGTAAATGTTTTGTCAAGACTTCTTCGTAAATGTTTTGTCGAAACTTCATCGTAATGAGCGTAAATCCGACAAAAATATATTTTAGGTGAAGTGGTGAGATCTCACCTCTTTTCTCACCTGTTTTCTCACCTCTTGAATTTTCATGAATTTCATCGTAAATGTTTTGTCGAAACTTCTTCATCGTATATGTTTTGTCATGATTTCATCGTAAATGTTTTGTCAAACATGAACGTATATGTTTTGTCGAAACTTCATCGTAATGAGCGTAAATGACCCAAAAATAATGTTTATGTTAGCATGTTAGATCTAACACGTTTTCTCACCTCTTTTCTCACCTCATGAATTTTCATGAATTTCCTTAAGATAGAAAAAATAAAATTAGTTTTATTTTGTATTTATTTTTTTATTTTGTATGTAAGAACAGAAAATGACAAACATTGAGTTTGAAACAGTTAGAAAGATAGACAATGACACCAAAGTGGTTAGAATTGGTGATTTAAACGTAAGATACTCAAAGAAATACAACAAATATTCTTTGTCAGACATTTTATCTCCATCTGGAAAGAGACCGATGGACTGGGTTAGAATTGTTTCTACTCAGAAAATTTTGACAAGAAATCCTAAGCTCATGATATCAGTAGCATTTCATGGAACAAGAGCATATCTTATAGACAAAAGTCTTATACCAATAGTTTTGTTATGGATTGACCCAGTTGTTGGATATAACTTCATAACTTATGGTTCATTCGATACGGAACGTTGCAGTGAAGGCTTACTTTACATCGTTCAGAAACCGAAGGACTTCAACACAAAAAGATATAAGATAGGAAGAACATATAATATAACTCAAAGATATGACAGTACAGTCAATAGAGTCAGGGTTGTGTTCGTTTATGATATGAGAGCTGCAGAAACAGAACTACTTGAAAAGTTTGAGAAAATGTATGGTGCTCCCATAAAAGGTAGGGAAACGTTTGAAGTAGATGAGATAGATAAAGCTATAAAATTATTTGACGAAGTTGCTGAAAAATACATGTAAAGCGTTTATTTTTGGTCTTTTGTGAAAGTCAGAAAATAACAGTTATCTAATGAAAAAGTGTCATTTTTTGTATGTAAGGTATGATTTCAGGGATTTTTTTGACGAAGTGTTACCCTTCACTTCGTCAAAAAATAACAGTTATCTAATGAAAAAGTGTCATTTTTTTCATTTTTTTGTATGTAAGATATGATTTCAGGGATTTTTTTGACGAAGTGTTATCCTTCACTTCGTCAAAAAATAACAGTTATCTAATGAAAAAGTGTCATTTTTTTCATTTTTTTGTATTTGACGAGAATGTTTATGTTAGCATGTTAGATCTAACCTGTTTTCTAACCTCATTTCTAACCTCTTGAATTTTCATGATTTCATCGTAAATGTTTTGTCAAGACTTCTTCATCGTAATGAGCGTAAATGACCAAAAAATAATGTTTATGTTAGCATGTTAGATCTAACACGTTTTCTAACCTCTTTTCTAACCTCTTGAATTTTCATGATTTCTTCGTAAATGTTTTGTCAAACATGAACGTATATGTTTTGTCAAAACTTCATCGTATATGTTTTGTCAAGACTTCTTCGTAAATGTTTTGTCAAACATGAACGTAAATGTTTTGTCGAAACTTCTTCGTAAATGTTTTGTCAAGACTTCTTCGTAAATGTTTTGTCAAGACTTCTTCATCGTAAATGTTTTGTCGAAACTTCTTCATCGTAAATGTTTTGTCAAGACTTCTTCATCGTAAATGTTTTGTCGAAACTTCTTCGTAAATGTTTTGTCAAACATGAACGTAAATGTTTTGTCAAAACTTCTTCGTAAATGTTTTGTCATGATTTCATCGTAAATGTTTTGTCATGATTTCATCGTAATGAGCGTAAATGACCAAAAAATAATGTTTATGTTAGCATGTTAGATCTAACACGTTTTCTAACCTGTTTTCTAACATCGTAGAAAACTCATGAATTTTCATGAATTTTCCCGAAATAAAAAATAAAGTTAGTTTTATTTTTATTTATTTTTTTATTTTGTATGTAAGAACAGAAATGTCAACAATCGGCACAACAGCAATACAAACAACTACAGCACCAAACTCGTTAGTTATGAATCCTACGTCAATGTTAGTAGAGATGAAAAGCTTCATTCCTTCTTCATATACTTTCGAAACAGAAATACAAAGAATAAAGCAGGAACTTTTAACAAGTAATTTAGACTGTAGTGCGAAAGATGAAGAAAATGAAGAATATCTTTATGAAATGGAGGACATTATTGACCATTTGCCTAAACTACCTGAAATCCAACAACAAAAACTCACTATTCCTGAATTCGACGAAATTGAAGTCAAACCAACTGACTCGGTAGAAATAAAGAAGTTCATACGAAGGGTAAACTATGAATTCCTTGGTTTTCATTGCAACCATAAGGTTATGGACAAAGATTGCGACATGGTTTATAAAAATATTTCTGACATATATAAATCTGAAGAATTTAAGACCTACGACAACTTTGTTTCGTTAGTTGCTGAATGTGTTTGGGAAATAAGAGATAAAGATAGAAGAGGCAAAGTATGGAACAAACAAATAAGACCCGCTATGTTTGAGATGAAGAAAACCATTGACGCCTTGGTTGTTTTAGCAGGTAAGGTTTCAGAATATAACGCAAAAATGAACCCGCAATGTTCTAAATGTAAAGCAGCAATGAGGAGATATAACTACTCCGTCAAAGAGATAGAAAGAATGAGAAACGACTATGCAGACTTAAAGAAAGAAGCAGAGAAGCCGGTAGAAGATAAAATGGATATGTTGACATTTCTGAACAAAAACTATCCAACAGCAGAAGATTTCCTTCTATCTGACGTCAAGAAGAAGTATAAAGAAACCTTCGGCATAGTTAAAACATTCGATGTACTAAAAGAAGAAATAGAAGCTACGAAACTGTTTAAAGTCATGAACCATCGCAACATATACCATGTAAAACGCTTGTGAAAAAAACAGGTGAGAAAACGGGTGAAAAAACGTGTTAGATCTAACATGTTAACATAAACATTATTTTTGTCTGATTTACGCTCATTACGAAGAAGTCTTGACAAAACATGTACGAAGAAGTCTTGACAAAACATGAGGTGAGAAAACATGTTAGAAAAGGTGTTAGATCTAACATTCTAACATAAACATTATTTTTGCTGAATTCAGCAACAAAATTCATGAAAATTCAAGAGGTGAGAAAACAGGTGAGAAAACGTGTTAGATCTAACATGTTAACATAAACATTATTTTTATTGAATTCAGCAACAAAATTCTGAGTAAAATGACATATGGCACGTGTCAAACCGTTGAGTTTTCACAAAATTTAAAAAAATAACTTGGGTGAGAAAACGGGTGAGATCTCACCTCTTCACCTAAACATTATTTTTGTCTGATTTACGCTCATTACGAAGAAGTCTTGACAAAACATGTACGAAGAAGTCTTGACAAAACATTTACGAAGAAGTCTTGACAAAACATGTACGAAGAAGTCTTGACAAAACATTTACGAAGAAGTCTTGACAAAACATGAGGTGAGAAAACAGGTGAGAAAACAGGTGAAAAAACGGGTGAGATCTCACCACTTCACCTAAACATTATTTTTGCTGAAAAATGACCAAAATTCTGAGTAAAATGACATATGCTTGCTTCCCTCGGAAAACCGAGAGAAGAGATTCCGTATGAAAATCATGAATTTCCTTAAGATAGAAAAAATAAAGTTAGTTTTATTTTTATTTATTTTTTTATTTTGTATGTAAGAACAGAAAATGACAAACAATGAGTTTGAAACAGTTAGAAAGATAGACAATGACACCAAAGTGGTTAGAATAGGGGATTTAAACGTAAGATACTCAAAGAAATACAACAAATATTCTTTGTCAGACATTATATCTCCATCTGGAAAGCAACCACACGACTGGGTTAGAATTGCTTCTACTCAGAAAATTTTGACAAGAAATCCTAAGCTCATGATATCGGTAAGATTCTATGGAACAAGAGCATATCTTATAGACAAAAGTCTTATACCAATAGTTTTGTTATGGATTGACCCAGTTGTTGGATATAACTTCATAACTTATGGTTCATTCGATACGGAACGTTGCAGTGAAGGCTTACTTTACATCGTTCAGAAACCGAAGGACTTCAACACAAAGAGATATAAGATAGGAAGAACATATAATATAACTCAAAGATATGACAGTACAGTCAATAGAGTCAGGGTTGTGTTTGTTAATGATATGAGAGCTGCAGAAACAGAACTACTTGAAAAGTTTGAGAAAATGTATGGTGCTCCCACGAAAGGTAGGGAAACGTTTGAAGTAGATGAGATAGATAAAGCTATAAAATTATTTGACGAAGTTACTGAAAAATACATGTAAAGCGTTTATTTTTGGTCTTTTGTGAAAGTCAGAAAATAACGCTAATTTTTTTATAAAATATTTTTTTATTTTGTATGTAAAGACAGATATGTCAACAACAGAGAACACAACAACAGTTATAGTCCATGAAGATATAAATGAAGAATATGAGTGGGTTCAGTTTAACAAACAACTCCGTCTCATTCGTTCGGTCAAAGATGACATGTACCAAATGCAAAGTATTTTGACAGCATGTTATGCTCCAGATACCAAACATACAGACGATTGGTTCAAAAACCAAAGCACACAAGAACTTTTGAGCGAAGCACAGCGAGCCCGACTTCCTTCGGGGTCGCCTAAAACTCATGAAAATCGTAAAAATTTGCCAAATGGTTTGAGAGGTTGGTATGTACATAGACTTCTTGTAAATGCTGTTGCAATGTGGGCTTCGCCTCGTTATGCTTGGTATATTTACAGACTTCTTGACGAAATTCATAGACAAGAACGTGAAGAGATGGAAAAGAAACTTCATGCAAAAGATGAAGTCATTGAAGCAAAAGATGAAGTCATTGAAGCAAAAGACAAAAGCATTCAGAAAAGAATACCACGTTCGGTACCAAAAGGAAAGGAAAAGAACTATAAGTATATGATTTATACTGAAGAGATGGAAAATGAAGAAGATAAAGATATGGTTATGTTGCATTTAGTCAGAAGAAACAACAAAAGCTTTTACGACCTTGCTAAGATTTACAAATCTGACAGAAATTGGTTCTATCGCGAAAACTTACCGATTTCAATGACACCGAATGAAGATGTGAAACAAATAGTTCAAGATACGTTACCTCAAACACACTATGATATTAAAGGTTGTACAATTCTTACCTTCAAAGAAGATTTGCCATTGTTAAAGGAAAAAATAACAGAGTATTTTGACAACTTCAAACAAGTAGGGTAAATGAACTCTTTATTTTTCAAGCTTGACTTTTTACAATTTGAACTTTGTTTGCGTAGATATGAATTCTGAAAGAAGTATGAGGGTCTTGTATGACTTTGTACTTCTCCCATAGTTCATATCTGTCAAACTTACCTGCCATGGACTCTTTCATAAGTTCCATGAAATCGTCTTCGGACAATCCGGGGAAAAGTATTATGTCAGTAAGTATTCTTTTAACATCCTTACTTAAACTCTTGGCTGTCTGTACACATATTACGACTGAGATGTTAAAGTGTCTGAGCTTCTTAAGAATTCGACACATGTCTTGTTCTCTGTTCTTTAACAAAGGATGAGAGGCGAAATCATCTAAGATAAGAAGACATCTATGAGGGTATGTCTTCCAATCGTAAGATTGCAATTTCTTCGAAATGTATTCTATCTCTTTCTGTTTGTTTCTGAAGTGTTTCTTCTCTAATATTCCTGCATTTCCTCATTTGGGTCTTTAAACTTAGAATTTATATACTCATTTATAGCATTATACTTCAAAACTCTTCTTTGGTACTTCTTTATCCAATCTAACAACTCAGTATCCTTTATACATACTAACTTAGACTTCTTTATAATATCTTTGAACGAATTGACGGTTTGGTCAAATTGACCAGAAGTACTACAAATAACAACTAACTCATAGAATGGGTTCTTCTCATCTAGTTCTTGTTGTTGTGCAGCCATTTTAAGATAAGTGAAAGTCTTACCCGACCCAGGTGGTGCAATTAGACCTGTTATACCATTCTGAGCAAATAAGAACTTGTCATGTATAGGCTTTTATCTGAGCATTTTCTAACTTCCTCTGTTCTTGTTTAAAACATTCTCAAATTTCTTGTCAATGTCAGCAAACTTTTTTTTCTAACATATTTTTAGAAAAATTAAAATTTTATCTTTTAGAAAATGTCTAGCGATTTCGCTATCTATATTCGAGACAAGCTTTTCGACAGCAAAACATCTGTCGACCATAAAATCTTACATAGTGTAAACAAGAAAGGTGAATTTGTTCTAAAGTTCTGTTTCTGGGAATATGACAAGAACCATAAAACATTAAGCAGAGCAGTCTTAAAATTTGTCATTGACAGACTTGTTGACAGAGATGACGCCGATTGGAAAGATGAAGTCCAACAAAAGTTCTTAGAATGCAAAGAAGACACATGCGCTGTTCTTGAAGATGAAATAGAAAACAGAATAGATGAGCTATTAAAGGACAAAGAACTTTTACATAAATATAGTTGCGCCAAATTTGACATAACTCCACCAGAAAAGAAGAAGAAAGAAAAGAAAGAAAAGAAAGTAGAAGAGAAGAAAGAACCAGAGCCAGTTCCAGAGAAAAAGAAATTTGACATGTAAAAATAAAATTTTATTTTTAGAAACATTTCTGGGTCAATGTCAATGTTCTCTTCCTCTTTAGGAGTAAACACTGGCTTAGACTCTAAAATCTTTTTACCCAATTTACCTTGAACTTCAACTATCTTAGACTCATAATATTCATAGTCGTCTGCTTTCTTTGGTTCATAAGGTATAACAAGTTTGTATGCTTTGCCTTCTTTAAGGTTTGAGAACCTTCTGTCAAAACTTTCTTTGACTGTTAACAAACCTTCTATGTCTAAGTCTTCAAATTTCGCACCATTTTTAGTCACAATAGCAAACTTAACTGGTTCGATGTTCCAAACTTTGCTGAATGAAGACTTTTCAAAATGGTAGAAGTAAACATTCAAATATGTGAATGGTCTAGTTCTTCTTTAAGTCCTGTCATGTACTTATTTACTGAGATGAATTTTGTCATCTTTTTCTATCGGATAAAAAAAATATTTTTTGTTTTTAAATTTACTCAGAAAAATTTTTCTTTGTATATACACCATTCTGAACATCTAAAAGACTTTTGACATTTGCCAAGAATGTTCGTTTAGAAGCTGTCATATAACCATATTCTTGACAATATTGTTTATACGAATCGTACAATGACCTTTCATCTAATGACACAAAGTCAGTTTCATCTATGAACAGTTCATATACACTCTTGTTTGCTTCTAACAATGTTTGTCTCTCTTCGGTATGTGGAATTTGTCTTGGATTGAACTTAGAAATATCTAATGTCATGAAATATGAGAACAAGTGGTTGTAAAAGTCAGATGTCAAAGTTTCTGCTAAGTCGTCAAAATATTCAGTATCTTGCATATGAGCTTCTGACGTTCTGACAACTACATATCTTCTGTCAGAACTTTCTAACTTCATCGGAACAACATTGTTTGAAACCATAATGAAGTTTGCAACATTTTCACAAACTCTTTGGTCTTTATACTTTCTTTCAACAACTCCAACTTTGTCTGTTATAAGACTCTTCAAAGCATCTGAGTTCAAAACTTTTGTTGTATCTATACTTTGAAGTTCATTGCAAACTATAAGTTTCATATTCTCAATTGAAGAGTTAAATTTACCGCAGATGTTTTCTAAGTTTGTCATATTAGGGTTCGAATAACCTTCTAACAGTTTGCACAAAATATCTGTAAAGAAAGTATTCTTACCTGTTCCTTGTTTTCCAATTATAATGAGAGCAGTTTCATTTTTAGCACTTGGATGTTGTAAGATATTTGCAAACCAACATAAGATATACTCATAAACCTTTTCGTTTCCATTGCATATAATTTCTTTGACATGGTCTAACCAAGCTTCTATAATATTTTCTTTCCATTCTACTTGTTCGTATTTATATCCAGTGAAGATAGAATAGAAGTTTGGAGAAGGTGTATAGAACTTTATACCTCGAACTGAAAAATCTTCTAACTTTGACAATAAGATATCCCAAGCATCTAACATCTTCATTCCAACTTGTACAACTTTTATTTTCTTAAGTTTTTGTCTACATTCTTGTTCTGAAACTATTGTTGCTCTTGGTTTGTTAAAGACAACATCCCATTCTTTCATGACATAACATTCTGGGGCAGAGTCAACATAAATGACTAAACGTTTCAAATTCTCGACTGCTTTGTTATAGTCTCTAAATGGACACATATTTCTGAATGCTTGGAAGTCATAAAAATCTGAAACATCTATTCTGTACATTTTTATAAAAATAAAAAAAATATTATTTTTTTATTCTTGACTTTGTTGTTCCATTTGTTGCATTTGTTGTTCTTGAGCTATTTGTTGTTGAAGTTGTTCTTGTAATACAATACTTTCACCAGTTGCATCTTCCAATTCGAAACTTTCTGCCGTCATTGACAAATACATAGGACATAAAAGTTTTACAGGAACAAAGTTTGCGTCAACTAATGTCAACGTTATACTTGCCAAAGTGTTTGAGTTCACTAAGGTTGAAAATTCTGCATTCGAATGAACAATAGGCAAACCAGCAGAGAAAGTATTGTTTATACGCATAAGTATCTTTTGGTCATAATAGTTTCTGTCGACATTCGAATAACACTTTGAACCTAAGTTTGAAACAATATATAAGATTGGTGTGCTTAATGTCAATGGAATAGACATTCCTTGTATGACACCTTTTCCTGTTATAGGAAACTGTTGGTAGTAAAAACCAGAAATAAGTTTTGTATTATAGCTCATATCGTTTATAGTAAACTCAGTCGGACATCCAAACATAATGAAACCTGCTCTAGTTGCAGCACATGTTACATCCGTCCTTAAAGTATTAAATAAGTCAACAAAACCTGTTGGTGGTATATCTGAGTAAGTATCTTCAAAGGAGTATTTTTTACCATTCACAACAATAAAGTCTTCTGGTGTCAAAAGAGCAAAACAGGCTTTAGTCGTCATTGTGTTTAAGGTTAGTTTACAATATCGTCCTTGAGGACTTTGTAAGTTTGTTGTTATAGAATTATATGACTCAGGGTTTTTAGTCGTAATAGTATAAACCATTATGTCTTCTGCCATTTACTTAGCAAATAAATTTTAATGAAATGTTGTGGTCGTCAAATATTTTTATAACGTCTGGGAAACTATATTTTAAGTTCAACGTTTCACCTCCTTTCATAACGTATATCTTGTCAATGACATTATATGAAACACCACAGCAACTAATGTCGGGTTCTATTTCTTTGATGTTTATATCGTCTGCCTCTGTCAAAAGTTTCAATAGTTCTTTCAAAACTTCATGAGGTGCAATGACATATGAGTTCACTTTTACAGGGTTGTGTTCGACCAAGTTTAACATTATACTTAAAGCTTGACAAATCTTCTCCTGAGTTTGAAGTTTGTCTTTCAGTTGTTGGTAGTCGTTTCGAATATCTGCAACAGAACTTAAGTCTCTGTTAACTTCAGGGTATGTTGGTTGTTCTTTTACAGGAACAATTGTTATACCATCTTCATCTTCGTATGGTTTCCCCACTTCAACATCTCTGTCTTTGACATTGACAATAACACTTTGACTGTTTGTTTGAGTTGGTGAATTTAACTTCACATCTGCCACCGCCATTAAACCTTTTGAAACACTTACGCTTCTATTTTTCGGAAATGACATTTTATTTAGAATAAAAAGATGGACGAATTCGGATATCTCTTCGAATTGAAGCAAAACAAGGTTTATACTCACAAACAATACAAATACATTGACAGAATAGTTCTTTACACAAACAATGGAAAATGTTATAGAATAGCAGTCTTTGCTGAACCTAAATATTTTCATAAAGCAAAGAAAGTTGGTATAACCGAGATGGTGAAAGTTCTTGAAGCAGACAAAAATATAACTTCAAAACTGACCGATATTACTAAAGGAAAGTTTATAATACAATATTATGTCAAAACAGGTGTCATAACTATTTACGATGGAGAGAAGTCAGTTCAAGAACAACTTACTGACCTGCTGCCAAAATCTGCTCGATGGAAGCTGTCGTTATGCCAATCTGAGGAGCCCCAGCAGGTTTCATCGAACGAATCTTCAAAGAGCATCTTCCGTGAAAAGTGCTATTGGTTTTGTAAACTTCTTTGCTTTCAATTCATCTGGACCGTCTCTGTCACCAGTATATTGTATTTGAACTGTACCAACAGTTGAAATACCACCCATAAAGTCTTCTGAGTCAGCAAATGGAATGCCAAGCCAAAAGTTTGAACGGTCTCCATTTGTATATTGAGTTTTTTGACTTCCTGTATGAGTCCATACTTTCACATATGGCATAATAGAACTTTGCATTTCAGGGTTAATAGTTGTTGTGAAGTTGTTGTTAAAGTTCATAGCATCTAATGTCAAGTTGTATGACCTCATATCCTCAACTGTAGAATATTCTTCTCTTGGATAATATTTGCCATCTATGTTTATATGATATTTAATACCAGGGTTGTAGAAACAAGAATAGTCATTTATAGTTCGTCTGAACAGTACAAACATAGTATCTGCATGTTTCATTGCAGTTGTTAAAGCAATATCTGTTCTTGCACCTGGGTCAGCACTTTGGTTTCCAACTTCACCTGCAAAGTCTTTGACAGATATTTGGTGTATAGGGAACATAAGTGGAACTGCAATATATTTGGCAGCTAAAGCATTTGAAATATCTGGGTCCAACATATAGACTGCAAGTCTGCTTTCTATTCTCTTGCATTCAAATTTTTCGCATGTAAACTTAACTGGGTCCCAAGCAGTTCCACCAGCATTGAAATAATAGTTTACTTCAGTGTTGAGGTTTGAGAAACCAAAGTCTAAGTCAACTTTGTCTTTGCAAAATTCGGCGAATGACGTTTGATTTGTTCCCTTTACGTCTGTAATAGTGAATGGGTCTTGTGTTGGTGCAATGACTAAGTTATTTTTGCTTGGAGTAAGTTCAATAGAAATTTTTCCTGCCCAGTTTGGTAAGTATCTTAAAAACCTGAAGATGAGGAAAGATGACAAAGGAACTCTAAGTTTCAGTTTTACTTTGGTTACTGCTGCTGCAGTTTGTCCAGAAAGGTTAACATAAACTCCTGGAACGTTAGGGTCAAGTCTTCTTATTTTCTCAATAGTTGCATACTGGTCTGTTTGTTCTCTAGCTTGTGGTTGTACTGAGTTTCTCAAAGCGAACCATTCATAGTTTGCCCATGTTACTGTTTGAACTAAGTCAGAGTTAGAATATATCTTATATCCCATGAAAACTTCTGGAGCATATTGGTATCCGATATAGAAAATTCCATTGCAACCTTTCTTGTCAGACAACTTGGCAGAAGGTTTTATTTCAATGTCTTGTTCCACGTATAAGAATGAGTTGTCAATAGAAATAATATGAAACCTGTCGCAAGCAATATCTACTGTTGTTGAAGAACCTTCTCCAAACTCACCTACGTTTCCATAAGAAACAGCAGTTGTATATTCGTAAGTTCCAGGAACTATTTCTGACCTTCTAATGGCATTGTCGCATTCGTTATACCATTCGGAAACATTTCCGTTCATGGCATCCAAAACTGTTGGCGTTATATTCTGAGCGGCGTACATTTCATATGGGTAAAAATATAGAATAGTTGGATTTATATGTCATAATTGTTTCGTACCAAGCTTTACTTTCTTCCTGACTGAGTTTTTAACTCTTCTTTTTCCTTCATTGCCACTACTTTCACTAGATGAAGTTACTTCTTCACTACTTTCACTTTGTTCTACTCTTCTTCTTTGGTGTCGCTTTTGGTAACTTGCCCTCTGCTTCAAGTTGTTGCATCTTTGCCTCATGTTCACCTAGTATGTTGTAAATTTCCCATGTCCTTTTTGCCTTTGGGCTCTGGTCGCCCATCTCAGGTAACCTATATCTTAGAAAGATTTTGTCATAGTTTGTATTTGAGTCTTCGCTTATTGTTTGCATGACTCTTTCCTGAGTTTCCGGTTCAAGCTCTTCAAACAGAGCTTGTCCATATGGAATAAGCTCGTTTCCAAATATATGTTTTTGTAGCCATTCTGGTTTTCTTTCCATGTAACCAATAATATCTTTTGTGAATGGGAAAGCTTTTACCCACTGTTTCAGTCTTGCGTCATTTATTTCTGTAGTTGGTTTTATTTTGTCAAGGAACATGTTTTTCAATACTAACATTTCATTTGGTACTGTCCATTTGAGTTTTCTTAAATATTCATCCATTCTCGGTTCATTGTCTGCAAAGTAAGTTTTTATGACATTTTGCAAACTTTCGTTTGCAAGGTCATGTACAATAGGTTCTCTTCCTTCTCTCTCCCTAACTTTCTTTCTAAACTCTTCACCAAATATACCATCTCTATGGTTCTGTGTAGTTCTTTGAGATAAATGTTTTAGAACGTCAGGTGTTATATTTCCTTCAGCCATGTTCATTTCATACTGGTCCAAAATATCTGCATGTTTCATATCTTTCAATGGCATTAAAGCCGCGCTGAAAATACCAGCTATATCTGGTTCACCATTCACTTCCATTGCGTCTACAACTTCTTGGAATTGTGGTTGTAAGTTTATGAACCACCTATCCGGATTAGCTTTATGACCCCATCTCATTGTAGTTCCATAGTCTGCAGAAACAAAAGTAGGTTTGTTTCCATATTGGTTGGGTTCTGAATGAACTTTAAACAATGTTTCATTTCTATATGTTTTGTTGAAATTTAACCTTTTATTTTCACCGAGTTCAGCCACAGATTGAACGTTATATGGTCGTAAGTAAAAAGGGTTATTGTATTTGCGTACATTATCTTTCAGTTCTTCCATTCTTTGCTGAATATTTTCATCTGATGTTGGAGTCTTTTGTATGTCGGCGAACATTTTTCGATATTCTTCTACTTTGTCAGCCGAATTTTTCTTAGACTCTTGGAAAGATTCCATATTCTCCGCATACTCTTGTTGAGGGTCAAGATTTTTCGGCTGTTCCAAATCTTCATCTAGTTCTGTGAAGTTAGTTTCCAAAGGAGGGACTTGTTCGTTTCCTTCAGGCTCTTCTAGCTGTTGTTGCTGAACTATTTCTTCCATGTCTGGTTGTATCTGAACTTCTTCCTGTGGAGTTTCTTGTACCTCATCTGCTGGCATTTCATATATTCCGAGACCGTTTTTAACAAGTTCCCTATTTAAGTCATCCGCATTCATAAGCCTTTCTTCTTTCGTTCCGTCTCTATTTTTTACGCGTTTCATGAAGAGAGTTGAATCATCATTTATCTCTGACACCAAATATCTCGGAGTAAATTCATTCATGTCATTTGGATGATATGCTATTAAATCATATCCCTTAGCGAGCTTGTATTTTCCAGGTTTGAGATTATATCCAATTTGGTGCTGAGCCATAAAGCTAAATAGGTTCGGGTCAGTATTTCCTTCCTTGAACTTTCTAATAGCTTCTTTATATCTGTCACTAAAGTCAAGAGTATCTGGGTAACCATATTTTTTCTTAAGCATTTTTAAGAATTCTTGGTTTCCTTGCTCTGTTTGTGCTGGTTGTTGTGCTGGTTGTGGAGGTGGTTGCTGTGCTGGTTGTGGAGGTGGTTGTTGTGCTGGATTTTGAACTGTTGGTTTTGGTTGTTGTTGTGGTGCTGGATTTTGAACTGTTGGTTGCTGTGCTGGATTTTGAACTGTTGGTTGTTGTGTTGGTTGTTGTTGTTGTGCATGCCTGTGTCTGTGTCCATGTGACGATGTAAATGTTTTAGGTAGTCCTGGTGCAGGTGCTTCTCTTGGAGGGTTTGGTGGTATATAAGTTCCACTAGCTAGTATATAAGTTCCACCAGCTGGCACATATGTTCCATCTGCAGCATAATGTCCTACCTGACTTTTCGTTCTTAAGAAAGCATTTACTAGGTCTGTTTTGGTCTGTTGTAACTCTTTTTCTTGACTTTCCACAACAGTTGCTCTAACGGCGTCATAGGCACTTTGAACTGCCTGTCTCGTTGCTGCATCTGTTATTTTCGTCATATTTTGTGCTACTTCTCTTAACTCTTTGTCGAAACCTTCAGACTTCAGTTTCTTTCCAGATGAGAAGTCGTTCACTAGTTTCACCTTACTATGAAGAGCTTCGAAGGCGTTCTTAAAGTCAGCATTCATTAAAGCTTCATTTGAACTGTCTTCATCTGCTTGTATTTTTGTCCTTATTGACCCTATAAGTTGGGCTGCTTTAGCGTTGGCTTGGGCATCTAACCAGTCATTATTAGCTTTTATAATATCTGCGCTTTTCATTGCCTTTTGCATGGCTGCGTCGTTATTTTTACTTTCTTGTGCTAAGTTTTCATACTGTACGGTTTGGTTTTGCAACTGTAAAAGTTTTTCTGCCTTTACATTTGCTTCAACTTCTTTTTTATACTCATCGCTATCCATATATGTCTTCAGGGCTTTTTGTTTTATCTCTTCATCTTTCAGTACTTTATATTGAGTAGTATGGTTTTTCAAATTTATAACATCTTGTTCCATTTTTGCTACTTCTGCTGCTTTTTCTGACACTTTTTTCGCATATTCCTCTGTACTTAGTTCTTTCAGTTGTTCTTCTTTCTTCTTTTTCTCTACGTTTAACTCATTGAGTTTCTTTGTGTGTCTGTCATATTCTAGTTTCTTTTCGTTTTCACTTATTTGTTTCTGTATGTCTATGTTTGACTTTTTGACATCTGTTATTTGATTTTTGAGTGAACTCAAATTCATTTGACTTTGAGGGTTATAAGCTGTTCCGTCTGCAGCTCCACCATAGCCTGCCATTTTCGCTAAAAGTGCCGCTCTTAAACCTCCACTCTGTGCACCAATAACTCGGTTTAAAAGCATAGGGTTGCTTGACATTTGTTGCAACATAGTGGGGTCATTCATCATTTGTTGTTGCAACTGTTGTTGCGGTGTCAGTTTTACTATTGGATGTTTCAATGCTCCCTTCCTCTTACGTATATTCTTACGTAGCTTACGTGGCATTTTAAGTGAAGTTAAAAAGCGGTTTTTGACAGATGTTTATATGACACTTTTTGTTCAGCACAAAAAACTACTCGGTCAAAGTGTTGTCACCGGCTGGTCGGCTGGGGTTCGGTCCTCCTCTTGGGTCTTGGGCAAAATTCTTAGGGCTAGAAGGGGCGCAGCCCCTGGAAGCCCCTCATACCTGACCTTAAATGATACGTATTTGAAAACAAATATCATATTCCCTTTAACCTTTCAAAAAAATCTGAATTCAATTATTGAAGGCTTTCGGAAAATTTTAAATGCTTTTATTCAAATTAAAGATCCTTCAAGAATCAGATACTCCTCTCAAAAACCACAGACCAGATTGAGACCCCATAGAAAACAAATGTTCATACAATATAAAATGATCAAAATAGATATAATATATGATTTTTTGAGAAGAAGGTATTCAATTTGATCTGTGGTTATTGAGTCTGGTCTGTGGTTCTTGAAGGATCTTTATTTATATATTTGTATTTGAAAAATTGTTAATACACTTTAACTACTAGAATTTTATATTTTTATCCAAGAGTCAATACTATTAAAACAGCAATGTTTGATAATGAAATATGCCCTGTATTACGTATTGGTACTGAATTGCACTCGTTCTTGCAATCTTCTCTCAAAGATAAGTCTGTTACGCCTCTAGATTTAAAGATCTGGAAACTCTCCTTCGGAATGCTGAATGAGCCACATTTTTTGAGTTCAGGACAGTCTGCGAAGGCGTCTTTGTCAATTTGTGTTATACTTGGAGAGCTCACGAAAACAAAATTCAGATTTGTGCAGCCTTTGAACGCCTCAAAACCTATGACAGAAATATAATTTCCGTTAAACAAAATTTGATTCAACTTCCTACAGAAATAAAAAGATCTTGACAAAATTTTCTGAGTTTTCACAGAAACAACGAAAGTTCTGATGTCGCTTGAAGGAAGGAAAGTGTAGAGAATTGTTTGATCAATACTCAGCAATGCTCCATTGTCAAACAAAAACTTGTTTTTCCCTTCAAACAGCTGTATCCTCTTCAGCAATGGACAGCTCAAAAAGCAGCCGCCCCTCACTTCTGTAAGGTTTGAGTTTTGCTCCAGTTTCAGAGTTGCAAAGTTTTCATTGTCTGCAAAAGAATTCTCTGATAAAGTAGTGATGGATGCAGGGAGGGTTAATTCTTTTATGTCGCAGTTCTGGAAAGCGCTTTCCTCAATGACTTCTACGCCGTTGTTTATAATTAAAGTCTCTAGGTTTTGGCACGAATAGCAGCATTTTACGGGAATTGTTGCTGTTGATGTGGAAAATGTTGTCAAAAGAGAAGATTCGAAAGCGGAAATGTCAATGAAATTCACTGTTGAAGGGAGATTTGCTGTTTTCAAGCCACTCTTTGCAAAACATTGGTTTCCAAGCGACTGGAGTTTTGTGTTTTCCAGTCCGATGTTCGATATCTTCGTGCAGGAAAGGAAAGCGTAATTCGCAATTTTTGTGATGGATTGAGGCAAAATAATTATTTCCATATTGATGCAGTTTTTGAAACAGTTCAAAGGAATGATACTGATGGTGCAGTCCGCGTGGAATTTCACACTTTGCAATAAATTGCAGTTGAGGAAACAGTTTTCTCCAAGAGTCCTCAATCCTATTGGGAACTCAATTGTTTTGATTTTGCTCGACTCAAAAACACTCGATTCGACAACAAGAGAAGGGTTTCCATCAAAAATCAGACTCCTGAACTCCTTCGACTTGAAAGTACTCGCAGAAATCTTATTGCAAGTCGATGGAACATGCAAATCTTTCGTTGCATCACTCCCGAAGTAGTCAACCATGTTCTGTTTATTGTCAACAATCAGAATCTGGTCGTCAATTGAGCAGTACTCATTTCTGTCTGTGTCCACAACAAGGGAAGAATTGCAATTGAGGTAAACACCGGCGCCAATTGAGTTGACTTTTGGAGGAATCGAAATATTCGTCAGAGAAACGCAGCTGGCGAAAGCGTTTTTGCCAATTGTAGTCAGTGAATCAGGTAAAACAATTAAATTAAGAAGAGGACAGCCAGAGAAAGCTGATTCATGTATCTCAGTGATTTTCTCAGTCAAATAAACCTTCTCCAGTCTGGAACAGGATGCGAAACAAGCGCTCATTATCAGAGTCATGATACCGTTGCATTTGAACTCTTGTATCATGGTAGATGACAGAGAACGGACATCGATTTTCCAGATGTTGTCGTGGATTGTTATCGAAGGAATTGGAACTCCTCTGAAAGCGTGGGGAGCGATATAAGTAACAAAGTCAGGAACAACGAAATCCCAGTTATACGTCCTAGAAACAATCTTCAAAGTAGAGTTAGAATTGCCTTGGTAAATAATCAAACCATCTGTCTTGAAATTTCCGTTTCTCGGGTCGATTTCGAAGTTGGAAATGGCCACACCGGAGAAGGCTGAAGAAACAATTTGGTTGACGTCCTTTGGAATGAAGAAATAAGTCAGCCTTGTTCCCATAAACGCATCTGCTCCGATTTTTTGAAGTTTGCAGTCAGGTGAAATGTCAATTTGATTCAGACTTCCTTGAAAGACGTGATCGTATCCTTTGATGTAGTCGTCGATCTCAAGCAAAGAATCTGGTAATTTAATGTATTTGAGAGAGGCACAATTATAGAAGCAGCCTGCTCTGATGTACTGAAGATTTGGTGGTAATGTTACGTTTTTAAGATTGTTGCATTGAGCAAAAATAGAATAATTTAGGTCTAAAAGAAGGAAACAGTTCGAAAAATCAATGTATTCTAAACTAGACGATGAAAATACCCATGGGTAGATATATTTGATCTGACTTCCTATTTCAAATGAAATATTCTTGAGTTTTGTAAGACAATTTGCAAACGCACTCTTTAAATTTGTGTCCCCACCAAGTATGGTGGTACATGCAGCTCTAACAACATATTGGCTTGGAATTGTTTCTCGAGTTTTCCTAAGATCAGTGTAATCATCTGAATACTCAACGCCGAATTCATCGGTATTGAGGGATTTGGAGAAATAAACTAAGAAAATTATCATTTTAGTGGTTCATATGGGAAAAATTGGAAAACTAAAATTCATAATAAACCAAGTTTTTTTACCTGATGAAAAAATAAAAAAAAATGTTTTTCAACAATCACTTGGTTCATCTAAGCTTTACTGTTCATCGATACATAAATAATAATCATTAAGTCTAAACTGAATTGGAGCTGAAAGGATGTGTGATATGCAAAAAGATTGATAAAAAGCAAACCAGCAGCAAATGAAAGGCATGAAAAAGGATTTTATTATGATTTAAACAAATAACTATACATGAATGGAACTGCATGAACATTCCTGAGAAGCAAGCGTTCATTCGAACAAAAGCATTTTTGAACGCACTTGCATTCTGAAGGAGATAATGACGTAATGATAGCATAGCCATGACCTCTATTATTTGCAAATTTTAATTCAGAATTTTCAACTCTAATTGATGCAGGCAAAGGATCAATTTCAGTGGTCAATCTGTCCTCAGAATAAACAAAACCAGAACCACCTGCTCCAAGACCTCCTCCGTATAATCCACCACCTCCGCCTGGAAAGTAGTTATGTATCATGTTGTCTTCTCCAATGAATCCAATACCAAATGTGCCGGGGGGATAATCAAGATATTTTCCATGATGTGTTTGATTTGCACCAGAGTATTCTTTATTATCAAAATCACCACCTGTTATTCCGCCACCTGAACCAGCTGCTTTACGATTATCTTGCCCTCCACCACCGCCAGCAATCAAAAATCGAGATTTTAAATCATCTAGTTTAATTCGAAAGTCAGTGGCGCCTCCTCCTGAATTTGACAAACCGCCCCAACCACCGCCATTAAAAGCATTCTCGTGGAAATCTGGCCAAACTCCTCCTTAGCCTCCAATATAAAGATATAAAGATATTTTTTGAGACAAAGAAACTTGCATAGCTGCATAACCTCCAAAACCTCCATAACCAAAATAACCATCATAGTCCAAGTTGCCCTCATAGCCTTGAGTACTTATATAATGTCCCCCAGCAGCTCCATAAACTTCAAAATAGTATCTTCCAACTTTCAGATCTAGTTTTATCGGTGTACATGAGAAACTGACCGTACAGGGATAATTAAATCTGCAAGTACTGCCACTGCAAATTGGCTGATACTCGGTTTTGAGAAGCCTCCCGTTAATAGTGGAATACTTTCCAAACTGGAAATCAATTTCAGGACTAATATCTGACATTTAGATTTAAACAAAAATTTGGAAGAAAATGCAATGGTACTAAAAAAAAAAAGTATTGGGGCTTCCAGGCACTTCGTGCCCTCTAGCCCCGAAGATGTTTTGTCACTTTTCTGTCACTTTTCAGGGAAAAAACATTTTTATTAAATATAAAATGAATTTTACAAAACCACCGCTACCCTTCTTTGGAAATAAGAGTAGATGTAAAGATATTCTATTGAGAGAACTTAAGAAACTACCGAATGGTCTAACATTTGTAGATTTGTTCGGTGGAAGTTTCTATATATCTCATTTGTGCCATACCGTATTCCCAAACTCAAAGATTATATGCAATGACTTCGACAACTATATGAACCGTCTCAAACATATACCAGACACAAACAAAATATTGAGTGAGTTGAAAGAAAAGATACCTATAGGTAAGATGGAACGTATACCATTAGATAAGAAAAATACTGTCAGAGAGGTTTTGAAAAAAGCAGAGTATATTGACTGGGATAGTATATCTTCTAGACTATTGTATAGTGGTTCTATAAGAGTTCATGACATTGAAACACTTATGTCAAACGTTTTATATCTTAACTATACAAAGGTTTTCAAAGAGGACATAGAAAAATATACTGAGGGTATAGAGTTTGTGAGATGTCGTTGGACAGAGTTGTATGAAAAATATAAAAACAAGGAAAATGTTTTCTTTATAGTAGACCCGCCGTTCTATAACACATATGATTTTCAATACCAAGTAGACTGGACTTTGAGAGACTCTTTAGAAACTTTAGACGTTTTACATAACCATCCATGCTTTTACTTTACATCCGATAAAAGTGGTTTGGAAAGTGTCATGAGATGGTTAGAGGATATACATGACTATGATTTTAGATACGATAAGATAGAATATGAGAGAGGTCCTATAAACCGGAAAAAGTGTCACAACAAAGAAATTTTATTGGTAACTAAATGTGGTTTGAAATAGGACTACTTGTTTTAGGTTTTTTCCATTGTGTCATTTACTTATTTGACGTGGCAGAAAGATATAGAGAATATGAAGATGAACCAATACCAGCAAATGTTCAGCATATGTACTCGTAAGAGATATTTTTATCTAATATTAAATGGACGCACAGAACTTAGCGAATGCACAGCAACCTGGACAACCAAACCCAGAGAATATTCCAAATGAAGTTAGAATACAAACTGCAATGGCAAACTATGGTCAAGTGCCAACAGATGTACAAATGCAAACTGCCATGTCAAATGACGCTGCGTTAGGTTTGCCACCATGGTATGCAAATATGAGATGGAAAGAGTTTTATACAAACCCTGAAGTGGGATATAAACAACTCTATGCAGATGACGCGAACACAGGAGTTGACCCAGAGTATGTTTTCTACCAGAGGAGAAATAGAATGTATGAGCTCCAGTTAAAGAATGCTATGGAACTCAACAGGAAACGTAAGAGACTAGGCGGACATTAGATTTTTACATATAGTAAAATGGGTTTCTTCAGTAGTATTGGAAACTTCTTCAGAAGAGTTGGAAGAGGTATATGGAATGGAATAAAAACCGTAGGAAGAGGAATTTGGAACGGAGTCAAAAATATTGGTAAAAGAGTAGGTCAGTTCGTTGGTATTATACCTAAAGACCCTGAACCAGAAGAACAAGCTCCTGTTATACAACAGCCTGAACCTGCACCACAGTCAAGTTGGCAACCAAATCCAACACCTCAACCGTATTAAAAATTATATTTTTACCGTTCGATAGTAGTTGTATATGAAACTAAGTTCTAAGTAAAACGCATGGTATAATGGAATTATTCTCTTTCTTCCATCTGTAGTAAACCATACTTGAAAGTCTGAAATACTTCCACTCGGCGGTTCATATAGCTTTGTAGGTTTTTCGTAAAAGTCATCATTTGCCAAGCATAAAAAAGAGTTTTGTGCGCCAGAAAATGAAGCATGAACGATAATAGCATCTGAGTCGAAAACATTTTCATATGTTCCATTAGGGTTTTCGACTTCATAAAAGTCCGGGTGTACTGGATATGCTGCAGGCTGATTTAACATCCTCAAAAATCTATACCATGCCAAGTTGTTATATTTTGTAGAAATATAAACGTCTTCTCCAAGGTCTTCTATTCTATTGATTTTAACAGTTGCATTTTTCCTGTCATATATAATATCGAGATGGTACTCTCCTTCGTCAATGTTGTACTGTTTTGCATATTCGAGATAGATATCGTTTATTTTTTCTTGAAAAGCTTGAAGAGTTGTTTCTAAGTTTACAAGCAAATTCACTTGTAAAAGTTTTCCCTGTTCAAATTTCTCATACGTACGTTTCTCTTTGTTATAGTATCGAATTTCAAAAGCGACCGTAAATGGGAAACCATGTATGGCTTCTGAAATGAACTTCATTCTACGAAAGCCAACAGCTTTTGTGACGGATGGGTCTCTTAGCCATCTTAGTGGGTAGTCAAAACGATAGCCTTCATGCTTTACGGTCTCTGTCTCAAACTTTTGACCGACATTCGTAAAAAGTTCATCTAATGGTTTAGTTGTAGCAACTCTTGAATTTTCTTTTTCTATTGAAAGCATATTTTATCTAGAATAAAAATGTCGAAAGAAACAGCGTCTATGAGAGAAATACAACACAACCGACAACTCATTTTGCAAGCTCTAAATAAGAACACAACAAACTTTTCAAACTATTCTAAGATATCTGAGTCATTGAAAGAAGGAAACTTAAAACTGACGATAAACCCATTGACAGACGAGTTTCTGTTTCAAGACAGTAAGAACCATACTGTTTGTATAAATCCAACAAAAAGAACTTTAAACGAGAAACCTATAGATGAACTTCTTTTGAAAGCAGATATTGACAACAAAGCTGACAAAGAGTATGTTGACGATGAGTTAGCATATCTGGCTAGTGGGTTAGTGAAGAAGGCAGATAAGGAATATGTGGATGAAAAAGATGAAAAAATTAAAGAAATGGTTGAATGGTACCATGAACGGACATCGAAGATTTTAGAAGGTAAAGCCAATACAGGGTGGGTTTCAGGATGTTTAGACCTTAAAGCCGACAAAGAAACTGTAGATATGTTGGCACAAACGGTTTCAAGTCATACCAGAGGTTTAATGGAAGATGGACAACAGTTGAAAGAGCTTGAGAAAGGTGTTACAGAGTTAAGGAATACAAAAGCAGACTCGACATGGATAGCTGGATATGTAGATGCAACAAAAGAGTATATTTTCGCATGGACAGAAGGAACATACCCACAAAAATATCATAGACATAGCATCTCTGACGTAAATGAACTTGAAGAAAAGTTATATAAAAAAGCTGACAAAACAGAGCTTCAAACGTTAAAGACAGAAATACTTCAAACACTATATCCTATAGGTTCTATTTACGTCAATGAACTCTACCAAACCAGAAGTAGTACTTGGTTTTGGAACTTGGACTCAAATAGTCGACAGGTTTTTGTATTGTGCAAACTCTTCAAAGGAAACAGGTGGAAGTAAAACGATTTCAGGTGAAAACTACCTGCACACAGTCACTACATAATTTAACTACAGCTGAAGCAGGTTGGCATAAGCATAGATATTGGGATTGGTCAGCAATGACAAAAGGTAAAGGATATGATGTTAAAGACGACGTTAAGTTTGCTATAAATTGTTACTGGGATGACACTCAGGGAGGAGGAAACCATACACATCGCGTTTCAGGGTATACGCAAACAACGGGACAAAGTAAAGACTACATGCCACCTTACATGACAGTTTACGCATGGTATAGAATGCTTAGTCGTCATTTTCAACTTCTTTAGCATATTCGTCAGGAGTTGTCTTATATTTGTTAGGAACTGTCTTTGAAAGTATACCACCTTGAACCTTAACAAGTTTGAAACGAGGTCTGACAATAGTAGTTTTATCTTCTGCTTGCAGTCTGTACATTTTGCCATGTTTGCCTAAAACTTCATAATATTCTCTTGTATACTTTCTTCTATTTTTACGAACACGAACGTGAGTACCTGTCGAGTTCCCATTGTTGTCATAGTCAATAGTATTTTCATATGGGTCGCGTTTAGGTATTTCTATTTTTACTTTGTCACCTTTCTGAAGTTTGAAGCCTGGCATTCTTTCTTGTTTGTCTCTTTTGACTAAACTATTAAATATATAGTCTTTCTCTAAGTCAGGGTTGTTTTTCATTTCTTCGGGGGAGTGGTTTCCCAAACCTTTTTGTTTACGGCTATTGTAAATATTTAAAACTTGTCTCATCTTTGCCATGGAGAAGTGTCTATATTGTCGTCATATGACATTTCATCTACCTCACCACCTTGTGGTTGATTTAAGTCTCTTAAGATTTTTATACAACTGTCAATGACACCAAGAGCAGAATGGTTTTGGTCGACAATGAAATATTGGTTTACATTTTTTGAACGCAGATAGTTTTTATCGTCTGATTTGAAAGAACTTTCACAGTCAGATGTCAGTTTTGTTGGATGGTATTTGTCAACGAATATTGTCAAAGCAGTTTTCACATCTAAAATATTTTTGGACCATAATGGTATGGCTTCACAGTATCTTGTGTTTTGACCGACAAATATTAGCCAGTATGGTGGTCCATCTTCTCTATATCTCGGAATGTTTTCCAAGATATCCATAAACCAAGCATTTGGTGTTGAACTAAAGATTTTTACCATGAGTGCTTTCTTTGTCGCCTTAGAAACATACGGGTCCTTGTTTGAATTCGTCATTTTTAACCCATAAGAAATGGGTTTATTTGGCGCAATAGCAGGAGTCGCATCTAGATTTTTGCCCGCAGTGGGAACACTAGCCAGAGGTGCATTTGGAATTGGAAGGAAGATTTTGAGTACATTAGGTATACTGAAAGAGAAAGCACAACCTATTATACAAACCGTACAGAAAGGTTGGGATGTAGCACGAGATGCAGCAAATCTTATTCCAAATCCTGAAACAAGAGGAAAAGTTCAAGGCTGGATGGACAATGTAGGAAGACAAGCAGGAAACTACTATAACAAAGCAAATGACTACTATAACCAAGCAGGGCACTATATGGACCAAGGTGAAAGATTCTTTAACAGAGGATATAACCATGCACAACAGTGGGTAAACAACAACCAACCTCAACCGCCTCAAACGTGGGGAATGTAAATTTTTTTACTGAGATGAAATGAACAATACAGCATTGAGACAAATGGGCTCAAGATGGCTTTGTCGGCTTCCAGCAGTTACACAACCACGTGTTTGTCAAGTTCTTCCTATACCTCAGGAAGTTTTAGACCGACTTAAAAAACCTAAACAACCAGTTGAAAACAAAACAAACTAAAATTTTTTACTGAGATGAAATGACCGAAGAAGTTGAAACGGTAGATTTGACACCACAAACAAAAAGTTCAGAACCATTGTCAAAACCTGTCAAAGAACTTACAGATGAAGAGAAAAATTCAATAATAGAAAGTGTGAGGTCTGGAAATACAAATCCTAACTACAAAGTCACTTTTCATAAAAATGGAACGGCAAGTATCTCAAAAAAGAAACAGACTCTCACAAATAAAATATTGAAGTCTGAAGGAGCTTTCGAGACAACAGATGGAAAAGTTTACTTCACTGACCAACAGTTCATTATAGAACATCTCATTGACTTAGAGTCGAAATATTCTAAACTTTACAACAAACACAAAAAGTTGAAAGGAAAACAAAAACAGATGGCATATGATATTTATGAAGATACTAACGACACAACTATTCCAGCAAGTGAAGTAAAGTCAAATGAACCGAAAAGTGACGAAAAACAGATAGAAGAAGGGAAGCCAAAAACTGAAGATAAACCAAAACCAAAGTTTAGTTTGGAGACTAAAACAAGTCAACCTTCATTAGCTGGTATGGGTTGGCGTCAAAGACTTTTGGCAGCGGGTGGTTACGTAAAGTAAAGAAAAAACATTTTTTTATTTTTATAAAAATGCCCCCGTATAGAATGGACAGAAAATCTGCTAGAATAAAAGCAGAGTTAGAAAGATATGGTTGGAGAGTTTCAAAGAATTTTAAATATAGGAAGGGAAGACCCATAAAAGTCTATGACAAACTGGCTGGTCTGACCTACGAAATGGACTTGGAAACAGCACGTGCAAATTATCCAAACAGACTTGAGAGGTTAGAAGAAGAGCGTCTTATGGATATGCCTTTCAATGTTAATGAGCCTCAGGTTGAAGGACACGACGGCTTTGCCAGGTTCTACTGGAAACATGACGAACAATTGCATCCCTTGAGACGGAAAAAAGGGAAGGGTGAAGACGCACATGCTCCCATGGAAAGAACAAGATATGCATATGAAAAGTACCGTGAAGTCAGAAGTAAAATTACATCTGGTCGAACCTTTACAGTAAACTTTGACGAAGGAAAGAACAAAGAAGGCTTCATGGGAGTACTTGCTGCCATACAAGACGGAAATAAGAAAGGATACAATCTCAGACTAACCGTAACAGATTTAGATGGTCATATATACTATGCACATGGCAATGTCACAACAGCCGCACAACTTCTTGACGCTTTCAAGACTACAAAGAGAGAACAAATGTTTGACTCCGACTCAGATATTTTGAATGCAATTGAAGGAATTGCAAGCGTGAAGTTCGAATGGTATCAACCCAACCCTCAAGCAGTCAGACAACATGCTGGATACTTCCCGTTCATAAACAAGTCTGACATTAACCTGACAAGGTATGGAATTTACAATTCAATTGAAAAAATTGTCAATGAACCTTGTATTCTTACATGTCTCAGGAACTCTGGTCTTGTTACAGATGAGAAGATGAAGTATCTTGAGTCATGTGTGAAAACAAGGTACATTCTCAGAAGTCAATTGACAAAGATTGCACCGTTGGCAAATGTCAATATCCGAGTCAACATTCCGACTGAGAAAGGTTCTTCACATGACGACTATGTTATTGACTTCAAATTGCCATGGTTGAAGATTGTACTTGTCCACAACCACTTCATGTTGAACGAAAGTCTTACAAACCCATTGTTCGGAAAAGGCAAGTGCAACATTGTCAGAGCTGTTAACATTCTTTTCGAGAAAGGCTTGTTGGAACCAATTCCAGATGACAAGCTGACAGAAACTTTTGTACCAAAAGACGAAACAAACTTTTCATTGTTGGTAAGACCAAAAGTTGTTCCAGACAAAGTTATAGCACAAAAGAAGTACACAGTTCCAAAAGGAGTTGGATTGTTCGGATACCAACCTGAGCCAGAAGAACTTCCAATGAGGTTGCAAGAACTTCAAGATGCTATAAACAAACTTCCATTGAGACATCCAATTGATGTCAAATTGTATTGGAGAGCATCAGAGTTAGGTCAGAAGGTTTTATATGAAACAGGTTGCTTCGACGATGTCTATGAGATAACAGGAGAAGTTTCTCAGAAGATAAGAGACTCACTTGAATTTCCACGAACTGGGCCGATTGGATGCGATAAGTTCGACTCATACGAAAAAATATACTATGTCGACCTTAACGCTGCGTACATGAGGTTCGTCCAATATATTCCGACTGGAATTCCAAACGAAGACG